GCTATATCATGAGATCAAGCTGGCACTCCTGAGGATACACCTCCTCCTACCTGGTGCTGTCATTCTGTGGTCAGACATGCTGCCACGGAGGTACTGGCATGTAGCAAGCCGTGCCCGGGACCTGGACGGGGCCAGGCAGAAGCTGAACAGACGAGTGGGGAACAGGGCCCGTGAGCTTGGGGGGATACGGGTTCCCCACACAGTGTTCAACCGGCAGGAGCAGCAACTGTACCTGCGTGACGGGGTTCATTTGTCACCGGCCGGACTTGATCTTTTCACACAAAACATTGGCAGCTCCCTTTCCGCAGTATGCTTGTAGGAAACAATTTCAGTATAGGATAACACGGTGGGTGTACATGAGCGCGAATGGTCGTGGTTGTGGGGAAGCACCTTGGTGCTTGTGGCGGGGTGCTGGTGGACTGCATTACAAGTTACATTTGGCGTCTTGGGATACATCCCAAATTATAAATTATTTAGGATAGGGTTACCCGCTTTACAGCAGGAACCAATTTATCCATTCTGCTTTACAGCAGATGGCTTAGTGTCCGCTTTACAGCGGATGGTCAGCTTGGCAACAATAGTTGCCCTCGCTCATGGTTTGGCAATGGTACTTGCCTGGCAGCGATAGCTGCATAGCAACATGGGTTGCTTGGCAACGGTAGTAGCAGGGCAGCGGGCGCTGCATTGGTAAGCAACATGGGTTGCTTGGCAACGGTAGTTGCAGGGCAGCAGGCGCTGCATTGGTAAGCAACATGGGTTGCTTGGCAACTGTTGTTGCAGGGCAGCGGTTGCTGCAGTTGGGGTTGCTTAACAGGGGTTAAGCTCATTGCCGTAGTCCACCAGTACCTCCACATCCGCGACCATTTCATCCAATTATGTCTCTTGTCTTAATTTGAAGCTCCGCTATCATGCATGATGGCGGAGCCTGTCATAATGGAGCCATGTCCTTATATAATAGCATTTAGTGATTAGAACTAAATGCCTTTATGTTAGGCTTGGCACAGTTGCTAATATTATTACAGCGAAATACCTTCATTCCGTGCGGCTACGTGCCGTTTTGCATGGTGCCATCGTCTCTGGCCTAGATCCGCTCTTGGCACGTCCGGTAAAGGAGCGTTTGTTTATATTTTCTATGACCTGTTGTAGCGTGACATCAGCTCACGCAGCACTTGCTCTCCAGCTTTCAGCCGTACAACACATAGTTATATTCGCGCATTCATCTATAGTTCGTTGCACCCACCCACCCACCCTGTTGTCCTTAATTCCAAGTTATTCAAGCTTTGCAGTTGTCAATTGGTGGAATTTTACTGGAGCATAATGTTTGTACATAATGATGTTGTCATGAATAAAATGTTGCGGATGGGCGGGGTGCTGGTGGACTGCATTACAAGTTACATTTGGCATCTTGGGATACATCCCAAATTATAAATTATTTAGGATAGGGTTACCCGCTTTACAGCAGGAACCAATTTATCCATTCTGCTTTACAGCAGATGGCTTAGTGTCCGCTTTACAGCGGATGGTCAGCTTGGCAACAATAGTTGCCCTCGCTCATGGTTTGGCAATGGTACTTGCCTGGCAGCGATAGCTGCATAGCAACATGGGTTGCTTGGCAACGGTAGTTGCAGGGCAGCGGGCGCTGCATTGGTAAGCAACATGGGTTGCTTGGCAACGGTAGTTGCAGGGCAGCAGGCGCTGCATTGGTAAGCAACATGGGTTGCTTGGCAACCGTGTTGCAGGGCAGCGGTTGCTGCAGTTGGGGTTGCTTAACAGGGGTTAAGCTCATTGCCGTAGTCCACCAGTACCTCCACATCCGCGACCATTTCATCCAATTATGTCTCTTGTCTTAATTTGAAGCTCCGCTATCATGCATGATGGCGGAGCCTGTCATAATGGAGCCATGTCCTTATATAATTAAGGTCACAGGACAGCGGCGAGAGTCAGTAAAGGGGACTTCAGAACAACAACTTTATTTCTTCAACCAGGACCATCGCTGTTGCGCTGTCCTTCTATTTGTCGTAAGGTAAGCAGTGAATGCATTAATGAGTAAAGTAAGACAAGTAAAAAATAATTGGTTTTATAATGTCTAATAAAATGAATGTATATACATGATGTGATATATATGGAATGGAAAACATTTTAGCACATGGTCATGTGTGACGTGCAACAGAGGCTGAGTATATAGAGGCCGGCACAGGTTGTTGGGACCAATTCTAAGCCAGTGTCCCAACAGGGGCTTGGACCCATTTCACAAGGTAATCTTTGCATTAAGACTGCCATAGTCCCTGGTAAAGCATGAGAGTTGTGGACGGCATAGCCAGTATGCCAAATAAGGGCCTGCCCGTATCCCCATAGATCTAGTTTCACATTTGTATGGGTCCTTATGGCCTGCAGTTAATTCATGTGTCAATTTATTTGTCACAAATAAGCTACAGTTTTTCTAAATGAGGACCTGATGAGTTTAGTCAGGGCCTGCAACTTCTAAAGTCTGTGGGTCCTGTCGGAAGCCTGATAGCTTATAATATTTCAAACACTGGTCATAGCTTTAGATTGCTTTGTGAAACTGGCCCTGGTTCTTGAGATTAACATTCTGTTTAGAACTTTGGTGTATGTTCATCCTGTTGCAGTGTTAGAAATTGGCACTAGTCCTGTAGTCCTTGCCAAACTTCCCAATAGTTAAGGTATCATAAGGACTAAATATGCCATTTTTAAGGGTTTTGCTATACGTTATCATTATAAAGGACTAGTGGACTAAAAATGTTAGGTTCTCCGCTGTGATGAAGATGTCAGTCTGGAATGCAAATCCATGTTGTTATTAATAAATGTTACCAACAGAATTACTCTGTACACAAAATAATTACAGTAAGACTTTGTCCCTAAACTTGCCCAGCCAAGCACACATCCCCTGATACACATCTGTTCACCTTGCAGCATGTTACGTTCCAGAGCAGTGTCATGGCAACAAGCCTTCCACGTAAAGTATCAACACATTTCGTACAGGGGTTTATGGAGGGTAGAAATTGTTATTATTGCACAGGTTTCTTTCAGATGTGTATTCAATTAAAAAGCAATATTAATTTTATGTCATCAACATAGTAGAGTCCCTATGACATGATTACACATCACAAGGCATTGCCGGTTTATAGTGATGATAAGTTATTTTTTTAAGAATCACACTTTCATTACCATTTGTATTTTGAAAAGCTAACCCAAAATGTCTCATTTTCATTTCTTCATAATATTCAACACTTTTCACCTTGTGGTCTCTTTAGAGAACATTCTTAAAGAAATATTATGTATATATATAAATATATGAATGTAAAATAATTAGATTTATATGCCATATAGTTTATGATACACAAATCTGATTCATGTGCTAGTCCATTTCAGTTTCACCCCTTCTACAGTCTCTCAGTACACGTACAGAATACCAGATACCTATTTGCCATGTTTGTTTGAGGCGACTATTTTCATATCAGGACAACGGAGCTCTAAATGAGCACAAAAGATTAGTCTGCTTACAATTGTAACATTTAATATGATAAAACCTCAACATTGCATAATAAAGCAATTAATAAACATCCCAAACTGGACATCAACACATAGATATTACTTGAAAATAGAAGTTCCAGATTGGTGAGTGACATCCACCAGGGTCACATTTCAACAAACACATAGTATTTTTTTATTTTTTGGAAACTAATAGTGGCATTTACTGACAATAGGAGTTGTTTCCATTTGTGTGGGAGGCAACACCCCTGTTATTTTAGTGATGCGGCTAAAAATGGCAGCTAAAAAAACTTAGAAACAGTGGCAGAAAAAAAACCTGTTTCTAAGGAATGAGCTTGTACAGAGGAAGGTATCCAGTATTCTGAATTCTAGCCATTTTACAGACAAGTTTATCAACAGAAAGCCAGACAAAAGAAAAAAAACAGGCAACAGTCTAACAGAAGATGGTGAAGCTGCCATGCCATCGTTGAGCTCCGATCTTTGATCCTATGATAGAAGGACTGGTTTCTTACATTCATTTTGAATTAATCAAATGCATGTCTTTGATTATGCATATTGTATCTGAATTCACATTGATTGAAAACATTGTCACACACAAATTACAGTCCAAAACTGTTTTATTGGTAAGGGCATTGCATTGCAGTGTCAATTTCAATAATAATGAGGTGGGTGCAAGGTTTCTAATACAAAAGGAATCTGATATTGATAACATGAAAGGTACTTATTACATTCAGCACTCTGCAATTTCATTGGTTGTGAGCAGTGTGCATACTGGACATTACGAGGCTAGCAGCATCCAAACATGACACACCTCCGTTACACTCCTTGTATAGAGTGCAGGGAACAAGTATTGCTGGAGTTTGTTTGCGAGGATTCAAAGTACGGTAGCATATGGGAATTCATGACATGGGAACCCTGATGAAGGGCAACAAGTAGCCATGAGTGAGTGATTGAGTGAGTTGTGTTTAACGCTTCTTTTAACAGTATTCCAGTAGTATCGCAGCGTGTCAGCTGGATGTGGGAGGAAAGCCCGAAGTGATTCAGGTCCCAGATGTTCACTTCGGTGAAACCCAGGAGCTTGCGTATGGTGCTGACATACCTAGAAACATAATCAGGGTGAACCGGGATGCGAAGCCACAATCATAGGTCTCTTTGGTGCCCAAGGGATGCAACTCTGCACAGCGAATTGCCGTGCCTCAGACGACAAGGCCACCCGTTCCCTCAAGTAGCCATGACATCTTGTGTAAATATATACAACCTTAGAAATTCAGTTGTTCAATGCTAGTCCAGAGAAATAAAGTAAACCCTATTTCACTAGTCCTGTGAAAGTTTGTAGCTAGTCCTGCTTGAACGCGACAAAACTGTTTACTATGTTTACATTTTCTATCCGTTTTATTCAGTCAGTTTTTTCAAGCTGTAGCAAAACTAGTTCAGAATTATAGCTCCCAATTGCTTATAGTCAATGAAGACTACCACGACTGGATATTTACCTGTCCCAAGCACAATTTAGTAGTCTCAGGCTAGCGGACTTGCATGAATTCCGAAGACTGTAACAAACAAATAGTTATCCATAATATGCCTTTTCATAACGTGAAGGGCGGTCGGGTAGCCTAGTGGTTAAAGCGTTCGCTCGTCACGCCGAAGACCCAGGTTCGATTCCCGACATGGGTACAATGTGTGAAGCCCATTGCTGGTGTCCCCCGCCATGATATTGCTGGAATATTGCTAAAAGGGGCGTAAAACCATATTCACTCATTCACTCATAACGTGAAACAGACTGACTGCTCGTCACTTATGGGGTCGTCGGGTAGCCTAGTGGTTAAAGCGTTCGCTCGTCATGCCGAAGACCCGGGTTGGATTCCAAGAATGACCCCTTTACGTTTCCCTGGGCATGGGTCATTGACTGCTGATACCTGGTCAATCACTTCCACGGGTAATGGGTCCCTTGACCCCTTGGTTAGGTCAGCAATCTCAAGTTCTGCTTCACTGATGATGACAATCACTGGCTTTGCATCATAGTTGTCTCATATGGCCTCAAGGGACAGTGAGGATGGGACTCAATAACTGATGACCCCCAACAATGTTTTGAGCATGTCCAGATTCTGGTGGCTGTTGGTTTCAAATTGATTTCAATACTATATATTGATGCTACTTCTAATTGAATATCACAAGAGTAAAATATCCGAGTATGCTGGTTTCCTGGCAAGGTGCAGCAACATCTGTCTTACAACGACCAACGTTGTGAATACTTCATGTGTTTGTATACACAATGTTCCTCCATCACAGGCGAATCTACATGGATGCTTTAGGCGACATTTTTTTCATTTCTTGGTTTATGGATTCTGAACTCATTTCAAAAGTGAAGTAGGCAAATTTAAAAAACAAACAAAAAAACTCTTGGATACTTTTTACTAGACTTTTGTCCTAAAAAGTTAGGTAGGTATAAAAAAAAATATTTAGAAGTAACAAAAGTAAAACAACTAAATTTTTCAAACATTTTATTATATCCCAGGCACACAGCTTGTGCACAAATGGCAATATAACAATATTCATGTCATGGTAAAATGCATGTAAGACTCCTCCATTTTTGCAGCATGGGCGACGATTAAACTGGTCGCCACTGCTCTTTGCGTGACAAGCTTTGATGGTATTAGAGAAGGTTCCCTGCGAGAAATATCAGTCTATTCAGAGTGACTTCCCTTTGCTTAACACTTGACGAAGAAATTAAATTTCTTTTGGCTGAACTTTTTATGTATTTTTTAAAGTAAAGATTGGGAGTAATAAAAAAAGGAGTAATATTTTTTATATTTTTTTTCAACATTTGGACTTTGAAAGAGTGGCACATTCATCAACCAAGAAATAAAAAAAAATGTCGCCTTGCGGCAAAGTCACTATTTTTAACCAACGAATCAAGCAACGCTCTGGTTACAGCAAGACAGAAACCAGTGAGAGCTCTGACCAGTAGGCACTCAGGTTACATGGAATGTTTCTGGCTCAACGTCTGCCATAGACTTGCGGTCCTGTACTCAACACACTGATTCAGTATCAGATAATGCTTACACTAGGCTTCACACTAGACTTATGCTTAGTCTCTGAAAATATATAATTTGGATAGAAACACCCAACTTCATTAAAATTGAAAAGAAGCCCCAGTGAGATGGGAATTTCAGAACCCGTGGAAATTCTAGACTTGCTTCATTTATAACTATAGCATTACAGTGAGTGAGTTGGGTTTAACGCCGCTTTTAACAGTATTCCAGTCATATTGAGGCGTGTCAGATTAATGTGGGAGGAAAGCCCGAAGTGATGCAGGACGTTTACCACTTCGGTGAAACCCACGAGGACAGGTGTTGACAAACCTAGAAACATAACCGGGGTGAACCGGGATTCAAACACACATTCATAGGTTTCTGGCATGCCCAAGGGACTCAACTCTGCACAGCGAATTGCGGTGCCTTATACAAGTGGGCCACCCATGCGCCCCCCATTAGTATTACAGGAAGGGCTGGGCAGAAGGGAAAATAATATGTGTCAGGGAGTGTATGGGAGCAGGGTTCTTTGACTTCGGTGAGCGATACAAACCCGTGTTTGTTTGTTTGTTTGTTTGTTTGTTTATGCCGGCTCACTTATATTCCAGCTATATGACAGCGGTCTGTATATAATCGAGTCTAGAACAGACAATCCAGTGATTGACATCATGAGCATTGATCTACTCAATTGGGATACGATGACATGCATCAACAAGTCAGCAAGCCTGACCACCCGATCCTATTGGTCGCCCCTTACGACAAGCATAGGTTGCTGAAGACCTATTCTAACCCCCGATCTTCACATGATACAAACCCATGAAATACTGACGATGAACTGACCTGTGGAATCAAGGTTGTTTTCAGCAAGAAATGAAGTACACGAAGCAAACTGAATTAACGGCTAGCTGGCTGCAGAAATTCCATATGGCAACTGTCATCAGATTTTAGGGATCATAATCCTTACTCTCTTCAAGCAGTGTCTTCAGTTAGTTTTTATTCAGGCCATATAGCAGTCTGTGCCAAAAGCTTTTGCGACTACTATCCTGAACTTGGCTCTAGCATTTCTTCAGTAGAATGTATTATTATTATGTGGACCATTATTCCCTGAGCTTACTAGACCGAACAGAGTTTTAGTCAGATTGAGGTTCTACATAGTGCCTATCAATATTAAGCTAATTCTGATGATGGTCCAATCAGTAAGATTTATGCTAGATACCATGCTGGACTGTGCCACTTGTACTGTTGCTCAATCATAGGGTCAGGACAGTCTCCTCTGTCTCGGTACACTGAAGAAAAACAAATAAAGAAAATACCATGTCTTACATTACCTGAGCATCAAACTGTCAGTGATTTCACACCAATGTGAAGTAACAACTCTAAACTTCATATAATAATTTGTTGCTGACTAATATGTGTCATGGGTAGAAGCTGACCCAGATACTAAACAGTGAGGTGAGGTGAAATGGTTTTTAATGTCTCATCCACGAATGTTGCACTTACATAGCGATGTGCATGCATGTGTGTGTGTGTGTGTGTGTGTGGCTGCTTGCACTAGTCCAGACTAAAGCTGATTTTATAGTGCTAGCGAGATACCATGCTGCAGTTAAACATAAGTACTGACCCCAAGCTTACCAGTCCTTGTTTTACCCGTAAATACCGAGTGCCAGGCAGGGTACCAACAAGTACCATCTTTTAACGTCTTTAGGTATGGTGCAGCCGGAGATCGAAGCCCAGACCTTCCGCTCTCCGAGCGGACGATCTACTACTAGACCATTTAGGCAGTCAGAAAGTCAACACTAATCATTACCTCACATTGCGGAATGAGACATGGAACTAAAAGAATTCTTCACCTAATTCGATAAAACTGACATTTTATTGAAACAATTCAACACAATGTTGTATTTCATAACTTTATCTAAGTCAAAACAAGATTTGCTCAGGTTCATATATAAATCATGAAAATGATGTACAAACATTTCTATTGAATTGTTTGATAGGAATTACTTACAAGTTGACAGATGAGAAAGTAGACACAATTTATGGATAACAACTTCTTTAATTACTGTAAAGGCAATGTTTTGGTATAGATTCTTATACCGTTGTCTAGCAAGACTGACATATTTAAGACATACCATTATTTCTTATGCTCATATTAGCTATAAGTTCAAATATTACAGAAATAGAGTTTTTAAACAAAGATTTAGAAACAAAAGAAAACCTGGAAAATAAAAAATTAAAACTGATCTGGCCTTAGAATGTATTTGACATTTAAAGATTTAGGAGCCCATGATTCAAGTACTACATATCAGAAAACCTGGATTTGGACACTGTGTAAGCAGATTAATATTTCTGAATTAAACATACTGATATAGTGTTCTTTTATCAAATGTAAACACTGAAATAGGGTAGATATGCCCACTTGTCTGAGACTAGTGAAAATCTAGAGGGACTAGTTGCTTTCTTCCAAAATCTAGTTATTTTACATAACCTACAAGTACAAGATAAGCTTTGTACAAGTTGGAATGACCACTGGTGTCAACCCCTGTTTTATCATAGCAATATATGAATAATTCATATAGTTACATGTATAGTCGCCACATTCAGAGACCATATCTCTGCCACATTGCAAAAAGGGTACTGCAAATCCGTGGAACATTGTACTACATGAACTGCCTACAAGCATGACGGTGCAATATACAAGAATTGATACATTTGATCAGATTGAGCATGGATCAATATTCTTTCAGCTCTAAACAAAAATGCAATGTCACGATAGACCTGCTTATGTTGACCGAGACCATAGTAACCAACCTTCTTTATCGCTAAATCAAGACAGTTGGACGTCATGCTTGAGTTGGTAACAAGGTTATAACATCTGTTTGCCTTTGATCAAAACAGCCATAGGAAGAATGTGATTGCCTTTTTTACTCCTGTAAGATTCTGGAGCAAGAGTGACTTGCAAAATCCAAATAACCGCCATGTGCACATCTGTGCATGTTCTGTGTATACATCCAATTTGTTACTACATCACAGTGAGGACTCATTCAAACATAGTTACTTTATCTATTCATTCATTCTTACCTGTGAAATAAATGTCTGTTGAATATAGTGTAATTTTGTGTGTGCTTTCATGCCACTCAAAACAGACTAGCTGAATTGGTCATAACAGTCAGGTGTCTGGTCAAGACGGACCGCTGTTACTCAAAACGGATCATTTAAATTTCACATTGAAAACCAAAAGAAGTTGCTTAGATTTATACTCATTATACATTCACACATACATCAATACATTGACATAATTTGTGGTACATTATCAATCATACTTGTTATTTTACACTTATAATATATCATGTATACTAAGTTATAGTTCTACTATACTTAATACTCATATTTTTTGTAAATTTTCATTGTTTCTGTCAGTGTCCCAAACTTCTACAATCACTGTTTTCATGGCACATGTGCTCTACTTCTTACCTGTGAACTACAAGCATCCATGTACTCTACTGGTTAGCAATCAATCAACAAATCAAACCAATAAGTGTCAGAGCAACTGAATGCGTGGATACCAATTAAGCAAACAGGCATATCCATATGAGCAAGTTTATATCCATTCAGTATGACTTAACAATGAATGTGATAAGTTACCATAGTCAATGTTATCAGGGATCACATGAATGCAAACTTCTACAAGCTGTTGTCAAAAGAATTGTTTTTTCATTGAAAGACAGAATCAGTTCTGAAAATTACACTACAGAGTTTCCATATATATGACATTCCTTTACAAATATAAATTCTATGAGTATGAAAATATGAAATCTAACTCATTTACAATAATGGTAATTCAATTGTGTCTGAAAAACTGTTGTCCAATATGTTTACTTCACGAAATACAAATGTGGCACAGGACCATGTAGATAACAACAACAACAAACAAACTTGCAGACGAGGTCGAAGGTTTGTTATGTATTATTAGTTACATGGTCCTGTGAGAACAGTTACAAAACAAACCATAAAAACAAATTGGACATAATTGATGAGCCAAACATCAGTCAGTTCTACTCACTACATTTCAAATATTGTTACTCATTAAACCAATGTCATGAATTTTTAGGAATCAAAAGCATACTATTTGTAAATATGTGCACTCACTAAAAATATTGCTTTTGGTTTATCTCTGAGTTAGGGGTGATAGCTAAATAATTGAACTGTCAATTTGTGTTGTGAGGAATATCAAACATTGCAATATATGACAGGAAATTAGAAACGATAACCGATATCCACATTGGCGTAGTATACAAACCTAGAGCACAATCATTGACATGTTAATCATGGGTTACGTTCATTCTGTGCACTTGTCCTAAATTATACGGGTGTTGGGTAGATCAGTCACACCTCTAGTCTACTCCTTTTCGAGTCTACTTAAATCTACCCGTTTATGACCTACCCCATTGTAGCCGAGAGCGGCGAAGGGGTCCTACAGTCAAGACATGACCCTACACACCCCATCGCGGCTCTCGGCTACCCCATTATAACTCATACCCGGTATCTATCAGTGAGTGCAGTACCAAATCAACAGAACTGCACGTACATTCAAGACATGAACTGTTTATTGCAAAGTAGCCCCAAAGTAGCCCCTCGTCTATTTGCTAACCATGAAGTAACAAAACATAAATTGTAACATACCGTTTGAAACCCGTACCGGCACACCTGAGTATTTGACAGCAGACGCTTTTTGTTCCCGGAAGTATAATTTTAATGTTGAATGTATCTTCTAAAAACATCCTCCAATGTTCAAATGTATTGTAGTTATAAAATCAAATAATTTGCGTTTAAATATCTTTTGATCATATCGATATATATGTTTTTATATATTTTAATTTATTAAATTTCTTATTAATGAAAAGCACTGAGATTAATCATTCTAAACTAACAAGCATTATATTTATAATGATTAGTTGTTAAATAAATGTCGTCAAGAAAATCTGCCACGTTGCGTGCGCATGCGCCCAACCCGGAAGCCACGACGGCAAAAGATGGACTACTTCCGAAATTTTCTTGGGACTCCTCAAGGAGGAGATCAACCAACTGGGGCAGAAACGGTAAACAGAAAAAACATTATATCTGTAGCATCTTCGTGACACCCCTTTCTACTTGTTTGTTCCAATAAATTATAGCCACACATTGCATTTTGACCGCTGCATCTGTAACCGATAGGAAGTTTACCAGTGGTGACATGTGTCAAGTTCCAAAGTTGATGTCATCCTAATTTCGTGATAACACTTTTGCCCTGTAGGAGAAGGGACACGGGGTCAATATGGTCATTTGATATTTTGTAGATGCCGAATCCCACTCAACAGCTTCTGAGCCTAATATTCATGAAAACATACCAACGTTAATTGGAAGGCGAGAGTTTGTTTCTTTGCAACTTTGCCTGTAACAAACAGAAGGAATCATTGGTCGTGAACTTCAATGTCTCTTCAATACATATGGGACTTTCTTGTCAACCCTCCGATAAGTCAGTAAAGCAATCTGGAGACAACCTCAGATTGGTGTATGATAAACACGGATCAGGGTTAAGCAAGAGCTGTTATGGGGTCCAAGAGTCTAGACATTAAAGCATGGCTCAGGGCCCCGTTCCACAAAGCGATCTTAGCGCTAAGTCGGTTGTAACTCCCATTCTTTAACACTGACTTACGGCAGTCATATCGCTAAGATCGCTTTGTGGAACGGGTCCCAGGACACTATCTTCCACAATTCTATGCAGATTGTGGTGACCTCTCATATTTTTTCTACCTAAATAATTCCTGTGGGTTAGTGAGTGAAATCAAAAGTTGATATTGTTGTCTCCCTGATATATTCAGTACCTATACACATACCTACCACAACCTGAGGTACAGAAACAGCCTGGGAACCAATTACTTCTTTCCCATTCACCTGATATACAGGGCAAGATGTAGCTCTGAAGCATGTTTTTATAATAAAGGAGTTGATATCCATAATACTCCTTGTTGTGATTACATCCAACTTCTTAGACCCAGGGTAGAATAGGTCTTTACCAACCCATGCTTGCCATAAAAGACGACTATGCTTGTCGCGACTAACGGGATTGGGTGGTCAGGCTCACTGACTTGGTTGTTGCATGTCATTGTATCCCAATTGAGTAGATTGATGCTCATGATGTCAATCACTGGATCCTATAGCTGGAATATTGCTGAGAGCGGCGTTAAACAACAAACAAAACAAAACATCCAACTTCTATAATGCCTATAAATATTCTCATTCATACTAGTTGCTATGTATTTTTCTTCTCAGGTTGAGCGACTGACAGAGCGAGCCACCTCCTCCACCCTGCTAGAAGACAGGCGTGGTGCAATCAGGGCCCTTAAGTCTCTGTCAAAGGTAAGTAACGTAATGTCAATCAAATATTACATGATGTAAAGCATGATATGTGCATCTATTATCAAGAGTGAAATTGAATGTTTATAGGCAGGCCCTGCATAAGCTATTTGTGTGGGCATAACTTAGCATACTTAGCAGAGTATGTACTCCATGTTTGCAGTCTGTGCCATAAACTTTTGAATCTACTTGCCTGAATATGGCTTTCACAGTATTTTCATTAGATTTTGGTGTTGTCGTATGGATTATTATTAGCTGAGTTCTTACTGGACTCGGCCTTGGGGCTACTGTCTAAAGTTGCAGACTGTATTTGCTGTAAGAGCAGACTAGGATGGGGATAATGTTCTCATAATGTGTGAGCTGTGCATGCTGTGTGACATGAACCCATATCATGCATATGGCATGGATCGTCATTGTCAACCATAACAGAAAGCTCCTTACGGCAATAGCCCATTTGCAGAGCCCTCTATACTATCACTGCCACTAGTCACAGCTCCCCTCTCTGCTAAGTGGCCTACACCCGTGAATGAAGTTGAACTTGCATCCGCTTGAACGTGATGTTTACGAACAAGTGATGATTGTTGAGACATTGAATACTCTTCCCGAGTTATTTGTTTTATTTTGTTAGTCAATTTTTGTTTCATTTTAACCATCGAAGGGAAGGTTGGATGCTTTTCCATTCATCTGCAATCTTGAACCATTCTGATTTAAGAAACAATGTAAATTCATCTGGGGAATATTATTACTAAGTCAGTCATAAGCCTTTCACTTTAATAGTATTCCCAAAGACTTACAAGATGGGAACGCTATTTTAGTGAAGTAACGAAGGAGAGTAACGAAGGTGTCATGGGCTGGGAAGGTCATCAAGGTCATAATGTTTTGTGAATCTGGACAATATATGAGTGCGAGTAAACTAATTCTCAGTTAAGCCATGGCTGATAGTGTTTAGTCACACCCTGATTGAATTGACAGCCTTCAGGTTTTGTTTTTCATAAAACTGGTCCAACATGTCCAAAGGACTGGTTTAGACCTTAATTTCACTTGTCCTCAAAGTTCTAGCTTGAACGAGGCAAAAATGTTTACTAAGTTTACATTTTCTGTCAGTTTTATTCAGTTCCAATTTGTAGCAATTTAAAAGCATTGAGAACTGGTTTAGAATTATAGCCCTCAAATGCTACTAGTCAATGGTGATTACCATTATTGAATTTTTCTTGTCCTCAGCACAGTTTTGTTGTGTCGGGCTAGCGAACTGCTGAAACTTTTAACTACAATCGGTTCAATGACACCATGGTTCCATCAAAGAACTGTCATGACCTCACTATTTGTTTTAGCCCGAGCCTTGTCCGAATTACTGTGACAGGTTGAATGTGTAAAGTCAAACTAACATTTATGAAAGCTGATAGTCATTTTCAATATTGATTTCACCTTCATCATTCGAGAACAGCTTGAATAAAAGTATTGATTAGAAAATTACATGAATTTATCAAACAAGTTTACCATTGTGTTTTCAGAAATACCGCCTAGAAGTTGGCACACAGTCTATGGGAGTATTGATCAATGTATTGGAACAGGACAGGTGAGTTGCCTGATTCAGTCATTTGTTACCATGGTTACAGGTGGTCAGGTATTTCTGAATTGGGCTAATGGTTTGTTCCACGCTATACTGGCCTGTTACTGGATCCTTTAACCTAGACTAACTTTTAGTCTATGAAATCTTATTACACAATACCCTTCTCGAAACAAGTAATTCCCGATGCTGATTTCATATGTGGATTAGAGCTAGCTAGAGCTGACTAGATATGCCTTTGTATGCATATCTAGTTTGTTTTGTTTTTTCTTCTCTCATAAAATACAAATATTCCTGCACAGGCATCGTGCAGGACTACACTTTGCTCAGCTTTTGGAAGTCAAGCCGTCAACGTAGGGTTGCTGCTTCCCCTACCCGCTTGTTACTCGGGTCATCGCTTCTGCAGCGTGCTGCGGATACAGCTATACCTCTCTGGCTTTCTAATGGCGACTACCCCTCTTGCCTCTGGCGAGGAAGTGATCGCCGACTGACGAAGGATCTTCACTCACGGGATGGTCAATCTTCGTAAACGACCTAGTGATCGAGGGATCAACAGATCGCCATACTTCACCATTATCGACAACGTGCTGTTCTTGGATGGACAGTTCATCAGATCGTACCTTGGAGGATCGACAGTTTCGCCTCTTCTACAGATCGATACCCGAGGGATCTCCACTCGATGATACACATCAATGCATCGACACATGGACTACCATGTCAACAGTTCACAAGATCGTACCTCGGAGGATTGACAGTTTCGCCTCTTCTACATTTTGATACCCCGAGGGATCACCACTCGATGATACACATCGATGCATTGACACATGGACTACCATGTCAACAGTTCACCAGATCGTACCTTTGAGGATTGACAGGATCGTCATCCTTCGTTTGGTCGTAGATGACAGAGGGATCGACAAATCGTCAGATCGCCATACTTCACCATTATCTACAACACACTGTTCTTGGATGGACAGTTCGCCAGATCGATACCCGAGTGTTCTCCACTCAACGATTCACATTGATACATCGGTACATCATCCGATCAAGAACTCGCCTGCTTGTAGACTTCACCTGCAGAAAGCCTTGGTGGCTGATTGGGTTAGATCGCTGACTTCGTGTGCTGGCGATTAGGTCCCTTACTCTGGCTGTGGGGGTTCGAACCCCATTAAGTAAGAGAATCTGTACTTTAATGAGAAGATGTTATCCCAAATATAACATTTGTTATAAAAAACAGACAAACGACAGATCATCCTCATCTTCACAATTCTTTTTGTCGTCGTCTCGATACCGGAATGCACGACGCTTTTTCCAGTGCCTAGAAGATGGAGTCCATCGTCTCTTCACCAGTTCTACACGTCGCTGATCAACCTGGTAGGACAAGTCATCCCTCAGTTATTCAAGACAAGAGTTGATGAATATCGACATTTTGTTTTGGTATATGATCCTACTGTTTTCTACGTCCCTTCAAGGCACATTTCTGATACTACCACACTTCCACATGGTCCCGATTACTCTGCTTCGTACGATCAGTCAACCGGTGAACTACAAGGCACGATGAAATCAGAGACCCTCCTGCAGTTGACTTTTCACCTTTGGTAGACACGCCCAACCTAACAATATAGGCAAGACATATACAGGGAGTGGCAAATGGATTAGCAGACGCCTTATCCAGATCAGCCAAACCATCACCAACAGAATGGAAGCACCTGCAGCATTCCAACGGGCAATAAAAGAGAAAGGCTGTCCACTAATAGACCTATTTGCATCAGATAACATTGTGTCACCAGTGCCAGACCCACTAGCCTGGCCAGTCGATGTTCTCTCTATATCATGGGAGGGCCTAAACGCATATGTGTTCCCCCACCAGTCTTGATACAACAGATACTACACACGAGCTATCTACAACTGCTGTTGGTAGCGCCTTACTGGCCGACGAGAACTTGGTTCCAGATCTCGTGGAACTAGCACGGATTCCAATACTTAGACTTCCAAACTGGTCACATCTACTGCTACATCCTCACTCCAATTGGTCCATTCAAGAACAGAATAATACAAACTTCACATATCAAGTGCTGTCTCATAAAAGAGGATATTCTATTAGAGCAGCTAAGGCAGTCTCCTGAGTACTTTGTCGATCAAAGAGAATCTCTATGACGATAAATGGAAAGGTTTTCACCAGTTTGCGAGATCCAAGTTTTTTTCTGCAGCAAAGCTACTATACCACAAGTAGCAGATTACCTATGTTATTTACGAAGTAGAAGGAATCTTAAACTAAAGGTTTGACACTGGGCACTTACTTAGTTGCTATCAGTTCTGTACCGATCGAGGTTTCCCAGACAAGCTCCCAGAGGGAGGGTATATAAGCTCGTCTGTTGGGACTACGGTCAAAGTCAATAGAAGCCACCATCTGGTGCGGCCATTTGTTTCAATGGTGTCCCGATCTTCTACCTGCTCACCTCTGTCTTGCGCAGGTGACAGAGGTGAGCTTTTATTAAGCTGGAAACTTTGTTCTTGGGCATTTCCACACCAAGATCAAAGTATAAGAAGAAATGCATAGTGTGAGATAGGATAAGAATATAAATATGCAATATATTAGAAAGTTTACAATAATAATAATAAGAAGAAGAATGTTTTGTTAGGTATGTATGAATAATTGAGAATGTTTTGTTAGGTACGTATGAATATTTAAGAACTGACTTCCCTATTTTTTTTAGTCTATGGAGGTATAAATGTGAAAAAACAGTGCGCATACTGTGTAAGTCTGTGTAGACAACAGCACGAAATCAGTGGCATTGTTTAACACAATAATGTACCACAAGCCCTGCATGTTCTGTTATCAGTGTTCCTGTGTATCAGGAGTCCATTATTGGGCATGGCCTAATGTATTTGGGGGTTTATGGAAACATAATGCAAAAAACAAATTGCGTGGTTAGCCAATCAAATTCAACAAATCTCTTCCGTATTATTATCAGATAAACATTGGAACAGTGTAAACATCTTAAAACGAAAACAACTAGGTGACCTCTCTGTTCACAGAAGAGTGTCCCAGTATTAAGAAAATAAATAATATCATATCGTTTCCCTATCATAATATTGCTGATCATATTTGAATATTACCTACAAATTTCGGCCATCTCCCAGACCCTAGAGAATAAATCATGTGGAATCAGACTATTCCCCTTATTTATATACTTATCCTGACACAGCAGTATGCAATATACCTTCTGGCTTGATCATATAACAGTGTAGAACATTGTGAAAACAATCATCACCAGAACACACCCTCCGACCACTGTTGTCATGGTTGTGGAGGTGATAAGTTAAAAAAAAAGTCCAATTCAAGTCTAAAATGATTTGGCAAGCCTAGATGGTCTCAGCTCAAGACATTAAGGATTGTTCTGGGCTTCATTTGGATATTATTATCTTTTGATTTTGTAGATATGTACTTAAATAAGATATCTTATTTCTGGGACTAAATGTCACTCTATTACAAATCTTTTAGTGTTCATCTGTTTACAAATGACTAAAATGAATCATTCTCAAACAACTTCCTAATTGTCAACACAATCACCAATCCCCATACCAAAAGACGTTAAAAGATGGCACTTGTTGTTACCCTGTCTGGCGCTCGGCATAAAGGGGCTAAAACAAGGACTGGTCAGCCCGGAGTCAGTATACTGCCTGAGTGGGGTATTCATGTTAAACTGCGGCATGGTATCTCAGTGAGCTAGCACTATAAATCAGCATTAGTCCAGACTAGTACAAACAGCCACACACACACACATGCATGCACATGGCTATATAAGTGCAATAATCTTGGACACGACGTTAAACCCAATTTCACCTCACCTCACCTCATCTACAGAAAAGCAAGCTAAGTAGGTTGTTCAGGCAAAACTGTGCACAGAGGATGAAATACAAAGTCATTTCTGACATTCTCATATTGATCATGTTGATGTGGCCAATCTTTTTACAATTTATCGAGTTATAAACACAAATACTTTTCTCTTCTTAGCCAGTCAAATTGATGATGTTGATTGAAATAACACCAAATTCTTGAATATATTTATGGACTGGTTTGATTTGTCTTTCAGAAATGATGCTGAGATCACAGGGTATGCTCTGGACACGTTGTGCAATGTCATGTCCAACGAGCCGTCAGAGGATGGTAGGTAGAACATGCAGTTAGCATCATTCTCAGTCCAGACTCAGCCTTTACTGATAAAGTGGCTCAGCCACACATGTCGGAACTTAGAAATGAATTTGTAACACCCAGTGTTTGTTAAAATATATATTGGTATATATTTGAGATCATGATTTCTGTGGGTATCCAATAGTAACTAAGTTCTCTAATACTTTTACTTCTTGTAAATCTGCATTACAATTTACACTCCAAATGACTCTTACTCACTACCCCTGTTGGGACTCAGTGTCAGGACCCCAGCAATCCAGGACTACGTGTGTCCCCATTGTCTGATAATTTCTCTCTCACCACTGAAGGTCCCGGGTTAGAATAGGTCCTCAGCAACCCATGCCTGTCGTAAAAATCTACTAATGGGATTGAGTGGTCCCGGGTTAGAATAGGTCCTCAGCAACCCATGCTTGTCGTGAGAATCAACTAATGGGATCGAGTGGTCCCAGGTTAGAATAGGTCCTCAGCAACCCATGCTTGTCGTGAGAATCGACTAATGGGATCAGGTGGTCCCGGGTTAGAATAGGTCCTCAGCAAGCCATGCTTGTCGTGAGAATCGACTGATGGGATCGGGTGGTCCCAGGTTAGAATAGGTCCTCAGCAACCCATGCTTGTCGTGATAATCAACTAATGGGATCGAGTGGTCCCAGGTTAGAATAGGTCCTCAGCAACCCATGCTTGTCGTAAGAATCGACTAATGGGATCGGGTGGTCCCGGGTTAGAATAGGTCCTCAGCAACCCATGCTTGTCGTGAGAATAAACTATTGGGACCGAGTGGTCCCAGGTTAGAATAGGTCCTCAGCAACCCATGCTTGTCGTGAGAATCGACTAATGGGATCGGGTGGTCCCGGGTTAGAATAGGTCCTCAGCAACCCATGCTTGTCGTAAGAATCGACTGATGGGATCGAGTGGTCCCGAGGTAGAATAGGTCCTCAGCAACCCATGCTTGTCGTAAGAATCGACTAATGGGATCAACTGGTCCTGGGGTAGAATAGGTCCTCAGCAACCAATGCTTGTCGTAAGTATCGACTCATGGGATCAAGTGGTCCAGGGGTAGAATAGGTCCTCAGCAACCCATGCTTGTCGTAAGAATCGACTAATGGGATCAAGTGGTCCCGGGTTAGAATAGGTCCTCAGCAACCCATGCTTGTCGTGAGAATCGGCTATTGGGATCGGGTGGTCATGGGCTAGAATAGGTCCTCAGCAACCCATGCTTGTCGTAAGAATCGACTGATGGGATCGACTGGTCCCGGGTTGAATAGGTCTTCAGCAACCCATGCTTGTCGTAAGAATCGACTAATGGGATCGACTGGTCTCGGGGTAGAATAGGTCCTCAGCAACCCATGCTTGTCGTAAGAATCGACTCATGGGATCAAGTGGTCCCGGGGTAGAATAGGTCCTCATCAACCCATGCTTGTCGTAAGAATCGACTAATGGGATCGGGTGGTCCCGGGTTAGAATAGGTCCTCAGCAACCCATGCTTGTCGTGAGAATAAACTATTGGGACCGAGTGGTCCCAGGTTAGAATAGGTCCTCAGCAACCCATGCTTGTCGTGAGAATCGACTAATGGGATCGGGTGGTCCCGGGTTAGAATAGGTCCTCAGCAACCCATGCTTGTCGTAAGAATCGACTGATGGGATCGAGTGGTCCCGAGGTAGAATAGGTCCTCAGCAACCCATGCTTGTCGTAAGAATCGACTAATGGGATCAACTGGTCCTGGGGTAGAATAGGTCCTCAGCAACCAATGCTTGTCGTAAGTATCGACTCATGGGATCAAGTGGTCCAGGGGTAGAATAGGTCCTCAGCAACCCATGCTTGTCGTGAGAATCGACTAATGGGATCGGGTGGTCCCGGGTTAGAATAGGTCCTCAGCAACCCATGCTTGTCGTAAGAATCGACTGATGGGATCGAGTGGTCCCGAGGTAGAATAGGTCCTCAGCAACCCATGCTTGTCGTAAGAATCGACTAATGGGATCAACTGGTCCTGGGGTAGAATAGGTCCTCAGCAACCAATGCTTGTCCTAAGTATCGACTCATGGGATCAAGTGGTCCAGGGGTAGAATAGGTCCTCAGCAACCCATGCTTGTCGTAAGAATCGACTAATGGGATCAAGTGGTCCCGGGGTAGAATAGGTCCTCAGCAACCCATGCTTGTCGTGAGAATCGGCTATTGGGATCGGGTGGTCATGGGTTAGAATAGGTCCTCAGCAACCCATGCTTGTCGTAAGAATCGACTGATGGGATCGAGTGGTCCCGAGGTAGAATAGGTCCTCAGCAACCCATGCTTGTCGTAAGAATCGACTGATGGGATCGACTGGTCCCGGGTTGAATAGGTCTTCAGCAACCCATGCTTGTCGTAAGAATCGACTAATGGGATCGACTGGTCTCGGGGTAGAATAGGTCCTCAGCAACCCATGCTTGTCGTAAGAATCGACTCATGGGATCAAGTGGTCCCGGGGTAGAATAGGTCCTCATCAACCCATGCTTGTCGTAAGAATCGACTAATGGGATCGGGTGGTCCCGGGGTAGAATAGGTCCTCAGCAACCCATGCTTGTCGTAAGAATCGACTAATGGGATCGACTGGTCCCGGGGTAGAATAGGTCCTCAGCAACCCATGCTTGTCGTAAGAATCGACTAATGGGATCGAGTGGTCCCGGGTTAGAATAGGTCCTCAGCAACCCATGCTTGTCGTAAGAATCGACTAACGGGATCGAGTGGTCCCGGGGTAGAATAGGTCCTCAGCAACCCATGCTTGTCGTGAGAATAAACTATTGGGACCGAGTGGTCCCAGGTTAGAATAGGTCCTCAGCAACCCATGCTTGTCGTGAGAATCGACTAATGGGATCGGGTGGTCCCGGGTTAGAATAGGTCCTCAGCAACCCATGCTTGTCGTAAGAATCGACTGATGGGATCGAGTGGTCCCGAGGTAGAATAGGTCCTCAGCAACCCATGCTTGTCGTAAGAATCGACTAATGGGATCAACTGGTCCTGGGGTAGAATAGGTCCTCAGCAACCAATGCTTGTCGTAAGTATCGACTCATGGGATCAAGTGGTCCAGGGGTAGAATAGGTCCTCAGCAACCCATGCTTGTCGTAAGAATCGACTAATGGGATCAAGTGGTCCCGGGGTAGAATAGGTCCTCAGCAACCCATGCTTGTCGTGAGAATCGGCTATTGGGATCGGGTGGTCATGGGTTAGAATAGGTCCTCAGCAACCCATGCTTGTCGTAAGAATCGACTGATGGGATCGAGTGGTCCCGAGGTAGAATAGGTCCTCAGCAACCCATGCTTGTCGTAAGAATCGACTAATGGGATCGACTGGTCCCGGGTTGAATAGGTCTTCAGCAACCCATGCTTGTCGTAAGAATCGACTAATGGGATCGACTGGTCTCGGGGTAGAATAGGTCCTCAGCAACCCATGCTTGTCGTAAGAATCGACTCATGGGATCAAGTGGTCCCGGGGTAGAATAGGTCCTCATCAACCCATGCTTGTCGTAAGAATCGACTAATGGGATCGGGTGGTCCCGGGGTAGAATAGGTCCTCAGCAACCCATGCTTGTCGTAAGAATCGACTAATGGGATCGACTGGTCCCGGGGTAGAATAGGTCCTCAGCAACCCATGCTTGTCGTAAGAATCGACTAATGGGATCGAGTGGTCCCGGGTTAGAATAGGTCCTCAGCAACCCATGCCTGTTGTAAGAATCGACTAATGGGATCAAGTGGTCCCGGATTAGAATAGGTCCTCAGCAACCCATGCTTGTCGTGAGAATAGACTAATGGGATCAGGTGGTCAGGCTCGATGACTTGGTTGATGCATGTCATCGCATAGATCGTTGCTCATGACATCAATTACTGGATTGTCTGGTCCAGACACAATTATTTACAGACCAGTGTCATATAGCTGGAATATTGCTGAGTGTGGCACTAAGCAACAAACGATGCCTGTGCTGACTACATGAGGAATATTGCTTATAAATGTTTCATAATGTTCACGCTCTGTTTGCAGATGATGAAATGCCATCACACGTTCCAAGTGAACTAGGTGGTCAGTTTACAGAAATCTTCATCAAGCAGTCAGAGAATGTGTCGCTTCTGCTCTCTCTCTTGGAGGTAAGGATCGTTGTGAATTAACCTGTGCTTGTCAAGCTTAATATTTTATAATGGAGTAGTATCTACTATCTTGACTTTCAGTAGCTTCATCTGTCTATGAATGGACCGAGTACATAGTCAAGCGGATGGAGAGAGGGAAGTTGATGGTTCAGTCACTAGCCGTGTAATACCCAAAGACAATAATAGGTGGTACTTCGTTGTTTCCATGCCTGGCCATTGTCATTAAGGGGATAAATCAAGGACTGATCGGCTCAGTCAGTCCTCCGTGTCTGTGTGGGGTATCCATGTTTAACTGTGGCTTGGTATCTCAGTGTTATATTGTCATTAGCCTGGACTAGTACAAGCAGCCACACACACATGCATGCACATTGCTATATAAGTCCAATAATCTTGACCGCAATGATAAACCCCTTTTCACCTCCCTCTTCATCTGTGTATGAATTTGTGTCAAATCTAATGATAGTATTATATGTGAACTGGAATATGTTTACACGTCTCTTTGGGGATTTCGGTCAGAATAGGTCCTTGTATTCCATGCTTATCTAAAGAACTCATAAAAATTAGTGTGACCTGATACCACATTGTCATTGTTCCTCATGCTGTGAAGACCTTAGGGGCGGGGGGGATGGGGGTGTCCTGATGTCAGTTCTAATTATAACTTATTTTGAGTGTTGTTTCAATACAGCCTGTGATACCCCTGTGGGGAGTCTGGGATAGTATCGCACCCAACAACCTGTGGGTGCTGATTGTAAGAGGCAACTTAACATGCTTCATGGATCGGGCGTGGTGACTTGGCTGACTTGGGGCATCATACTCCAATGATAGTTGCTACTATTGTCAATCGCTGGAATGTCTGATCCAGACTTTTATTTACAGTTTGATGACATATAGCTGGAATATTGCTGAATGCAGCATTAACCAAAACAATACTGAACTAACTGCCCCCGTGATGTTGGTGTTAACATTGGTCAACCTGTTTCCTCCAATGTAGGAGTATGACTTCCATGTGCGCTGGCCGACGGTGAAGCTGCTGACCGTCCTGCTGACCAACAAGAGCAAGCACCTGCAGGAATGCATCCTGGTCAGCCCCATGGGCGTGTCCAAACTCATGGACCTGCTGTCCGACAGCCGTGAGATCATCAGGAATGATGTGAGTACATGGATCAAGCACCTTGTGACGGAATGTCGTGTTGTGAGTAGGATTGCAGTGCCAGTGTATGGAGACATAGACACATGATAGAGAAACTCTTTGGAAGATGTGACAATATGACCGGACATGTATCACTACAATATTACTTGTCTCTATTTGGGTAAAGTTTTATTTTGATACTGTATTGATACAAATTTATAAATATCAACACTTAATAAATAATTCAATACCACAGACACATTTACTAAGATTACTATGGGAAGGATGGACATTAAAAAGACAAATACAATCTTAAATATTTACTGGATCTACCTAGATCATATTTAGCATCAAATGTCAGGTCTACAAAGGTATTTTTTATCTGTTAATATATTGATACTAAATTTCCAATAATAATAATAATAATAATAATAATAATATATGCATTTGTATAGCGCAGCATTCACTGTTATTATTTATTAACTCATGTTAACTCATGTTTGCTGAAATACCCTCTTGAGATTCCAGGGTAGAATTTGTCTCAGATACTTTATCTCTGAAGAAGCATTAAGCTCTCTGAGCTACGTTCACCTGACTTTCCTTCTGATTGTGCAGGCGCTGTTGTTATTGATTCAACTCACGAAGGGGAACGCCAACATTCAAAAGATTGTTGCATTTGAGAATGCATTTGAACGTCTAATCGAGATCATCCGAGATGAAGGCAACAGTGATGGTGGTAGGCACAGATCAGGGCACATGTACATTTTCATCCGTGTGGATTCAGGGGGGCAAGTCAGTCCCAAATACATGCTTTACTCAAAGGGGATGCAATGGCCACAATGATTGCTGAATGAAAAGTAGTACCGGTAATTGATTGGCTTGGAAGACAGCTATTAGCAGTTAAAGCCCCGTAATCAGGGGCTATATGGCACCACAGGTGGCCGTGTGTGGTATTTCGCTGGACAAATGTTTTAGCTATTCCAGGATCCGCATGTCAAGGGGATAATTTCAGATTTAACCCTGACTATGGCCCTTGGTCTGTCAGCAAACACCTCATTATTATACATTTTACGAACATTTTCTGACTATGTGAACCTGACTAAAGACATTTGTCGTTTCATTGCAATGATACAAGCTACGCCAGTCAGTTTATATGTCTAACATTTCAGTTTTCTTTTTCAGGTATTGTCGTGGAAGATTGTCTTCTCTTGCTTCTTAATTTACTCAAGAACAACGTTTCAAATCAGAATTTTTTCAAAGAGGGTAGCTATGTTCAGAAGCTAGAGCCGTATTTTGAGTTGGACGCAGGTCAGCAGAACACCCAGGGGGGCTGGTCAGCTCAGAAAGTTACCAACATTCACCTGATGCTGCAAGTGAGTTGACGTTGTGACCACTAACACAACTAACAACCCGGTGTGCTCAGAATTTTGGTGGAGATGGGTCAACTTTTGGTGGATGGGTCTTGTTTTGAATAAAGCAAAGGTTTATTGGAACTAGGGCCAGACTTCTTTTTTCGGTTTACAGATTTTTGACCCAAACATTTAGGTCAGTAGGTTTAAAAAACTAACTAATTATTATTTATTTAATTTCAAATATTTACTTTGATTTCCTCAAAATGTTAAGTAGATAAGGAGGGAAAAAATTGGGATGTGAGGAAAAGGGATTTGTCATAATCTGTTGTGTTTTGAAGTTTGTTAGAAGCTTTGTCAAAACATCTCACTTTGAACCTAATTCTGATTATTTGAAATATTGTATGTCCATCCAAGGAATATATCTAAATAATTTTCTGCTGATGAAACTTGAACATTTTCACTTGAACATTTTCATATGGTCTGATACAGAGAAATACATAAAATTGCAGGCGAGCTACACTGTCTAATCGTTTTCCTTTAGATCTTGTAACTTGTATCTTGTATCAGTTTGAACCCAGTACTGTGTGACTCTTGCTGTTGTAGAAGTTTAGAGAAATATATACATATTTATGAATTGATATGTCTGACAATAAGCCTTAATGATTGGTTCCAATAAACCTTTGACTTCTACAAATATGGTATAAGTGCTATTTAGCATGGAAAAGCATGAGTTAATAGTACTAGGCTTCTCCAATAATGCTTTGTCCTATTTTGGAACATAAACATAAAACAGTTCTGCATGGATTCCATTGTGGACTAAGTCCCCCAAGATAGTGCCTGGGTTCTGTTACAATGTCTGGCATCAGCTTTGTGCCATTAACACCAAATTAATTGTTTCTGTCCCAAGTGATGTCACTGTCAACCCAAAGTAGCAAACAGTTTGTGATGTCAGACAATGGCGACCATTGTATTGTGATGTCAGACAATGGCGACCATTGTATTGTGATGTCAGACAATGGCTACCATTGTATTGTGATGTCAGACAATGGCTACCATTGTATTGTGATGTCAGACAATGGCTACCATTGTATTGTGAATCACAGTGATTTTGTACAACTTCTAGAAGCTAGGGGACAATTCAAATTTTCAGCCGAACAATCAGCTTTTGGCATGTTTAGACAGTGTAAGAAAGAGCTGACGTCTTTTGTCAGATATGTCCATAAGAGAGTCCTGAAGGTATTATTGGAAGCCCCCTGGTAGTTAGCATGGAGTGCATTGCTGACAACAGTGTCCAACCCAGAATTGAAAATCAAGGGAGACTTGTCCCCCCATCATGTAGAAAATAGGGGGGATTTTGAAAAAGTAGGGGGGATAACTGCTTTCTTTAAAAATGTCTTATTTTGTATTATGTACTCGAACATCATCATATAAAAGTGTAACAGATCAGAATAAAGAACTGCTTTTTTGAGTCACTAGGACCGGGATCGATTTCCCCTTCAGTTTGAGAAGTAATTACAGTGACTGTGGTTTCATTATTGTCTTTTTTAGAACATCTATTTTGATTAAAAAAGTCTGTAATGTTTTTGTTTTGCGAGACATTTTCACTATCAAAAGATCGTCTGCAATGACAGTCGGCGATTCATATTGTGTGATTTCAGAAAAGAAACTAAAACGAACTAAAATGCTCAAAAATACTTCTAGAACTATTCAATATAGAATATTTATTTGTCTTTTAACATCTTGATTTTTTTTAGTGTGAATCGCGCAATCGCGCGGTCTGGGTTGGACACTGGCGACAATTCTTGTTAATGTTTTCCCACACTGTTCTTTCCCCTTTCTGTGTCTCTGTAGCCGGGGGTATTGACATCAGATGTCCAGTTATATTTGTCTGGACATTCCCACCTTAGCCACATGTATGTCATGTGAGTAGGACGTGATGGTTACCATGGTTATCATGTAGGTCTGGGTTGTTTCATTTGAATTTTGCATTCAGCTCTTAAAGTCAGATCATAATGAAAATGTAAAATGGTTGAACAAGAAGTACCTTTTTATGATTCGCATATCAAGCTTATCAATTCCACTAGCCAGAGTTAAATGGACTAAGAATTTTGTGTGTGTATTTATATATATATATATATATATATATATATATATATATATATAGGATTATGGTTGGCCGCCACAAAGCGGTGTTAAACCCATCTCGCTTACTCACTCTCTCTGCATGGGGTGTGGGAGTTGGGAGTTGGGAGTTGGGGGGGTTTACGGGTGGCCGTCACAAAGTTGTGTTAAACCCAACTCGCAAACTCACTCTCTTTGCATGGTGACTTGTTTCTAATTCTGTGTTTGTTGATCAGTCCTGACTGTCCTGTCATCATAGATCTGTCATTAGCATGTGTCTTGCTCGTCATCATCGTCATTGTCATCATCTTCATCATTTTCATCATCATCATTCTCCATTTCCTCCTTTACCTTCTTCCTACTGTTTATTTAATTTCTCTTCGATCAACTTTCAATTGATTTTATTGTCTCTACTCAAAGGTTTCATGTATCCTAGCACGATTTTAGAGAATCATTGTACAAATGTGAATAGTGTATATTGTATGTACTTGCTGGGAAATGTGTTTGTCAGAGGAGCTTACGTTGCCATGGTTACTGTCAATAAGTTCATTTTGATTTCATTTTTCTGGAACAGTGCTTTGTTTTTTGTTTTATTGATTTTTACTGTTCATTTCAGCATTTTTTTATGAATTTAATTTTGCGAGTCCACTAAAATTCTGGCTCCGCACACATGTAGCATTGGTTGCTTGGTAACAGTGGGTTGGCAAGGTGATGATGCTGTGCAGGTTACTACGTTGTTACCATGGTAAAATGCCTTTCCTAGTAACATGTACAGCCCACTGGTCCCTGTCAAGTGCTTCTCCCATGATTCCCAGCTTAGTTCCGTTAACAACTCATCATGATGATGCTTCATGCATTAATCCTCCCCCAACTCACCCAACTCATCCTCGTTCACCATCATGGACCCATGCTGCTGCTAGCTGCTGCTTGTCACAAGATACTCACTCCCCTTGTTCAGCTAACTGATGCTAAGTGTTGAGATAACAAATGAAGGCCATCTGTTTATTTTTCTTCTATACGGATCATTCTTAGTCACTCTGTAGTGATGAGCTGCAGTTCTAAGCACTTACTCCAATCATGTGTTGTCACAATACTGCTATATTGTTATAGTTATTCTAAGCCGTAACACCACTGCCGTGGTCTAGTGGTAGAGCGTCCGCCTGGAAACTGGAAGGTCCGGGTTTGACCCCGGGTGGCGTCATACCAAAAGACGTTAAAAGATGGTACTTATTGTTACCCTGTCTGGGGCTCGGCATTTAGGGGCTATAACAAGAACTAGTTGGCTCAGAGTCAGTATACTGTGTCTGAGTGGGATGTTCATGATAAACTGCAGCATGGTATCTCAGGGGGCTAGCACTATAAATCGGCATCAGTCCGTGCATGCACGTCGCTGTATAAGTGCAATAATCTTGGATGCGACGTTTAACCTCGTTTCACCTCACCTCGTCATACAAATCGTAGAACTGGATCTGTCATGTAATCGTTAGAAACGAACATTATTGCTAGGGATCTGTGTCATGACCACTTAATGTTTGTTTTCTAAAGGAGCACTCAGCAAACATCCCAGCTGTCCGTGTCCAACTATTCCTTCCTGCTGCTCAACCATGTTCCTTCTGTCAGTGTTCTCCAATTCCACCAGATCATCCAACATTGTCAGTTCTTTTTCCATCACATCAACATCTTCATTTGAACTGCCATCAGATCAGTCCTAGCGTCTTCAGTTCTAGATCATCACATTGCCATCTTCGGTTCTATTGCTATCACAACAGTGCAACATCTTTAGTTCAAGATGTTCCAGTTCTCGATCATCATCAACATCTTCTTTTCCAAGAGAAACACCACATTGAGTCATCTTTCTTTACAAATATATCCTTTCAGTGTTTCGATCTGCTTTCAATTTTGACATTGCTTCGAGTTGTGTCATATCTGCTTTTGAGCTCTTTTCTTTGTTAGCTGTTTTTTACTAGCATTACCAATACAAACAACAGATTGATATGTTTAGTAAGGGGTGGTCGGGTAGCCTAGAGGTTAAAGTGTTGGCTCTTCATGCCGAAGACCCGGGTTTGATTCCTGACATGGGTACAATGTGTGAAAGCCCATTTATGGTGTCCCCTGCTGTGATATTGCTGGAATATTGCTAAAAGCGATGCAAAACCATACTCACTCACTATGTTTGCTAAGCATTAAGTTTAAAGTATATTTTTGTGCAAGTGAAATGGATCATTTGGTTGCTTCTTCACACAATGATAATTACTGTCAAGCAAGACTGCACTGCAACCTACGGGGAAGGGTTACTATGTGTATGTATGACATGTGGCCGTCTCTTGTAGTTGGTACGAACAATGGTTTCTCCCAACAACCCTCAGCAGCAGACGACTTCCTGTCAGAGGGTCATGAACTCATGTGGTAAGTGGTATCATAACTAAAAAACGTTTTACCATGTATATAGAGGTTATCATGCCAGTGTGTTTGGGGATGGTAAATATCCTGCATTAGGAATAAACATTGTATTTAGCGAGCCTTGGCGAGCTAAATACATAGTGTTTATTCCTAATACAGGATATTTACCATCCCCAAACACACAAGCGTGATAACCTCTTTATCATATAATGTCATTCTTTAATTCTGTGCTTTAAAATCGCTTTCCCTCTCTTTCCCTTTACCGAAACATTGCGAGTTTTCCTGGAATGCGCGCATTAATATTTATTACGTCACAGGGTAAGTGATGTGTCAGTCGGACAGTGACAGTAGCCAATATAGTTCCAACTGAAATCTGTTTTTTATACAGTGGCGAAGCAACATATACGCAAAACAACAGTTGTTTTTAATTGCCTTTCGCGGCAATCCATCTGTCTGTCCGCTAGAGTAACTGCCCTTTGTCAAAGGGAAGCTACTCTAACCCTAGTCTATGAGGCGTCACGGCCACGGTCAGACGTTGTTGACAGTCGGTCTGCCCTGTTATAACGTTAAGAAGTGTAGTCAAATGTACACCCAGAGACAAAACGAAACAAGGTAACAATTCAAACATATTTCGGCCAAATCCAACTATTTTAATTTGTGGAGAAGGTTTCAAGCCGCAGAGGTCTACAAGTACAGATATATGGCTACTGGTCCCGCTTGGCTAGGCCTTGTGCCCTCGCAAAATTGTTTCGAAATTTATATTTCCAAAGTTGCCAAAACTTATAAAATGCCTTAGCTACGTCACAGTTAGATACTGATTAGAGTGTTCTGTTGATAATGATAGCCATTATCCCTGTAGTTTATCCAGATTCCTGATGGTTAATTCTGACTCGATCGCAGAATGACGAGGGCGACGCCATGTTTGTTTATAAACAGTGAAAGTAGTCCTACTTGACCTTTGATATTTGCATCTCTATCCGCATATGACCCCAACGGATATCGTTTTTATCCGTTGGCTTTATCCTGCCGAGAAACCTACCAATTATATGATAAAGGTCAATATTTATATCAAATACTAGATTTCCAATTTTATAATGTTAAATACCTCTGTTCTATTTTGTATAGGGACACCTTACCAATACATTGTTTTGACCGTTCCTTGTGTTAAGTAATATGGCATGAAACAAACAAAATTAAGATGACAGTCTGCTAAAAATAGTTTTAAAGATTGTGAAAGGGATCTATTGATACACATATGGGTTGGTGAAAACATACTCATTTCCCCCTCAAACATTAATTCAAACTAGAATCCAATGCGAAACAAAATAGTTTTACAAGCTGTCATTATGAACAGTTATCAGTTATTTTTGGATAAGGACATACAATTATGCAAATAAATAGTGTCACCGATATGTATGAAATTTGATAGGACAGCATGAAAATAATGAGCATTAGTGTATTGATTGATTACAAAAGATATATTCCACTATTTTCCTTCAGTTCTGCAGTATACATTTTCTGCAAATCTTTCCATGATCGGAACAGCAGAATTTGTCTAGGACTGCCATATAGTTGCATACATCAAATACAAGCAGGAACTAGCGTATCAGCATGATCAGAAGGGTACGGACAACTGTCAAAGGATAATCGATCTATGCACATAAGGGATACACAAACCAAATACAGCCTGAAACTAGCTTTGACAACTGTAAATTTAGATTTGACAGCATTTATTTGTTTAATGCAGGGCTTCTGAAGAAGTTGTGCTCGATATTGATGGCTAGCGGCGTCCCTGCAGATGTCCTGACAGAGGTGAGTCTGCTAGTCTCACTCTCATTATTGTAGACTTTGAAATTAGATCGCTTAGTTCCATCAAAAGGTTAAAATGATAATAAATAAATTGCCAGTGATTCCATGGCATTTGATTGGCAAAACCAAGCCAGTTTTTATTCAAAAATAGGCCACCCCCACTCACGGACAACTGTTTCCTGATTGGATGATAATAAAATGGGCTGGACTTTTGTTGAATTATTGCTCTGAACAATGTCACCAATTTTGTATTGGTGTCTTCAGTTTTTTGTCACTAATTGAATAAGCAGTTTGTTAATTTATTATTGTGTACATATTTATATATAATAATGACTTCAATATGTTTTTACATTGTGTGCACAACATTTTTTATACCTGAACTTACTGTGTTTGTTTCGTCCGCAGACAATCAACACTGTGTCGGAGGTTATCCGAGGGAACCCAGCCAACCAGGAATACTTCGCCTCAGTTCTTGCTCCCTCGAACCCACCCAGGTAGGCCACTGCATGTCCCTGGTCTATAGCTACATACCTGAATATCCCCTGCAACAACTCTGCCATGCTAGGGATGGGAACCACTGGAGCTTATTTTAGGTGGTAAAAATGGCTGCAGTTTGTGGACTGTTTTATTTTTTTGGGTCCCTACCACAACTGATTTGGTGTGTCATCTAGTCTGTTGAACTGACTGTGAAACAAATATATCCTATACAGCCCATGCAAGTCTATATAGGTGGCAAGTCTAGATTACTGCAGTTTCTGAAAATGAAGAGTCTCTGGATGGCTTTTGTTATATTTTATAAAGATAATTTAACAACAGTTGTTTCTTTAAAATATTTTTGTTTCAGAGACTAGGTTTTAGTCTCCAGTGTTTCAATGAATTATTAATATAGTATCGATATTCATAATTTTGCAACAATGCTGCATCAATGTTAAAAATGAACTGATGTTTTAATATCACAGTATATGATGACATCCTTATCTGAAATACCACTATTAGGCTCTAATACCACAGGCCACTGCATTAAAACAGAAGTACACTTTGAGCCTGTGGTAGTTGGAATACCCATAATACCATAAGCCATAGCATTCAACCTCATTTGCTCATTCACTGATTTCAAGTTTCTGGAATTGAGTACAAATGACAATGTTTGTTTATTGTAATCCACTGTTTCCAGACCGGCCATTGTTGTGTTGCTGATGTCGATGGTGAATGAGAAGCAGCCCTTCCTGTTGCGGTGTGCGGTGTTGTACTGCTTCCAGTCCTTCCTGTACAAGAACGAAGTGGGGCAGTCCCAGATTGTACAGACTCTCCTCCCCACCACGGCAGACGGTGAGAGACATGGTGTTAGTTACATATCGCTGGTGCTGTGTAGAGGGCTATACACACATTGTGTTAGTTACATATCGCTGGTGCTGTGTAGAGGGCTATACACACATTGTGTTAGTTACATATCGGTGCTGCTGTGTAGAGGGCTATACACACATTGTGTTAGTTACATATCGCTGGTGCTGTGTAGAGGGTTATACACACATGGTGTTAGTTACATATCGGTGGTGCTGTGTTGAGGGCTATACACACATCCTGTTAGTTACATATGGGTGGTGCTGTGTAGAGGGCTATACACACATTGTGTTAGTTACATATCGGTGGTGCTGTGTAGAGGGCTATACACACATGGTGTTAGTTACATATGGGTGGTGCTGTGTAGAGGGTTATACACACATTGTGTTAGTTACATATCGGTGGTGCTGTGTAGAGGGCTATACACACATCGTGTTAGTTACATATGGGTGGTGCTGTGTAGAGGGCTATACACACATTGTGTTAGTTACATATCGGTGGTGCTGTGTAGAGGGCTATACAGACATCGTGTTAGTTACATATCGCTGGTGCTGTGTAGAGGGCTATACACACATTGTGTTAGTTACATATCGGTGGTGCTGCGTAGAGGGCTGTACACACATTGTGTTAGTTACATATCGGTGGTGCTGTGTAGAGGGCTATACACACATTGTGTTAGTTACATATCGCTGGTGCTGTGTAGAGGGCTATACACACATTGTGTAAGTTACATATCGTTGCTGCTGTGTAGAGGGCTATACACACATTGTTTTAGTTACATATCGCTGCTGCTGTGTAGAGGGCTATACACACATTGTGTTAGTTACATATCGGTGCTGCTGTGTAGAGGGCTATACACACATTGTTTTAGTTACATATCGCTGGTGCTGTGTAGAGGGCTATACACACATGGTGTTAGTTACATATCGCTGCTGCTGTGTAGAGGGCTATACACACATTGTGTTAGTTACATATGGGTGGTGCTGTGTAGAGGGCTATACACACATTGTGTTAGTTACATATCGGTGCTGCTGTGTAGAGGGCTATACACACATGGTGTTAGTTACATATCGCTGGTGCTGTGTAGAGGGCTATACACACATGGTGTTAGTTACATATCGCTGGTGCTGTGTAGAGGGCTATACACACATGGTGTTAGTTACATATCGGTGCTGCTGTGTAGAGGGCTATACACACATTGTGTTTACTAAGGAAGAGAATTTATGGATGTCACCTTTTTATTATGAGGAACACAACGTTTCGGAATATATGCTTACTCCTTCATCGGGTGAATGAATGATATGTGGCAGAGAGCATATATATGTACATTGTAAGGAGAACAAAATTAATAAGATAACAAAATGTGGAAACTAACAAGGGGTGGAAACTAACAAGGGAAGTCAACAGATAATTGGCACTGATAGCTGATTAGCAATAGACAATGGAAGCCAACACTTTACAGTAATTAGCGCTGATAGTTATGGACAACTGGAAGCCAGGACTAAACTATCACTGATAGGTAAATGGCAATGGACAATGGGCAAACAGGAGGCTGGGGGTACTTAGCACTGATAGGTAAAGGAATAGAAATAGCAATGCGCAAATGGAAGCCTTCTAGATAATTGGCACTGACAAAGATCAGAGCAGTAAGTCCCAAGTACTAGGCAGATATCTTCCCTGGTCTCGGTTCTCCTGATGTCAATGGCTTCATGTAGTTTTGTTTGTCGTCAGTTGTTGTTGTTGGTAGACAGGACTTTGGTGGCTTCCCAAATGATGTTATTATTTTGGTTCTTGAGGATGTGTTTGGAAATAGCAGATTTCAGGTCTAGTTTGTTGACAGAGGTCTGATGTTCTTTGAGTCTGGTGTTGAGGGGTCTAAGGGTTTCTCCAATGTACTGGTGGCCACAGTTGCAGGGAGTCTGGTATATACATCCTCGGGGGTTGGGACTTACACTGCTTGTGCCTCTGCCATTGACTTGTAGATAGGTCTTGATTAACTTGACACTGGAAAAGGTGACACCTATGTTGGCTTTGTTCTTGATGAGGCGGGAAATCTGATGAGTGACAGGGTAGGGAATGGTGATTCTGATGGGCGACGGGGCTGATCTGGGTCTGGGATCAGGGTTCTTGAGGATCTTGCGGATGGTTTTGGAGACTAGGTGGGCAGGACGACAGTTGTGGGATGTAAAGGTTACTTATGATATTGATCACTGGTTTGTTTGGTACAGACTGGATTATTTACAGGCAGCTATGATATATCTGGAATAATGCTGTGTGGAGTGTTTAACATGAAACAAATCATGTAGAACAGTACCATCCAGAATAAGCAGATGTGTGATGTTTCAGTATTGTCTTTGTGTTGTAGTGAACACCATCACAGCTGGTCAGTTGCTGTGTGGAGGTCTGTTCAGCGGAGACTCGCTGTCCAACTGGTTTGCCGCGACGGCCATGTTGCACGCCATCCTGGAGAACCCCACCCAGAAGGAGCAGCTGCTCCGTGTCCAGTTAGCCACCTCCCTTGGCAACCCCCCCGTCTCCCTGCTGCAGCAGTGCTGCAACATGCTGGCACAGGTAGGCCCAGAAAATATATACTGCTCAAAAGATGATAAGGAGCACCCGATTCTTTCATATTAGTATAGTATGCCATCTAATAAAAACCGTAGGCACAATAATAGTCACAAAGAAACACTAAAGTGTGCAAACACGCAAAGGATTCAGTAAATTAACACTCAGACTCAAGCAGTAGACATTTCTCCATGGGTGACAGCAGTAATGTGTTGATCAGTGATGTCGCCTCTTCTGTGGTCACGTGGGAGCTGTGTGATAGGTTTAGCCTCTCAGTTGGAACAACTTCTTCATCAAGACCTCACACAGCTCTTTCTCACTGTCAAGAACAAGCAGTAAATGCTTTAAGGGGTATTGCAGGATAAGTATTCAAGTATACAAATATGAAGGATTTTACATGAACATTTATAAGAACTGTTTGCTTCCACGGAGTGTGTTCCTGTACAAGTTGTGTTTGTTTCCCCAGGGTGGCAAGGTGCAGACACGGATCGGGCTACTCATGCTGATGTGTGGCTGGATGTCTAACTGCACCATCTCCGTCTCCCACTTCCTGTCCAACTCTGCCAACGTGCCTTATGTATCCTTCAGCCGTATACACCACCACACTGGTGATAACACCTGCCGTATACACCACCACACTGGTGATAACACCTGCCGTATACACCACCACACTGGTGATAACACCTGCCGTATACACCATCACACTGGTGATAACACCTGCCGTATACACCATCACACTGGTGATAACACCTGCCGTATACACCACCACACTGGTGATAACACCTGCCGTATACACCATCACACTGGTGATAACACCTGCCGTATACACCACCACACTGGTGATTACACCTGCCGTATATACACCATCACACTGGTGATAACATCTGCCGTATATACACCACCACACTGGTGATAACATCTGCCGTATATACACCACCACACTGGTGATAACATCTGCCGTATACACCACCACACTGGTGATTACACCTGCCATATATATACCATCACACTGGTGATAACATCTGCCGTATATACACCATCACACTGGTGATAACACCTGCTGTATACACCACCACACTGGTGATAACACCTGCCGTATACACCATCACACTGGTGATAACACCTGCCGTATACACCACCACACTGGTGATTACACCTGCCGTATATACACCATCACACTGGTGATAACATCTGCCGTATATACACCACCACACTGGTGATAACATCTGCCGTATATACACCACACTGGTGATTACACCTGCCGTATATACACCATCACACTGGTGATAACATCTGCCGTATATACACCACCACACTGGTGATAACATCTGCCGTATACACCACCACACTGGTGATTACACCTGCCATATATATACCACCCAACTGGTGATAACACCTGCCGTATATACACCACCACACTGGTGATAACACCTGCCGTATACACCACCACACTGGTGATTACACCTGCCATATTCACCACCACACTGGTGATTACACCTGCCGTATATACACCATCACACTGGTGATAACATCTGCCGTATATACACCACCACACTGGTGATAACACCTGCCGTATACACCACCACACTGGTGATTACACCTGCTGTATTCACCACCACACTGGTGATTACACCTGCCGTATATACACCATCACACTGGTGATAACATCTGCCGTATATACACCACCACACTGGTGATAACATCTGCCGTATATACACCACACTGGTGATTACACCTGCCGTATATACACCACCACACTGGTGATTACACCTGCCGTATATACACCACCACACTGGTGATAACACCTGCCGTATATACACCACCCCACTGGTGATAACATCTGCCGTATATACACCACCACACTGGTGATAACATCTGCCGTATATACACCACCACACTGGTGATAACACCTGCCGTATACACCACCACACTGGTGATTACACCTGCCGTATATACACCACCACACTGGTGATAACACCTGCCGTATATACACCACCCCACTGGTGATAACATCTGCCGTATATACACCACCACACTGGTGATAACATCTGCCGTATATACACCATCACACTGGTGATAACACCTGCCGTATACACCACCACACTGGTGATTACACCTGCTGTATTCACCACCACACTGGTGATTACACCTGCCGTATATACACCATCACACTGGTGATAACATCTGCCGTATATACACCACCACACTGGTGATAACATCTGCCGTATATACACCACACTGGTGATTACACCTGCCGTATATACACCACCACACTGGTGATTACACCTGCCGTATATACACCACCACACTGGTGATAACACCTGCCGTATATACACCACCCCACTGGTGATAACATCTGCCGTATATACACCACCACACTGGTGATAACATCTGCCGTATATACACCACCACACTGGTGATAACACCTGCCGTATACACCACCACACTGGTGATTACACCTGCCGTATACACCACCACACTGGTGATTACACCTGCTGTATACACCACCACACTGGTGATAACACCTGCCGTATATACACCACCACACTGGTGATTACACCTGCCGTATACACCACCACACTGGTGATAACACCTGCCATTTATACACCACCACACTGGTGATAACACCTGCCGTATATACACCACCACACTGGTGATAACACCTGCCGTATATATACACCACCACACTGGTGATAACATCTGCCGTATACACCACCACACTGGTGATTACACCTGCCGTATACACCACCACACTGGTGATAACACCTGCTGTATATACACCACCACACTGGTGATAACACCTGCCGTATATACACCACCACACTGGTGATAACACCTGCCGTATATATACACCACCACACTGGCGATAACACCTGCCGTATATATACACCACCACACTGGCGATAACACCTGCCGTATATATACACCACCACACTGGCGATAACACCTGCCGTATATATACACCACCACACTGGTGATAACACCTGCCGTATATATACACCACCACACTGGCGATAACACCTGCCGTATATATACACCACCACACTGGTGATTACACCTGCAGTATATACCCCACCTAACTGGTGATAACACCTGCCGTATACACCACCACACTGGCGATAACACTTGCCATATTAACCACCACACTGGTGATAACACCTGCCTTTATACACCACCACACTGGTGATAACACCTGCCGTATACACCACCACACTGGCGATAACACTTGCCGTATATACACCACCACACTGGTGATTACACCTGCCGTATACACCACCACACTGGCGATAACACTTGCCGTATTAACCACCACACATGGTGATAACCCTGTACTATTGGAAGTTCTATGACGTTCATCCCTCTTCACTTAATTTAGAGCCCTTACAGCGTTAGAAATTGGCACTAGTCCTGTAGTCCTTGCCAAACTGCCCAATAGTTAAGGTATCATAAGGACTAGTAAATATTTGCCATTTTTAAGTGTTTTGCAATATGTTATCATATGTTAGTTTCTACCCCTGCCTTAGGATTTACGACCTCTGACGGTTGTAATATTGCTGACCGTGACAAGACACACCCCATCAGTCTTTGTTACATATGTCCTTGACCCTGTCAGCTGATATCCCAAGTGTCCGGCTCTGATGGGGACGAGCAGGAGACATTGGTCCAGGGATTGTGTGCCATCCTTCTCGGCATTTGTATACTCTTCAATGATGATCAGACAGATTCTTTCACCAAGTGAGTAGCCTTGCATGTGATCACGTTGTGTTGAGTGTCTTCATGATACTGTGGAGGGCTTGTGTTGGTTTATAGTTACAAGCATACAAGCTTCCCATCCATGACTTAATGGCTGCCTAACTAGTCGCTTTTTCTTTAGTAACCTTTTCTGAATATATATTATATATGATTAAATGATCTACTCCCTTAATATGCTTAAAGAGTTTGCAGATTTGAGCATTCAACTTCTTTAGCTGGTTAAAGAATTCATGGCAAACATAATTTCACCATTTTAGCTCAAATTTTGTGTGGCCAGAGGTCAGATATACTTGGCAGTTCATGTTGTATATTGTTAATGAGAGGAAAGTTTGGTATGCCACTTCTACTGAACCTGACAAGCATTTCCATGAGTTGTGTCCCTAAGCTGTTGGGTTTACTGAAGTGGGTATTCCAGGTCTCCACATGGAGATTCTGGGTTAGAATAGGTCCCCAACAACCTATGCTGGTCTTGAGATGCGACCAATCGGATCAGTGGCTTGGTTCATACGTGTCCTCAAACCAGGGCGATGGGGAATGTTGCTCACAATATCGATCACTGGATTGTCGAGACGCTGTCATATTGCTGGAATATAGCTGAGTGCGGCGTTAAACAACAAACAAATAAACTGTGTTATATGTCTCTTTTGAGTTTCTACTGATACCAAATCTACCACGATTACAGAAATTAATCTATAACTGAAACAGGATTAATCTGTGACACTTCCTATATTATGTTTTCTAGGTCCTCGCTTCGTCAGATTATTGAAAAAAGAATCGGACTGGAGGCCTTCACCGATCGACTTTCCCAGGTGTTGAAGCATGAAAGTTATACAAGGGCTGCCAAGAGGCCCCACCTCAACCACAAGCAGCCTAATGAGGTTCTGTTTGATTATGAATACACAAGGCTATTCAAATACTTAGAAAGTAAGTTTATAGGATATTGTCCATTGTATAGCTCATTATACAGCTAGCTGGTGACGTGTTGTATGTACCTGAAGCTCTATACTGTTGTCAGGATGTTAATCTTACCTCACACATGAATGTTGGAGTCTGATTGGCTGAGACCCATTCTATTTACCAAGTCACCTGCTATCTTGTTAAGTACATCTTATTTTCCCTGCTTGCACTGCCGAACTGTTGGTATTACATTTTCAACATACCAATGGCAATTTTGTATCACAAATTACTGATTCTCCGGATACTTACAATATTTTCTGAATGAAATAGAACTTGGAGAAAAAACTCTTAGTTTCTGTTCTGCCGTCTGCTATTTTTCGATGAATGTTAAAAATGAACGTTGTGGGTAAATGCCAAACTGTGGTTTTCTTACTAGTTTGGACCAAACCATGCATGCACAAGATATACTTGGAATATTGTTCGGTGTGTGGTAACATAAATTTGTTGTGCACAGGTTTCTCGGGTGTTACTCTATGATAGGATATAGGTTCCCCTCGTGCATACTTTATGTTCACCACAACAACAGAATAGGAATATAATTAGATGTGTGTCGTATTACAGGCTTCGAAGTTCCTTATGTTAGGCAGCCTATGACAAAGTTAAAATGTGTTCCTTGTCCCTGAAGTGCACACTTAGAAATAATTTATTTTCCAACAAAAATACCTTTTGACAATGTTATATGAAATTTGTGATATAAATACTTTCAGAGAAGTAAATTGGACAAATATGTGCATATAAACACTCACGATCTGGTACGTATCGCGATACTTGCATGTGCATTAATCTGTGGTGCGTAAGCCATCTTTTTCATAAACAGGATAGTCAAATACCTGGGACACTAATGATTAACAGTTGGCAGGTATGGAAATTTCAGTGGATGAAAAAATTTACATTTCCATACTCATTTTCACTAGTAATACGCGTTTGGTGTAACACTCAAGAAAACATTTAAAGTAAGAATCGATACTTTTTACTTAGTGTGCGACTGTGATTGATACTTGTATCGAGAAGTAAAAAGTCGTAATCGGCTGATGCATCAGTGTATGGTCCCACCACTAGTTATTCTATGAAGTATTTCCAGCTTAGCTTACTAACACAAACAATGTTACTTGACTCGGGCTTCTGTCTAGTGGTTTGAGTTGAAGACTGCCCTTAGCAAACCTCCCTCCAACTGTGTGAATGGTGGTGTTGTGTCATATTACAGATGAAGTTTTGCGAAATTTATCGGACGACAGCAGCACACCAGAGGGAACTAAGAAGGCAGCTAGTATACATGAACACGAGAAGATCGTGGAAAAGTACAAGGGGCTTATTACAGAACAGGTGTGTGAAGCGGCTGTCGATGTACCAGGTGTTCCTGCCAGGGGATGTTTCACGTTTGTATGATACTCACATGGTGTATGTGATGGGGGTGGGGCTGGTGATTGTTTTATGATTGTATTTACATAAAGGTATGTACCTGTGCATGTTAACTGCATACACTGTGTTTAAAGTCATCATGATATGACTACCTCATGTATCAATACACATTGTGAACCTTAAGACATAATATAAACAATGTAATGCATGATACAGATGTATGTAGCGATTGGAGAGGTATGGGGCTGGTACTGGTGTTCTATTACATCATGTGACCCTATACTCCCTCTGGTGGCAGGATCAGCAACTACAGCAGGTTCGGCAAGAACTAGGAGAGGTCCAGACTAGCTATACGTTGGCAAATAAAGAATTGTCCGAACTCCGAGAACAGGTGCAGCAGTTGAAGGACCAGAACGCTCTCTACAAAGCCAAGAAAGGTGAGAAGCTCCCTTCGTCCATATCCCTTTAGGGATGGTGTGTCCCCAGAATCCTATGCTTGTTCCTCTGTGGGGTTTCTGGGCCAAATTGAGGATCAGGGCAGATTGGGGATCAGGTGATCACAGTGTTATACCTGGCTGATTGGGGATCAGGTGATCACAGTGTGTTATCTGGCTGATTGGGGATCAGGTGGTCACAGTGTGTTACCTGGCTGATTGAGGATCAGGTGATCACAGTGTGTTACCTGGCTGATTGAGGATCAGGTGATCACAGTGTGTTACCTGGCTGATTGAGGATCAGGTGATCACAGTGTGTTACCTGGCTGATTGAGGATCAGGTGGTCACAGTGTGTTACCTGGCTGATTGAGGATCAGGTGGTCACAGTGTGTTACCTGGCTGATTGAGGATCAGGTGGTCACAGTGTTATACCTGGCTGATTGAGGATCAGGTGGTCACAGTGTGTTACCTGGCTGATTGCATTCCAACCCACCTTGACATGCATTCCAACCCACCTTGACATGTTTGGTCGTAACTGTGGCTATTGACCACTAGCATGCCAACCCAGGACTAAACTATTTACGGGCTTCCCCTGATATAGATGGAAGATTGCGGATTATGGCATACTACCACACTCTTGTTCTGGCTGCTTGTACCTCGGCCCATGTCCTGTGATGTCACCCATCAGGGCAAGTTAGCTTGTCCTGACTGGATCCTCATCAGTCAGGTACATATTTTCCAAGGTCTTCCCCATGAAAGACTTCTCCCAGTTACAACTAGAGAACATTGATGTCATCTGGACCTTCACCTCACATGCCCACGTATTGTCATGAAAGAGCCAAGTAAGATCTGGGGCAGAATAGGTCTTCAGCAACCCATGCTTGCCGTAAAAAATGACTATGCTTGTCGTAAGAGGCAACTAACGGGATCGATATCGTATCCCAATTGCGTGGATCGATGTTCATGATATCGATCACTGGATTGTCTGGTCAAGTCTTGATTAATTATAGACCGCTGTCATATAGCTGGATTATTGCTGAGTGCGGCATTAAACAACAAACATATAAACAATGTCTATGCCTGTTGTGACCGGGTGTTCTGATTGGCTGCAGGTTCGAAGGATCCCCAGGTGGATGGGAAGAAGGATGAGGAGATTGCAGGACTACAGAAGAATGTATCTGAACTGAAGGAATCATTACAACAGAGAGATACACAGATTGATAGGCTGGTAAGACATCTGTCAGTCGGATTGTTCAGCTTGAAATATTAAACACTTGGCATGTGTTGTTCATGAAGTCTTCAAGTAAACTAATACTGTAGCAGCTTCAGTTTATTTGTATTCTCCTCCCTTGCTGTTAATAATTCTTAGAACTGTGATATGATTATGTTAATAGTAAAGAGTTCGTTATTTATAGGAACTTTCCTATTCATTCAAGACCACCTATGTGGTCTAGTGGATTGAGTGTCTGTCTTGAGAGAGGAAAGTCGGTGGTTCGATTCCGGGACGGATCATACCAAAAGCCATTAAAAGATGGTACATGTTTCCCTGCTTCGTGTATGGCATTAAGAGGACAAAATATGAACTGGTTGGCTCTGTTACTATAAACCAGACCGCCTCCGTGGTCTTGTGGTAGAGCGTCCGCCCGGAGAGCGGAAGGTCCAGGGTTCGATCCCGGGCCGCGTCATACAAAAAGACGTTAAAAGATTGTACTTGTTGTTACCCTGTCTGGCGCTCGGCATTAAGGGGCTAAAACAAGGACTGGTCGGCTCGGAGTCAGTATACTGTGTCTGAGTGGGGTATTCATGTTAAACTGCGGCATGGTATCTCAGTGAGCTAGCACTATAAATCGGCATCAGTCCTGACTAGTACAAGCAGCCACACACACACACATACACGTGCATGCACGTCGCTATATAAGTGCAATAATCTTGGACGCGACGTTAAACCCAATTTCACCTCACCTACTATAAACCAACATTAGTCTATTCTAAACCACACTGATTATATATCCTATGTATATGTATAAGTATCCCTAAAAGTTAGATGTATGTGTTGTTTGTTCAGAAAAATGACCTGACAGTGGCCGAGGCGCGAGTCATCGAGCAGAGCGGAGAAGAGGATAAAGAAAATAACCCTAACGAAGCAGCAGTGTTGCAAGCCACGCTTAATAGATTGAACATTGACCATGAGGAAGTGAAACGCACAGTAGCAGACCGAGACTTAGAACTTTCATCACTTAAATCCCAGTTAGAAGCGGCAAATAAACAAGTAGAAGAATTAGTAAGTTATTATGTAATTACTGGCTGCAATAATTAAATATTTTGTTTAGTATGTTTGTCATCTTAAGTGCTATTTTAAAGTAAACATGTTAAATGGAATGTAAATTTTGTAGTTTTATTTCAATATATTTTTAACTGATTAGAAACAGTTTTCCGCTGAATGTGCCCAGTGTAAAGTATGAACTGTGTTTGCCTTACAGAAACAACAAGTAACAGAAGTATCAAACACGCCCTCAGGGGGAGACAACTCAGATATGCAATCCAAAATAGATTCTCTTCAAGAGGAAAACAAAAAATTACAAGAAAGAGTGAGAAAATCAAATGAAGAAAGCTTAAACAACATAGAAAAAGTGCGAGTGAGTGTTGTGTTGATTATACTTTACAGACCACCAAGGTATAACTGTAATATTGCTGGCTGTAGCATAAGACAGGACGAATTTAGTCCTTGCCAGGTTAACTGTTGGATTGGCATTCTAGAAGTTGGCAAATAAGAAAGAAAACATGCAGCTTTATGGATAACACGTGGATAACAACTTCTTGTTTATTGCATATAGCATGTACACTTTCTTACTTGCCAGGGTTGAGGGTAGTATTCAAGGGGAGGTAACTGATATTTATTCTGAGTCAGGGTGTGACAGCAGTATTGAAGGGGTAGGTATGGATATCTTATCTTTGTTAGAGTTTGACAACAGTATTCAACAGGCAAAATAGGATTTTAATTAAGTGAACCAAACACTTTTCAGAAATGCTACATAAGGTTTTGATCTATTGAACGCAAGACAGTATTCAAGGGGAGATAACTCATATCTAATCCCTGCCAGGATGTGACAACAGTATTCAAGGTGGGGTATAACTGATATCTATTCCTTGTCATGACGTGACAAAATTATTAATGGTGAGGTAACTGATATCTAATCCTTGTCAGGGTGTGACAACAGTTTTCAAGGGGAGGTAACTGACATCTAATCCTTGTCATGACGTGACAACAGTATTAATGGTGAGGTAACTGATATCTAATCCTTGTCAGGGTGTGACAACAGTCTTCAAGGGGAGGTAACTGACATCAAACCCTTGTCATGACGTGACAACAGTATTAATGGTGAGGTAACTGATATCTAATCCTTGTCAGGGTGTGACAACAGTCTTCAAGGGGAGGTAACTGACATCAAACCCTTGTCATGACGTGACAACATTATTAATGGTGAGGTAGCTGATATCTAATCCTTGTCAGGGTGTGACAACAGTTTTCAAGGGGAGGTAACTGACATCTAATCCTTGTCATGACGTGACAACAGTATTAATGGTGAGGTAACTGATATCTAATCCTTGTCAGGGTGTGACAACAGTCTTCAAGGGGAGGTAACTGACATCTAATCCTTGTCAGGGTGTGACAACAGTCTTCAAGGGGAGGTAACTGATATGTTTCATGTCAGGTGCTGGAGGAGGAGAAGGAGCTGCACCAGGTGGACAAGGCGGAGGTGCAGGAGGAGCTGGAGACCATCAAGAAGGAGCAGGAGGACCTTCTGGTCCTACTGGCGGACAATGATTCTCAGATAGCTTCCTACAAGGCCAAGCTCAAGGAACTGGGGCATCCTGTAAGTATTGTGGCCAAAGTAGACATCATTTATGGATAACAACTTCATTATCTTACTGTAAAGGCAACGTTTCAGTATAGATTCTTATTCTTATTCTTATACTTATACAGCAAGGCTGAATGATGAACATAGTATGGAATATATTTTGTAGGTAGAGGATTAACAGTAACACCAATGGGCAGTCTCTTTGGTTCTTGTATAAATGCGCGCTGCGACAACTAGTGACATGTGTATTATTATTGATATCATTATCATATTCCTGTTACATTATGTAACTTATTTTGTGCTGTGTAGGTTGATGAAGATGAGGATGATGAAGACTTAGATGACCTCGCTGACGACGATGATTATGATGGAGGCGATGATTGACCGGAATGTACCTAGTGGCAGCGTACCAGGGGTGCTTCGCGTGCCTCGGAACATACCATATAAGGATGTGCTGAATCCACATTGAACCGTGGTGCATAGGCCTAACTAGTCATGTGATACTGTCACGTGACTGCAGAAAGTTTGATTCGGTTGGATCTGTCAGTTGTTGATATAAATGTTCAATTAATTATGTCACCTGATTGATACAACTTTATCTGATTGCCATGGTAACTACTTTGATAACCATGTTTCCTGATTGGTATGATAACACTGGTTAAGCCTTCAAGCTATCTGATTGGTCAAGTCATTAAGTTAGCTGTTAGCTTAAGTCTCCAAGTTATCTGATTGCTTAAAGCATCCATGTTCTCTTATTTGTTAAGCAAAAGGAATTACTATATAGCTTTACCTGATGTTCAGTGATAACATTGCCTGTAGTTTGAATGGCTTAAGACTATAGTGTGGATCCAAACTTTCAGTGGGGTCACGTTTCCTAATATATTGATGAGAAATCAACTGCTACTGAAAGTACAGTACTAGTTTATAGGCAACCCGAGGAAAGGTCCACGGTAAAACATTGGTTGATGTTGCTGGTGGCTCAGTGCCAGCAGAGTGAGGGAGTGAGTGACATCTTCTCTCCGGGCTGATGCCATAGCTCTGTTGGGTCGACAGATATATTCTGTATTTCACAGATATCAGGACCAAGACAGAGGAAGAGACTTTAGTGTTAAGTTTTTACTTTATTGAAAGTAATGTCAATATATAATGACCTCTAAATTTGAAATAAAATGGAACTTTAAAAAGAAATTCCAATTTTGAACAAAATAAGACTTCCCTGCGCTAGTTTGCTTGCCAAGGGCTCATAGTTTGGCATGCTAGATAAATCCCTGATGACATATTACCACGACAATACACCTCACCATCCTTTCATGACAAACACACCAAATGATGACGATGCATCGGACATTAGGATTTACTGTCAGGGCAGCTCAGATACGAGGCACCTGTATCTTAGCACACAATGTTACCGTGTACATTAAAAACTGTTCATGCATTCGTGAATCCAAAATAATTGACTTAATTCTGTCCATGTATAGTTTATATCTACAAAAATGTAACCTGTTAAATTTATTTTTGTATCGGAAGCTCTTTAGTCAAGATGTATCAGGGTGTGGATGTTGTGAGGTATATTGGTGTATTAGGCTTTGTGCTTTGTATGGCTGTATGTTCCCTTCTACCATTACCAGTTGAAGCACATTGCCAAAAGGACAAATTCATTGTCATTTCTTTATCAATGTACTCCCAGCTTTATGTATACTGCTCAAAAGAAGTTAAAGAACACCCATTTTGTTTCCTGTGACTATAGATAATCGGTCATGGCCATGACAGATTAACAATAGTCATATGGAAAAATTGGGTGTTCTTAACTTCTTTTGTTTGTATATTGCTCTAAGGTAAGAGCAACCAAGTTTCTCATTAAGTCATCATTTGTTTATTGATACAGGTTTGTTTTAATTATTACGCACATTTGATTGGAATTTACGTTCTACCAGTGTACTTTGTATGATATTTGTAAATAGCTGATGTAATCACATAGTGATACTGTTATTTAATTTATATTATAAATGTGTATGCCAGGTTGATGATGTCATCGTAAGCGAATATAGGCATCACATGGTCACCCTTATAGTATGTCCGAATTATTTATTAAGATGTGAAATGTCCATCTTATCCAGTTATTTTATGACTAACATGTTCTTGTATAAAATATACTGAACAAAAGTGTTAGGGATCATGAATCTGTGAGAGATATTTCTTTAGTAGTGAAGACTTAGCATTCAATTTCATAAAAATATCCTCAGAAAATTCATAACCTTTTTTTTTCTGTTCAGTATATGTACTCCAGCTTACACTTAATCACAGATCAACATAGTCTATGACAAGTTTACGTGTGTGTTAACTAAATGCACGATTATGAGCAAATGTAGAGAATGACGATGCTGTAGCCAACATGTTCAGTGCCCTCCTCGTACTCCCCTACTTTTGGATGCTATTAGGATTGCTTTATCATTAATAGTATCTCCTTCGGTCCAGCTGTCATCGTCCCTAATCTGACGTATGTTCTGTAAAGAAAAACATCATTTGATAATTGAAATTTCGTAAATCCTCTGGTAATGAAACAAGTTAACAGAGGACATATTTTACTTTCTTCAGTTATTCAATTAAATTTTTGTGTGCTCAAGTCAATAAGTTTCCCAAATACAATATCTTTATCATTTGTATTTCTCCAGCTTGTTTTCCTCCCGATAAAAAGCTATACCCTAGTAAAACATAAAACATGAAACATAGATGCACAACTTAGAAGATGCCTGCCATGGATGGAAATGACTAGCCAGCAAGCCCCGATTGGTTTTGTTAATGTTAAAGGTATCCTAAGGGCTAGAATTTCAAACATTTTTTTGGGGGGGGTTATTGCTTTATGTTATCAATACTCTCTGGCTAGTAGACATTCTTGGTTTATTTACATCCATGTCTGCTATCTAATGTGCTATGCAGTATGTGTCATACAATTCATGTCTAAGTTGCTTTGACCTATATTTGAGAATAATCTATACATCTCAACAATAATTATTGTTGTGAACTGTAAATCATATTTTCTATTTTCATCAAAGATCTTGCTATTTGTCCATAGCCATAATGTCACCTCACCACCATGTTGGTCGTCCCCCTGTAGGCGATGTGAGGACCACGTTAGTGTGTGTACAGTTGTGAGTGTATCTGTGTATGAGGGTGCTGTGTACATACAAGTCTTGAATGTGGAGGAGTCCGCGCACTCATCATGGGAATAAATGGCTGTTGAGAAGCGACTTCTGTTTTGTTCACATTGTATTTGTTGATCATCCTGTGATTTGTTTTCCATGTTATGTTTTATTATGTATACTACTCAAAAGAAGTTAAGAAGTTACTATATTTAATCTGTCAGGCCATCCCTGCAGTTGTCTGGGTTTGTCGTTTAACGCCGCACTCAGCAATATTACAGCTATATGACGGCGGTCTGTAAATAATAGAGTCTGGACCAGACAATCCAGTGATTGACATCATGAGCATCGATCCACGCAATTGGGATCGATGACATGCTTCAACCAAGTCAGCGAGCCTGACAACCTGATCCCGTTAGTCGCCCCGGGTCGTCACGGGTCTCTGTGTTTGTCAGCACCATACCAGTGCTGGTGGTAAAAGTCAGACCTGCATCTCTTCAGGCTTTCCTCCCACATTAAGCTAACACTCACTCACTGTCATGCACACTGCATGAGGAAAAAACACATAAGATAAATAACTATTCACATGTTTTATTACAGTGTCAAACACAGTCTGACTGATGAAGAGAAACACAAGCTTGATGAGATGAGTGAGAGAGTCACAAATTGACAGCCACTATTCCTTACTATTCCATTTTCCATGGAACTGGCAGCGAAAAAGAACCTGCAAAGGTTCTACAAAGGGTTGAATAAATTTTTCCTAGGACAGGAGGACAATGATCACTCCATGTTGAACAAGGCCAAAATATGTAACATACATAAACGTGGAAGAGAATTTATGGGAATTCTCTTCCTTATGTCTATCGCTTCTAAATGCCTTTCAAAACGTGTACCGGGGTATCATATCCTGTTATAAAAAAATCTACATGTACAGATATGTCCTATCGAAAACATTCAAATAATATCAGATTCGAAAAATGTAGATTTGACATACAAAAATAGAACTGCAATAAAACAAAGTCTTTAAACACTGATGATATGCATTATTTAATGGTAATACTGGTATCATGGTGATCTCAAGCACTGCACAGTTGCCACATGGTAAAACACGCTTGACAAACAACTGCAGCAACTCAAATAATCCTTTAGCCTCAAACTTGCCTAAAAACTTGATTTTTCAACTTTTATCCACACTAAACAGTTATGACATCACTGCTGCTCCATCTATAGGAAGACGACTATTTTATACTGGTAGAGAACATGCATGACTTATTGCAAAGTGTTTCTAGTTTATAAAGGTGACGGAATAATCTTATTTATCCTGAGAGGGGCATCAAAATGGCAGGTTATGAATATTCAAAAGTATATTCATACTGATACAGAAATCAATCATAATCTGGATTTTATGTTTGAGGTGATGTAAAGTTTAGAGTAACACCATTTTAAGCTTAGGAGGTTAAATGCTCTGTAAGACACATCACACATATTATTGTCGACATCATTCCACGAAGGCCAGTCGGAGCTGAAGGGATACACTATGTTAACACAGTTGGGCATGACTTATGTACACATGACAATAATATACAGATAGATTTATATATAAATGTTTATCACAGTTCATATTGCTCATCAAATGTTAGCCTCCAGGGAGACCCAGTGCAAATATAACTAAATCATGTACTTAACATTGAAATATGCCAGTGAATAACTAAACTGTTGTAACATGATTGTACCTAGCATTAATTCAACATTTCACATTAAAACATTAAGAAATATTTCATCCAAATCATACAGTTAAAAATGAATATCTAAATGGTTACAAGAACAGTTTCTTTGCATAATCCATACTTGTCTATTATTCAAGCTTCAATGACATATTTCCTGTACCCCGCTAGGCCAGGGTTGCAGATCTGTAATTCTGGACGTTGATGGTTCTGAAAATACACACAAGAAAGGGAATGAAAACATCTTTCATCCAAGATGCACCAGTCACAATACAGTATCATGATTCTTTGTTAACAACTTCACACGCAACCCATGACACTCCTTCAGAGTAAATATTAATGGATTCAAATTTTGGAATAACAAAGAAAAACTGGTTTGTTTTTTATATCTGGTCCTTGTCATTACCCCTATGTTAAAAGTTTCAGATTTAGGGGGTCACCTGATTCATATGCCACAGCAGCAAATCCAAGCTGCCAAGACCCTGTTTAACATCAAACCCTACAACACATCAGATGTGGCCCTGACGTGTAGAAATGATAGAGCTATTGTCATGAACAAGTCTCATGTTTTCCCCATCTTATATCAGTTAGCTGTGATGAACTGATAATGCAAACAGTAAGATATTATCTACAGGCTACTGTCATACAGCTGGAATAATCCTGAACGCGGCATTTAACAACAAACGTAAGAGTGAAGATGGTTTCACGCCACTGCACCGTAACGCAACACTCAACACCCATGGCTGATTGGAGGGTCAGTGGACTGGTCGTATAAACATGTGTAGAGTACTGACCTTTTAACATGCTGGTTCACAATTGATATACAGGGTGTCGTCTTGGGGCCTTGTGATGGCACGAAGATCCTCCCACTCTTGTTGACCACATTGATTTGCCGTTTGACACGCACATTGAATGGGTCTTGAGAGTGTGATGGATAGGGGTCGAATGTACCAATCTTGGAACCGCCGGGCTAGAACAAAAACAGCTTGCATGATAAGCGGTATGTCTTCATGAGATAAATCAGCGATAAATGTTTGTTTCAAGATGCACAGAAATATACAAAACAGGGAATTGCACACTATCAAGACAACTAGTCTTGACCCTTCACTAACAACTGTCCACAGGACTCACGTGTTTGCCTGGGGAGCTGGGTTTAAATGGTTTAAAGTCGTTCCTCTTGAGTGTGGCGGAACTGGACTTCCTGACTGGGGGCAGTGCCTTCTCTGACCGGTAGGGGTTGGAGTCAAACAGAGCCTGGGGGTGCATGTTCAGCCTGAAGGCCCCTCCCTTCACTTGCTTCCGGTGCCCCTCACTCTCTTTCTGTCAATCATTATAACTTTCTGTTGTCAAGTAGAAACACTTTCTGTTGTTATATTAAATAATACTTTGTAAAGAAGTCTTTCTGTTGTCAAGCACATAACTTTCTGTTGTCAAAAATAAAAACATTCTGTTTCCATATCACCAACAATGGTACATACTTGTGAATATATACATGAAACTTGTCGCCATGGAAACACAAAAATATTTATTTGAAATATCCTAAACTATCAAAAGGCACCAGTTCACCACTAGACCTATCTATTTTTGGTGAAGAAATATTGTACAGTGAAATATTGCACCAGAAATAACATCTTGCACAGACCGACGATGTCCATTGCGGGGATAACAATTTCTTATGTGAAAAAGTGTTGCCAAGTATAAGTACTTTCTGCTGTCAAGCATTAACACATTGTTTGTCAAGTAATATAACTACTTTCTGTTATAAAAATAATAATTCTGTTGCCAAATATCATGAATATATAATGTTCTGTTACAAACACTCTCAGTTGTGAAACATAAACACTTTCCATTACAAATACAACGTTAAATAATTTTGGTTTGGAGGGAGATGCAACAAAATGACATGTCTACAGAAAAACAAACGTATCTGTGCTGTCATCAGCAACGTAGGAGAATTAGATTAAATTCAAACAAATATTTGTGCATCAAATCTATCAAATCCTGACTTTAAGTTGTGTAACTACAACTGTCAGTTGTCTCCATTACACCAGGCCTCCATGAACACAGTACAGTTGGTATCAACGCTGATCAAGTCCAAGTCCAACACCCTCACAAACATACATCTTGTACTTGCCCCAGGCTGGGATGTAAAGCAGGGAGTGAAGCATGGGACACTGTTAGAAGGGGAACGTAGACTACACCCTCACATACATACATCTTGTACTTGCCCCAGGCTGGGATGTAAAGCAGGGAGTGAAGCATGGGACACTGTTAGTAGGGGAACGTAGGCTACACCCTCACATACATACATCTTGTACTTGCCCCAGGCTGGGATGTAAAGCAGGGAGTGAAGCATGGGACACTGTTAGAAGGGGAACGTAGACTACACCCTCACATACATACATCTTGTACTTGCCCCAGGCTGGGATGTAAAGCAGGGAGTGAAGCATTGGACACTGTTAGTAGGGGAACTTAGACTACAGCTCCAGGTGCATGGGGACACTGTTAGTAGGGGAACTTAGACTACAGCTCCAGGTGCATGGGGACACTGTTAGTAGGGGAACATAGACTACAGTAGGGGAACGTAAGACTACAGCTCCAGGTGCATGGGGACACTGTTAGAAGGGGAACTTAGACCACAGCTCCAGGTGCATGGGGACACTGTTAGTAGGGGAACTTAGACTACAGCTCCAGGTGCATGGGGACACTGTTAGTAGGGGAACATAGACTACAGCTCCGGGTGCATGGGGACACTGTTAGTAGGGGAACATAGACTACAGCTCCAGGTGCATGGAGACACTGTTAGTAGGGGAACGTAGACTACAGTAGGGGAACGTAGACTACAGCTCCAGGTGCATGGGGACACTGTTAGTAGGGGAACATAGACTACAGCTCCAGGTGCATGGAGACACTGTTAGTAGGGGAACGTAGACTATGACCTACACTATCAGTGCACTGACACCTGGGATTGTCCCTGGCCCTAGACTATCAGTGTGTTGACACTGTAATAGCCTATGACCCTACTCTACCAGAGTGTGGCGCTACTACAGCCTACTAGTTACTGACTAAAAATTTGCAACGACAATCTACTGACTACATATTTTACTTTTACACTATTCAGACCTTTGCCAGTTCCCGCGATCGATCAAATGCATCGTGTTGATACTTGGGGTAGCCACCAATTGTCACTCCAACAAAGCTACAAGCATAATGGAGGTAGGGTTAGTTAGTTGTGTGCATGACTGCAGATCGCCATCTTGTGTTAATGAAGGACACACACATGCAACACGGTGCTTGTCACGCTGTTCTACAGGTGCCTCTCTTTACTCTAGATACACAACTTCCACAGAGAAAAAGGTCTCTGACTTACATAAGGAATTTTAGACTACATTTAAAAATGAAAATATGTTTATATTTGTTTTGTTAATTTTCTCTTGATATACAATAGAAAGAAGCCCTTAGTTTCTTTTCACAAAACTGCAGAAATTCAGACTTGGATTGTTCGCATGTTATTGCTTCAGGGTTTGTATGAGTAATTTGTGCAATGGGAGATTATAACAGGTTCTGCTCCAGAATGTAGAAATTGGTATATAACCAAGAATAGGCTTTTAGTGTTTAAACAGCTTTTGATCTGGACTTAATGAAGTGTCAAGGCCAAAAGAAAATAATTTCTTTGGGGTAAAATCATGCCATTAAGAAATATGAGTCGGGGTTAAAAGTCAGAATTATTGTATTTTATTTCTTTGAAGTATATTGCTAAACCTGCTAATAGTAAGTCTTGATAAGTTTTCTCGACAACATATACAAATGACATCCAAATTTCTGGTCAAGTGATTAGCAGGGTTACTGGAAACAAGGAATATTTTTCAGGAGAGATGAGTCTAACTATAATAGCATCACTATTATAATAAACTAATAATTATTGAAAGAACTGTATCTGTAGTTTAGAGAATGGCTACCCACAGTCAACATGACAAGTACATTTCATGCAATAATGGTTTTCTTCGTCTGTGATCATCCTAGCTTGATCATCACTGCAAGAAAACAATGTTAATAAGCAAGTCATTCTTAGTAATGGGTTGAGAACACAGACATGCCAAGTCAAGCACAGTGTGCTTTGGTGATTCACACAGGTTAGAACGGTCACACTGCAGCACAGTGACACAAACAGTGATTGGTGTCATCACACGGGTTATAATTGTCATACAGCACTGGTCATACAACCGACCTTGGCCTTTTCCTGGGCACTGTTGTAGGGTTCGATCATGTGAGCTGGGTATTTGCCCAGAGTCACATGAAGGTATCTGCAACATGTCATAGTGTTATTCAAATATTTAAGAACTGACATTAACACATTTATTGCACATTGAGATATAAATGTAGAAACCGGTGTGCACACAGTGTAAATCCATGTAGCAGATTTATGCAAAGTTTTCACAACGTTTTTTACATCTAGAACTCCATAATCACAACAACATATTGAAGTCAATCCTAATATATAAATACGTCAAAAATAATAACTTCACAGACTGCTTATCAAATTATTAATACACCAAAACAAGACAATACAAAAAATGAGTGACATCATTCCGCGCACACATACAACAAGAGCCCTGCCCATTCTATTATCAGCCAATCAGAAAACAGTAGTCAGTCAGTGGGCAACGCCTATTTTTTTTCGGTTTATGGATACATAAACATGATAAACGCTAAAGGAATTGCTTTGTTAGCCAATCAAATACCACGGGGTCATATGCAACTTATTTATTAACATATCTTCACAACATCAGTATGTCTTGTACATCGGAATCCATAGAAAGCCAAAACAATAAACTTGTGATTCAGGTCAAATCCCACTAACAGGCTACAAAAAGGTAAAACATTATTCAGAGAGTGTTTTCCGTACAGCTAGTTACATATATGGCAGGTGTTACACTTTGTCTGCAACTCTGCTTCAATTTCACAATAAAGGGTTAACAATGAAAAAGAAGGTTTCATTTAATGTACCCCAACAAATATAGTTGGTAAAGAATTATCTTGGATAAAAGTTTTGATTAGTTTTCTTGACAACTATAGCTACAAATGTGACAAAATTTCAGGGTTGCATATCAAATGATGAGTCGGTCAGGTTGACATAAACACCAACATAAAAACTAATAAGTGAGCCAAACGTCGACTATTGTGGAGAATCTCCAGATGTGCTACATGTACAGGTATATCTGTCTGTTAAGGTTGAATACATCATATCTAAAAGACTGAAGTAAAGTCAGGATCTGATTAAACCACAAACAATCCCCAGTTCACTTACCCAAAGCCTGTACCTTCTTTGCCGGGGTTGGTCATGACATTTTTCCCAGGGGACTTGTATGGCTTACTTGCCTTCTCTCCGGGGCTGAGGGCAGGGATTGGGCCACCCAGAGTACCATAGTGACTCCCTAGACCAGACCTACAGGGAGACATACAGTAGACTATGTTTATAACGAACACGCTTTTAACGAAACTGACAGATATAATGAACACATTTTTGGTCCCGGACATTTGCTGTATATATGCTGTATATATGCTTATAACGAGCTACAGTTATATCAAACTTAAATCAGTGGTCCCTTTGAGTTCGTTATAACTGTAGTTTACTCTATATTTTACACAACTTCATAAATCTAAAAGTCTGTCTGAGCAATATTCTGGTACTTAGATAAGTCTGATAAGCAAAACATTCCAAGTGATCCCCAGCCCAACCCAACCATAATTATTAAGCGAAGGTCGGTGGTTTCTTTCCTGGCATTATAATAATTTAATATTCTGAGAACAGAATTACAAGTCATTTCACGAAATTATTAAATGAAAATTACATTTTCTTTTCACCACTGCTTGGTAAAAATGCCTTTGATAGATTTTTCTTAGAATCTTCTAAACGCCTCAGCCGCCTCATTTTGATTGGGTCACTGTATGCCTCTCCTTCCATAACTCGGTTGAACTTTTCAGCAAAGTAGCCATGTTGAAGGGCAGATTTTTCCTTACTTCCACCAGGTAAAACCTGTTTGCCTTTACTTGCCGCTACATTGAATTGAACTGAAACAAAACAATTAAACCATGAACATGTTCTAGGTTCAAAGATTTTCAAATAGTATATACTATATGCTAGTTGCTCCACCAATGTGAAAAATCATACATAGTTCCAGGTGGATGGTGAAAGCCATCTTCCGAGGGAAGAGCGTCTCCTAGCCTTTTTATCAAAGTCTTGTTTCCACCCTTGCCACATTAAGCCCACTTTCCTGTGCTAAATATGATTGGACTATCGCACATATCAACAGTCCAATCAGAGAACGTTTCACAAAATCAACATCCACGACTGGTACACCTTCATATGACTGTGATTTACCGCTGCCTGTCTTTTTCATCTTTTAAACCCCCCAAAGATTGGCTATATTTTTGTGTCAGGGATGAAATCGGAAATGTTTTCGTTATCTGATTGACAAGGTCGTCGCCTGTAGTAGTCGCCATCTTTGTGAAGCTATATGAGATAAGAACAGCGATCTGATTGGATATCGCGTTTTCATTACAAGGGGCACAACTCGTGATCTACACAAGGTGGCGCCAGGGTCGAGCCAAGTGTAGAAACTAGGCTTTGATATAGGCTAGCGGACACACTTGCCATGGGAAGATTGGTGAAAGCATTTAAACTGTACATGAATAAGATACCTGTACCTTGTTCTTGCCATCAAGAGCCCCACATAAACAGGTAGCCCTGGATAGAGCATGGTTTAGAAAATGTATCCTCGTGTCATGGAAGTTCGATCACTTACGAAAAGTCGCTGAATATTCATAGTAACATTTATATAATCTTTTTTTCAAATATCTTACCTGTGAACTTGTTTATTTATGACAAACATTTCCCAAATCCACGTATTTCCATTGAAATTTACACTCGCGGCATGGCCGCCCTCTCACTGTCAACAGAAGTGACCCAGAAAGCTACGTCACACAAGTTCGATCATTTGATTGGTTGGCTTGTCGCATAACCGGGATGACATGTATGGACGATCTCTTGTGTCAAAATTCGAATTAGAACAGTCCGCAGTTGTTTTATTACATCTTTGTCCATCAAACGTTCATTTAAGTTTTAATATTGAAAAAAAACCGATGAAAAGTCACAAATATCCAGATTATTTACAAGGTTGATGCAGGGAGTTATTCTTCAGGCTCATCGTGACAGGGGCACCAAAACTCAGAATGTCGACGCACAACACGAAAAGGCGTGCAGAAACGTAAATGTGTCCAGTGCTGACATGTAGGGTGGGTACATTGTGCCCAGGTTGTTATGATCAGGGAGACATTAGCTCGAACCTCATCAGGTACAAATTTGCTACATTTGCAGCACAGTTCGTCATCACTTGTCACATCAATATCAAAACTATCGTCCTGATGCGCGTTGGACCGTGAAGTTCCAGTACTTGCATTCGTTGCAGTGACAGTATTTTTTTTTTTTAAAGATTTACTTGGTTTAGGTGCTTGCTTTCTTTTTTTGGGTGCCGATTTCACAGTCTGGTGGGAAATAATTTTATTCAGAATGACGTCTTCGGTGATGGCCTTGCCCCCGACAACAGCGCTCAGAACGTTTCCCTTTTTAGTAGGCACAGCTTTCTTGAAAAGTACAGTCGTCTTGTCTTTAAAGAATCCTGCTAAATCATTGCCCTCAGTAGGTGAAGTGACAACCTTGTCTCCAACTGGCACACATGAATCAATAACACCAGTATCAGGATGCAGCAAAGGTTCAGTCGACTTAAAAACTGTTGATGGTGCAAAGTTGATATTGGCGGTGGAAGACTTGTCAAATGGATAGACTCCACATTTCCTGAAAGAGGATTGCAGATTTGTTGGTGTCAGCGACAGGTTATAAGCTCTACAGCCAAGTTCACAAACAGAATGTTTATCAACTGAACTTGTGGCATTTTCCTGCATATACGTATGACGGAGGTTGTTGTAAATTTTAGCCAAAGGTCCAAAGCAACCAACATCCATTGGCTGTAAAACATGGGACGTGTGTGCAGGCAGTACAAACAAAATAATGTGATGTTGACGTGCCCATTCGATGAGTGGAATAGATACGTGGGATCTATGACCATCATACACAATAAGAAGTGGACTATCTGCAGACGCGGCGACAGCATGCTTCAGGAAATGCTCTGTCAGATAGTGCTGAAAAATCTCGGTGTTTGACCAGCCAGAGTCGCTTACAGTGCCTGCTGCTCCAGGGGTACTTCCTGAAAGGAGTTCTTCCCGCATCCTCTTGCCCTTGAATACAAAATACGGTGGTATAGAACTACCAGACGCATTGCCGCAACCTATTACCGTTGTAGTACTTGATCTTGATGTTGTGACTGCAGCTGCAGTACTCTGACTCGATGTAACAACTGATGGTGGGGTATGATGCTCCATAAGTCCCTTTTCATCAACATTATAAATGCGATGAGGGCATGTCTTCAGGTTGTACTTATCCATGATGTGCCCAAGCTCATTAAAATAATGAGTGATCGTCTCCTTTGAGGTAGCTTTTGCTCTCTGTATCTCAAGGGATCGTGGCTTCTTCACTGACAGATCAGGCCATCGCTTCATAAACCCATAGAACCACTGAAGTGATAGGGGTTGTTCATCCTTTGACTTCTTTCCAACATATATTGCTAGGTCTGTGGCAATAGTAGTAACTTCAGCCCTTGTATAGCCATACCCAAAATTTGCCATGGCTTCAATATGTGAAACAAGTCCCTGTTCTTCTTCCATGGACAATAGTGGTTCTCTACCAGTGGTACTACATTCAATAGAAACCTTCCCACTCATCCTGTCATGCAGTGTAGCAAATGGAACAGCAAAGGTAGTGGCAGCTTTCCTAATTGCCATTCCATCTAAAACAGCATTATATGCCTTGTCTAGGGCTGCAGACAAATATTGCCTATATTGACCTCTTCTGGTTGGTTCACCATTGGTCAAAACCTGTAAAAATAAAGGTTTATTTTATATATCACCAAAACTCCAGAGACAGAAATTCTCAAAAAGCATAACATTTTCAATAAGAAGTGACCCTAATTTGTTTCCATAGTTTTAAATTTTGGCGAGCACATCACATGTCTCATCACGTGACATTTACACCATGAACGTAAACAAGCAGACGACAGGTGTGCCGTAATATGAGCTATTACTTACGTTTGGTAACTTGACACGAAGCATTTTCCGGTCCAAGCGAACGAAAGCGGTGTTGTCAGAAGATCAAAGCTGCAGGTACCGTAATTTCTCGTTACATTTCGCGAGAAACATCATTCAAAATGGCCGATCGAAGTTACATGTCGATCGAACTTGTGTGACTTGACGATAATGTAGAGCCAGTGATCAGTAGAAAGCTGCTTCTAACATCCAATATTTCCTACAGTCATGTTAAAATACAGATTATCTCATGTTTTGATCCCAACTGTATTCTACTGAATATCATTGCTACTGCCTGGATATTTGCAGCTTAGTCTCTTCATACACTGCAATCCACTATCTGTAGAGGTTATCACACCAGTGTTTGGGGATGGTAAATATCCTGTACAGTGTTCCCTCGCTATTGCGCTCTTCAATATAGCGCTAACTTGGTTATAGTGCTCAGTAAAGCATGGCTCCCAAAATTTTAAATGGTAAATCATAAGGTCTAGTGATGTTTTATATCAAATTTCATACTTTATTAACCAAGTTTGTCATACGTGTTTATTTATTCACCTGAATTCACTGAAGGGATACGATGTGTTTTTTTGAAAGCTCATATTACTACTAGTTGAATCATACACAACTTCTATTCATAGACACCCGAGAAGTAGCCAGATAGTAGTGCCCCTTCAATGGCTATCATTTCAACTTGTAAATAGCCTTGGGAAGGCAATACTCTTTTGGACAGCTACCCCATGTATGAATGTCTAAAGGCATAACAAATAAATCAGATAAAACACAATTTGTTACCTACTACTGGAACTATGGATAAATTTCGCTATAAATAAAAGATGATACAGATCTAGGATTCTAGTCCAAGATTATTACAAAATCAGACTTAATTTAACTTACCACCGGGAGTCTTGTATTTATCTCCAATGGATATGTAGCCCATTTCCTGGAACACGCCGACCCTGTCCATATCATTTTTCTTGTCACCCATCTTGGAATATCAAAGTGCTTACAAAAAATAAACGTATTCTAATGCAGTTGGTGATATGCTTCTTCACTTCAGCTGTCACAACTTGAGCATATCAAAGTGAGAGACAAACATAAAGTTAAAGAACTTTTTGGTAAGACAAAAGTAATTTTAAAATAAAAAGTAAAAAGTCTCCCTTCTTAAAATATCACAATATCATGACAGGTGCGAGAACGCAAGCAAAAGAACACCACAATCCATGTTGTTGAGAAGGAGATTGTTGCCAGAATTGCTATGGAGATGCTTCCAATGCGCATGACCGGAAGTCCGGTTGGGCGCCACCTACAATTTTCCCCGCCACGGGACACGGAAACGGGATATAACACGAAATAAAAGGAATGAATTTTACGTTGACATGTGTAGTATCTTGACGACCAGTGGATAGTGCGACATGTGTTTCAACTGACAGCTGATGTGTAAGTGTCAGAGAGGCATATCGTGTCAATAATCAAATTTACTGCTTGAGATTATGATGGTTGGGAGGTTTTCAAAGCTTCCAAAATGTCAGCGCCGTTCGTAACTTCATGTATCCTGACAGCCATGTACTCGGCGTCAGCAGTTTTGGATTACTGTTAATCTGTTAGTATTCTTTTAACGTGTAAGTTGTTCGAAATTAATCAAACTACCTGAATAACTCATTTTACGATTATGATGGTTATAACAACCGCAAAGATTCACCTAATCATGCTATAATGGCTGCAAGGATCCGCAGGGTGGGTGTTCGAATCCTAATTTCACCACACTACACAATGGTGGTTGGTTTGGGTTATAGCGTAAACGGCACCGATTGGCGAAAACGGCACCTCGACTCAAGCGGCACCTTATTTTTCTTTTTACCTTGGCAAGGCCGTAGTTAACTTTTTTTGACAGTTTTTTTTCCCCAACTTGATTCAAATAAAACTGTTTTCTATGAAAAATCTAGGGGGGCAACTGCCTGCCCCCCGGCTGGCTACGGTCAAATATATGATATTAAACTTACATTGTAACTTGCAAACGCCAATTGAGACAAGTTTACATTAGAAATTAGACTCTACTCCAACTATAATCCAACTTAGCTTATACACAACTCAACTTATTGTGAAAACATAACATGCTTTGAAGAAAAATAATAGAAATTAAACTCGCATCGTCTTTTACAAACACAAATAATTGTGAAATAATACAAGTAAGAAATTAGCCTCCTACTCCAGAATGTCAGAAAAAATCAACATGCTGTATCCTGTGATAACTGTGACCAGTGGACCCATCGTGTAGGTGGAACTGGACTTTCTGTGGCCCGTTATAGAGTTGAGGTATTAATATTGTTGTTATAACTGATTAGTGTAATTGTTCTCGGTAATTTACAATAAGCTGTCAAGTACATGTTGAATAGTTTATTGTTACAGTGGAGTAATAGACGAGAGGCATATCATGCTTGCTACTGACCGGCAATTACAGCACCTAGGAGTGTAGGAGTGGTCAATGGTTTATGGACAGAGGTTTAAAATTGTCAAACAGGCTGCATGGAAAGCAATCAGTAAAGCCCTTCCAGAAGCCTGCATCCGTGGATGTCTGTTCCACCTGACTCAGGCAGTCTGTTTCTAGGTAGCCTACATGGTGGATGATGCCATCCACAAGATTGTAAGGAAAATCATGGCACTCCCCTTTCTACCAGCAGCCGACATCACGAGGATGTTCAAATACAAATAGTTCAAATACAAATACCCACAATAAAAAAAAACTATATTAAACAATAAAAATGTTTTTATTATACATGAAGAACTCTATATATGAACATATGTACTTGTCTGTGAAAACAGGAAATATCATGTAAATACATCACATACATCAAATGACAGATTTTTTATTCATGCACCGATTGTCTTTAAATGTAATATCCAGTTATGTATGACTGTTTAAATAATCTCATACCAACTTTGACTGGAGTAGGTCCGATAGTTTTTCAGATATTGTAGTAAACGTCGGTACCTTAAATTACCTTCCAGACTTTAAGTATTACTTTATGGTAAATTGTGAGGTTCTGATGTGAGGTTAAGTTGGACTCAATTTGTGGTGAATGTTACTATGGCGTCAACTTGTGAATGTTACTATGGAGTACTACAATTGTTACTAGAGATAGCCTGTGACTGATCTTGAACCACATGTGTAAATTAACACATATATTCCTAAGAATGACTGTTATTTAACAATTGTGTCAAAAAGGAAATTTCTTAGAAATAAGTTGCCATTCATGTTGTGCATGCTGATAGGTAATGCCAAAAATATACTTGAACAATTTGTTTCATTTGCCAAACAGTATACCTTTTTACTGTATTACTTTTGATCAATGTTGATTAAGTGGTTGACTATTTTCAGATGTTTGCTGCAATCTTAACGCCTGGTATCAATAATGTCTCGCCCAAGAGATGATGATCCGGACATGTTCAGGATTATTGTGGCCACAGACGTCCATCTTGGCTACATGGAGAAAGACCCAGCTCGTGGAAATGATTCTCTTGTGTCTTTTGAAGAAATTCTGGAGATAGCATCAAAGAACAATGCTGATTTTGTCCTGTTGGGCGGGGATCTTTTCCACGAGAACAAGCCGTCCCGAAGAACTCTACATGGCTGTATGGCTTTGTTACGGAAATATTGTATGGGAAATAAACCGATCCAGTATGAGTTCCTCAGCGACCAGTCAGTGAACTTTGACCACTGTCAGTTCCCTACGTTAAACTATGATGACCCCAACTTGAACGTCTCCATGCCAGTGTTCTCCATACATGGTAACCATGACGATCCAACAGGACAGGGAAACTTATGTTCGTTGGATATTTTACACACCGCTGGACTTGTTAATTATTTTGGGAAGACATCTAATCTGGAGAAGATTCAGCTGAGCCCCCTGTTATTCCAGAAGGGAAATACAAAAGTGTGTTTGTATGGACTTGGTTCCGTGCGAGATGAACGCTTGCATCGGATGTTCGTACACAAGAATGTCACAATGCTGCGTCCAAAGGAAAACCAAGAGGATTGGTTTAATATGTTTGTTGTTCATCAGAACAGATCTAAACACTCCGCAACAAATTACATCCCTGAGCAGTTCTTAGATGATTTCTTGGATTTGATAATTTGGGGGCATGAACACGAATGTCGAATCGACCCCGAGTGGAACGGCGTTCAGAACTTTTATGTAAGTCAGCCAGGAAGCAGTGTTGCGACGTCTCTGAGTGAAGGAGAAACAGTGAAGAAACATATTGGGTTGTTGCAGATTAAGGGAAAGGATTTCATGATGAAAAAGATCCCTCTTGAAACAGTGCGTCCATTCTATATGGAGGATATAGTTCTAGGGGAGACAACTCTTAACCCTGATGATCACAATGTGTCAAAACAAATGGAGGCCTTCTGTACGGAAAAGGTTGAGACATTGTTGGACAAAGCAGGTAATGGCCGCAAATTCATTCTGTGTCTGAAATATGACCCAAATCCTATTATCGACACCGCTACAGAAGGGTATTTTGCTTCTCTTTCTGCCTGCATCATGTGCATCAGTTTTGATCTGCACATCTTGTGTATTTAATGGGTTGGTGGTTAATGACAACATAGACAAGGTCAGATAACTCTGAAAAATGTTCAATGGGATGGTCATGTATAGTTTCCCTTCTATAGTAACCCTTCCTTCCAGTCTCAGAACCCTTTCTTTTTATAATTTTATATTATGACGAAAGATTAGAAAATGAATGACAGTGGCCAATATTTTGTATTTCAGCTATGGAGCACACAGGCAACAGGAAACAGCCAAAAAAAGCCCTCATACGTCTCAGGATCGACTACACTGGCTTTGAACCATTCAGCATCCATAGGTACACCATTCTGCTAGTTTGTTGCTAAGATTTGCAAATCAGTTGCAAGTTAGCTGCTCCAGTCAACTCCCTTTTTCAGGATCAGTAAAAACACAGAAAACAATTTTAAACATGTACATGATGTATGCCAGGATTCAAGCTATGGATCAAAGTAGCTGAAAAGATTTCCAACTTTGGTAGACTTTCTGGTGGTATTGCCATATTAGTTAGACAGCAGCTTGTTAAATATGTAAAATGGTCTAAAGTTTACGACAGTGGCATTTTTATGCTGTTAGATAAAACCGTATTTGGATCTAAAAAAGATTTGCTATATTCATGTGTCTATGTTCACCCTGAATGTTCGACTTGGTACACCAACCCTTTGAGGCAATGCAAAAATGGTATACAAATATTACAAAATGACTTACTTGATACACTAGCACATTGTGATGATGTTTATTTGATGATTGGGGGAGACTTGAATGCCAGAGCTAGCACGGAATCTGATTTTGTAGAAGATGATATTCTTGAATATCTCGAGGGTCATGATAACAGTGTATGGGGATTTCTGTTAGACAATTTCAGCTTAAAAAGATTTTCTGTGGATTTATCTTTGAATAATTTTGGAAAGAGCTTACTAGATTTATGCAGTATACTAAATATACATATTATGAATGGAAGGTGCGGGTCAGACGCCGGGGTGGGAGATTTTACTTTTATAGGAAATCAGGGTGCGAGTGTGGTGGATTATGTTATTGCCTCGTCCGAGTTGTTTGATATGTGCCATAGCTTTGACATTCCGTCTCGAGCCGAGTCATCACACCTTCCTGTCACGACTAGTTTACGTACGCTTCTAGTAAATGACCCTATGCCACGCAATACACGTAACAATGCTTCCTTCAAATTTGTGTGGGTTGAAGAGAAGGCTGAACAGTTTAGAATAAACCTTATTTCTGGGACTGCGAATGATTTACTGGAGAAGGCTGTAGATGTAGCATTTGTTAATGTTGAAGAAAGTATTAGGTATATCACTGAAGCTGTTATTATTGCTGCATCAGATATGAAGAAAATGAATAAGGACTGTAAATATGATCAACAATGGTTTGATAGCGAATGCCAGCTACTTAAAAAGGAGTGATGTAGACGTTTGAATAATTTTAGAAAGAATAAGGATAGAGGATCACTAACCGACTATAATAGAGTAAGAAATCAGTACAACGATGTTTGTAGGAAAAAAAAGACAGAATATTTCGAACAAAAACAGAAACTGTTGGAATCAAGCATAGATAATTCTAAAACATTTTGGTCATCGCTAAAAGCCATTAAACCAAATAGATATTGCAAAAATGATATTGATATTCAAGCCTGGTTTGAGCATTTCCAGGAACTGTTTTCAGTTCCATTTAGCCATGACAATAACAATTTATTTGACATGGAATTCATGGAAGATAAAGTTGACAGCGTAACAGATGATATTCTTGAATGTCCAATATCTAGAGAGGAAATTTTTGACAGCATATCCAACCTTAAAGATAATAAGGCATCTGGAAATGATAATGTGATAGCAGAGTTTTTTAAACATTCCTCAGACATTTTAATACCATATTTGGAACTAATTTTTAATATCCTTTTAGAGAGATCATATTTTCCAGATAATTGGACAGTTGGCATTATTGTCCCTCTTCACAAACAGGGCGCAACCAGCGATGTTAATAATTACAGAGGCATAACTCTCCTAAGTACATTCAGTAAAATATTTACTTCAATTATTAACAAGAGACTTGTTTTCTGGGCGGATTCTTTGGATAAGATAAGTGAGTCACAAGCAGGTTTTAGAAAAGGATACTCCACCACTGACAATGCTTTTATCCTATATTCTATAATTCAGAGATATCTATCAGTGAAACGAGGGAAGCTATATGCTGTATTCGTAGATTTTGCAAAAGCTTTTGACTCTGTGAAAAGGGATAACTTGTGGTCACACTTTCAAAGACATGGGCTAAGTAGCAAAATTGGAAAGTTATTATGCTCTCTATATAAAAATGTGAAGGTATGTGTACGGAACAATGGCGCTATATCGGATACTTTTGTAAGTAGCAGGGGTTTCCGACAAGGGTGTATATTAAGTCCCTTCTTATTTTCCTTTTTCATAAATGATTTGGCATATCAAATCCAAAAAAATTGCACTGATGGAATACAACTGCACCCCGAAACTATTAAATTATTTCTGCTTCTTTTCGCTGACGATATAGTCATGTTCTCGAGCACAATACCTGGCCTGCAAAAGCAAATACATGTATTAGAGAGTTATTGTGACGAGTCAAAACTTACTGTAAATATGGATAAAACCAAAGTTGTAGTTTTTAAAAATGGTGGTAACATATCCAGAAAAGAAAAATGGTTTTACAGAAGGAAGCCTGTAGAAGTTGTTCCATTTTATAAATACTTAGGCTTGTGTTTTACAAGTAGATTAACTTGGTCAATGAATGCACATAACATTTCATTGCAAGCCAAGAAAATTTTTGTAGGCATATTAAAAAGTCTTAGAGTTCTGGACAATGTTACATATGATGTTTATTTTAAAATATTTGATACAAAAATAAGCCCGATGCTATTGTATGGATCCGAAATTTGGGGCCTAGAACATTTGGATGTTATTGAGAAAATACATTTATATGCATGTAAACGGTTCTTGGGGGTAAAATCTAGCACAGAAAACGCAAGGGTATATGGTGAATGCGGACGGTTTCCCATGTATATTAATAGTTATTTAAAGGTTATTAAATACTGGGTTAAGATATTAAATATGCCATCTTCAAGATGCCCGAAAAAATGTTATAATATGATGCTTCTCTACGACAGCCACGGGAAACAAAATTGGGCATCAAAAGTTAAAAACATGTTATACGAATGTGGATATGGTTATATTTGGTTACAGCAGCATGTAGATATGCCACAACATTTCTTCTCCCGTTTGACACAGACTTTAAAAGATATGTACATTCAAAAATGGCATTGTTCTTTGTTTAGTTCTAGAAAAGCAAACTATTACACTACATTTAAGACTACTATTATATTAGAACCTTATCTATTAAGTGTAAATTTACATAAGTTTAGAACAGCTCTTTCTCGATTCCGTTGTGGCTCACATGATCTATTTATTGAAACAGGCAGATATGAAGGTATTGCAAGAGAACACAGACTTTGTAGGATTTGTAAAACTGATTGTACTGAAGATGAATATCACTTTTTATGTGTATGTCCAGTGTATGAAGATTTAAGAGCAAAATATCTAAATAACTATTTCTACCGCAACCCAAACGGTAACAAATTTTGTAAATTAATGACTTGTGATTGTACAGAAACTATTAGAAATCTATCAATGTTCATTTATCATGCCATGAAACTAAGAAAATGTATGAATTTGTAACACGCCCCACACATTGTACTATAGGCCTTTGGCCTCATAAGTACCATGAATAAAGATTGATTGATTGTATGCCTGGTTAACCACACTGAAGATCCAGGTAAGAATTGGTCTACAGCATCCCATGCTTGATGTAAGAGGCGACAGGATCGGGTGGTGAGACTCGCTGATTTGGCTGATGTATGTCATTGTATCAGAATTGTGTATGTTGATGCTTATGATGTCCATCACTGGATTGATGTGTGTAGATGACCATAGATAACACCTCATACCAAATGTTCCCAATAGTCATGTCCGGACTTGATTATTTTCAGACCGCCATCATATAGCTGGAATATTGCAGTGTTAAACAAATAAACAAACAAAACAGAATCATACCAAATGTCTAATGGTCATAGTGGTGCTGAATTTTTGAAATTTTGTTTCTTTCTTCAAATCTTCTTTCTGTTTTCAGGTTTGGTCAAAAGTTTGTGGACCGAGTGGCGAACCCCAAGGATCTAGTGTTGTTTCACCGCAAGAAGGCTGGCGTGAAGAAGGAGGAGAGTGGTGCAGGTGGTCTTTGATGGAGTTGGTGTAGCCACGGGAAAACAGGCCCCTGCTTTTCCATAGCTGTAGGGGGGCACGGGTGGCCCAGTCGTCTAAGGCGCTGCGATTCGCTGTGCAGAGTTGCGTCGCTTGGGTACGCCAGAAACCTATAATTGTGGGTTCGAATCCCGGTTCGCCCCGATTATGTTTCTAGGTTTGTCAGCACCATTCCCGTGCTCGTGGGTTTCACCGAAGTGGTAAACGTCTGACACCTGCATCACTTCGGGCTTTCCCCCCACATTAAGCTGACACGCCGCGATATAACTGGAATACTGTTAAAAGCGGCGTTAAACCCAACTCACTCACTCACTCCATAGTTGTAGACCTCAGACATGGCTTAAAACTGGAGTCTTTAGGGGACAGTTGTACTAAGGGGTAGTTGTATGTAGCCAATGAAACTGCCCCTTACAGTTGCCCTAGAGTCAGCTCATCGTGAATCTCGGGGCAGAATAGGTTCCCAGTACAACATGCCTTTGCAAGAGCCCACTGCCATGAGGACTGGGTGCTTGCAGGTGTTGGGGATTATGTGTCATTGTAAGGGTGTTGATCATTGCTCATGATGTCAACCATGTTTTGGGCGGTCGGGTAGCCTAGTGGTTGAAGCGTTACCTCATCATGCCGAAGACCCAGGTTCGATTCCCAACATGGGTACAATGTGTGAAGCCCAGTTCTGGTGTCCCCTGCTGTGATATTGGTGGAATGTTGCTAAAAGCGGCGTAAAACCAAACTCACTCACTCACTCAGCCATGTGTTTTCCGGCCCCTTGTAATATAGCTGAAATATTACCATGTGTTGTATTGCATGTGTAGGCAAAGTGTTACTGCTAGGTTCACTGATCTATTATTATGTTCAGAAGGCAGATGTTTGTAAACATTTGTTGCAGAAAGTTATGAGTGAGTGAGTGAGGTTTTACGCCGCTTTTAGCAATATCCCAGCAATATCACGGCGGGGGACACCAGAAATGGGCTTCACACATTGTACCCATGTCGGGAATCGAACCCAGGTCTTCGGCGTGACGCGCTAACGCTTTAACCACTAGGCTACCCGACCGCCCCAGAAAGTTATAAAGGATGTTGCTGTCTTGTATTGCCCAGTGATGGCATTGATGAACAAGTTGAAATTTCCGAGTTTCCACATGTTAATACAATCATTATTTGTCCTACAGACAACGAGTTGTTGGCCATGATCCGACCCCAGTCTCTGGACAGTGCGCGAGTGGAGGACATGGTGCGAGACTACTTCGTCCAGGTGGAGGAGGTCAGTAGTGGAAAGTGTACAATCTCAGCCTGACTGTAGCACCACACACAGGCGTGTGCTCAGTGGTCAGTTTTGTTTGGGGGTGGTGGGTAGCCTAGAGGTTAAAGCAGTCGCTTGTCCCACCGATGACCCGGGTTCAATTCCCAAGATGGGTACAGTGTGTGAAGCCGATTTCTGGTGTCCCCCTCCTTTATGATGCTGGAATATTGATAAAAATGGTGTAAAACCATACTCCCTCACTCACTTTTGACATGCCTCTGTTACATCATAGCCTTCCTTCCTGATGTAATACTAATAGAGGTAAAATTCTTAGAATTCTACACAGTGAATTATTAAAGAAGGCTATAATGTAACAGAGGTACTTTTCTTAGAATTATACACAATAATAACTTGTTTAATTTCGGTGTGTAAAGGACAAAATAACAGAAATGTCCCTGTCAAAATTTGAGTAGTATATATCTCGGTGTCTGCATCGTTGTGTCCATGTGTGTTGCAGCAACGTGTTTAGTGTGTCTGCCTGTTGAGTTATTCTTTTGAAGTCGTCATGTGTCGCTCGGCCAGGATGGACAGTCAGTATTTATTATGGGCACCATATGTAATAAGAGCACAATGTCGCCTTGGTCCTGCTTGGTTATTGTCGGGTAGCCTTAAAGGTTAAGGCATTTGCTCGTCATGCCGAAGACCTGGGCTCGCTCGCTCACTCACTCACTCACTCACTCACTCACTCACTCACTCACTCACTCACTCACTCACTCACTCACTCACTCACTCACTCACTCACTCACTCACTATCTATCTATCTATCTATCTATCTATCTATCTATCTATCTATCTATCTATCTATCTATCTATCTATCTATCTATCTATCTATCTATCTATCTATTGATAGTATTCTGAGCCTAGGGATACTGGGCTGAATAGGCTCTCACTATTGAATGCTTGTCGTCAGCCGCAGTGAGGTACAGGTGCAGTGATAACAGCCAGATTTGTATTATAAGAGATTTGGTGACTGGTATATCCGGTGTTACGTGATCGCAGTGATCAGCTGATTATGTTTTCTGAGATGGGGGGAAAACATTGTGTCATTGGAAAACGTGAGTTTATTAAAAATGTTATTACAATTTGAGGAGCCATGCTTTGTTGCGCGCTATAACCAAGTTAGCGCTATATTGAAGAGCGCAATAGTGAGGGAACACACAAGTCACGGTTGAGGCTTACGCTCTCTTGATCGCGAAAACTTTGTTGACACCTAAGTCAGACTATAACAGATATGACATTTAACGAGTCAAAGTATGGCATTTAAGATATATGTATCCATTCTCAACTTAAGTTCGTTTCAAGGCATAAATAGCGGTAATCTGATCGTTGTTGCTGTAAATGTGAGTATTGCGTGATGTGCTTGCGGTGATCAGCTGATAATGTTTTTTTTGAGATGGGGGAAAACATCCTGCCAGTGTAAAACTTGAGTTTATTAAATGTGAAAGTAAATTGTGGGACCCATGCCCATAACCAAGTTAACGCAATATTGAGGGGCGCAATAGCGAGGGAAAACTATCTCTTATTCTCAGTTAGTAGATGTAACATTTTACTGAATTTATTAGTTTGATATTGGGCAAGTACATTTTAAAATAGGGCAAGTAAGACTGTTGGTCATACTTGCCCTTGGTCACGTAACTTTTTCATTATTTTTCAACCCCTGTATATAACTGTTCTAAATATATAGGCTTGACTTGGAAAGTAAATTAGCTCGTAATTGTGTTTCGGAAATTAGCTCCTTTGTACACATGCTGAAAAAGCTTCATTGGGTATTGGGTGCTGTTTTTATACATTTGAGTTTTTCATTTAATGCATGCGTTTCTGTACGCAAGTTAATTGAAAGTAATTGGGTTTTGAATATTTTTGGGGGGTATTTTACGCAAATAGCTGCTTATCTGTAGCTCTGTTGGGTGTATAATATTCGTATGGTATACCAAATTGTCTTTTCTGGTTGGTGGTTTCTGTTCCGTTCTGATTTGGACTGCGATGTTAACTATTTCAGATGTTATAGTTTACTCACTCACTGTTGCAGACAAGCAAGCTGCAGCTGTTGACAGAGAAGGGGATGGGGGATGCTGTCAAGGAGTATGTAGACAAGGAGGAAAGGGAGGCAATCTCGGAACTTGTCAAGTACCAGTTGCAGAAAACACAGGTACACTTTAAGACGACTTCTTAGCACTCTCCCAATAATAATAATAATATTCAGGCAAGTACAAAGAACTACTGGTACTAAACTTCAGCCAACACATAACTCAACATGATGCACACTTCTTCAGTTTAGTGGGCAAGTGCCCTTTTGTATCTTGAAAATTATTTTCTTTCACATAGGAGAAGGTATGATATTGCAAATCTATTGTCCGAATTTATTGTATGAAAATATTTAATTGTCATTTTTTGTTTAAGCATCATCTGAAAGTCCGGAACGCCAGTGAGGACAGGATTGACACGGAGGTGACAAATTTCCGCGAGGAGCGGAAGAAGAGGAAAGAGGAGGATGAAGAAGTTGCGGAGGCTCTTAAACGTGCTCATTCCATGCGCTCACAGACCCTGGATCGCACCAGCGAGGATGAGCGGATGAGTCTTGACTCTGAGGAAGAAGCAAAGCCGACGAGAGGTCGAGGTCGTGGACGAGGGAGTCGCAGCAGAGGAGCTAAGGAAACAACCCGAGGTCGAGGATCACGTGGAGGTAGGGGGTCACGTGGAGGCAGGGGAAAAAATAAGGAGCCAGTTATTGCAACCAATGGGAATAGATCCATCATGGATGCCTTTGCATCGTCTTCGTCTGTCTCACAGAGGAGTGCAAGGGGAGGAAACAAGAGAAAGACGTACAGGTAGGGACTTCCCCCCCCCCCCCCCCACCATAGTATCAGGCATTAATCTAATCTCGGGTCTACCCCAAGTGTTGGTTAAAAAAAAAAGGTGAAAATTGCAATTAATAGAATAGCAAGTTAAGCATATTGCTTTTATGATTATTACTTCTGTTTTATCTTCTGAAAGTTGACTTCGAACTAGAACTACATAGCATTGTATTTCTGATGAGAAATTCATCAAAGGAGTGAAACTGATTGCTGCTTCATATTAGAAGCTACCATCTCCATGTTCTAGTGGACAGAATGTCTGCTTGAAGTGCCGAAGGTCGGTAGATCAATCTCCAGACACGTCATACCAAAAGATGCTAAAAGATGGTACATGCCTAGTGCTCTACATTACAGGGTGTCAATGTTAAAACTGTGGATGGTATTTCAGTGAGCTAGCACCATAAAACCGGCATTAGTCCGGACAAGTCCAAGAGCATGCATGCACATTGCTATACAAGTGCAATAATCTTGAATGCACAGTTAAACCCCATTTCACCTCACTTGGCATTAGAAGCATGTATGACATTGATTTACGGTTTTGCCTTCTTTTGACAGTAGCATGGACATGTCTGATGATGACGATGTGGTCACCATTGACGATGATGACGATCCATTTGATATTTCGTCATCAAGTAGAAAGCAGAAAAGTCAGAAGCCATCAAAGAAAACCCCATCTCGGAGAGGTGTTGCATTTGATTCAGACAGCGACGATGATATAATGTCTTCATCAAAGAGACGAAGATGAAGTATGCTTATGACCATCCAACTTACTCCTGTATTTAGTAACATGCAGTGTGACTGAGGCATGACTGATGAAGATTTGTACTTTGTTTCATACATGAATTGATGTCAAGATGCGAGGAAGTATGCCCACACAAAAAGGAAAATGTCTAGAATGTAATATACTGCTTAAAAGAAGTAAAACAACACTGATTTTTTCATAATCTGTCATGACAGGTCTTCTCAAATTTGATCCTGAAAACATGGTTTATATATACCATTTGTTTAGATTTGATCAGTACATTGTCCAATTATTACAAATATCTATCATGTCTATTGAAGGAAAGGCCTTGTGTGGGTTTCACGGCTGTAGCTCATGTATATCTGATTAAACTTGATTATGAAAAACCTTTGTGTTGAAGGAGTGAGTCTTGAACTGTATTTCGGTTAGTTAATACTATAAGTTGACATGCAGAGAAAAGGCACAAGTGGCGCAGGTAGTGTATGTTTGCCACTTTGGTAACGAATCCTTGCATGGCTTAGGGATGCAACTCAACAGTATGCTAACATTGAATCTAGAGATTATCTGACTGACCCTCAGGTTTTCATTCTACAATCATTTCAGTTCTTTTTGTTATCCCCCTGGTTTGAAAAACGGCGGGGATAAAGCGGCATTAACTCCAAAACCGTTAAATATTTCTTGTTGAAACTTACTATATAGATCAGTCTTTGAAAAATTGGGATTTCTTTTTTTCATGACAAGTTGGGGGATGTCATCTTCAGATGACTTGTTTCTCACATTGTCCCCATTGGTAGTCAAAAGAGGCGACTAAATTATGAACGCCTGGGAATTGGTCTCCAGGAACCGATGCTGGTTGAAGCTGCAACTTAATGAGGTGGTCAGGCTCAGGCGACTTGGTGTCGTACTGAGAAACGGCGTGGATCAATGCTCATGATGTCAATCACTGATAGTCGGTTCCAGACTCGATTATTTACAGGCCGCCATCATATAGCTGGAATATTGCTGAGCGCGACGTTAAACAACAAACACACAAAAAATTTATTAAACTCATTTAATTGTGTACATTTACATTAAGGACATGACCCATATGTTTCAGGAAAGGTACAAGATTTTGACCTAATTTACATCTGGGCCAGTAGTATCATTTCTTATTACTTAGTATTCATAAACAGAAATACTTCACATACTGCCATGAAATACATGTCAACATGAAATTAGTGCAAACAAGGCAAGTGCTCCGTTGTCATATTGGAATTTGTCACATCCGGTCAACTGGAAACAATGACATGTATTACATAAAACAAGCTGCTAATGGTCTACTGTAATTTAGCAGAAGACAGTGTTGTTTGATGGAAATCATGTCACGTCTGGTCTCCGTCTAATCAGGATGTTCAAGCCTGCAGTCACCAATTGTGTATGACCATGTCTTTGTTCTTGGAATTCTTGTCAAATCTAGCCAGTCATAGCCAAACACTGCTCATCTATTTTGTGAATATTTCCTTGTCAAATCTAGCCAGTCATAGTAAAACACTGCTCATCTATTTTGTGAATATGTCCTGAACAGCAACAATACAAACATGGAGAATACCAAACAAATTTCAAAGATTGTGGTAGCACTTACAATTTTGGTGATGACTTGTTAGGAATTTAAGTCACATGTCAGTGGGAAAATTTTGAGAGAAATGAAGAAAATATTCTGTCAAACTGCCAATATCCCATACTATATCTTGGTATCCAAGTCTTGTTCTTGTCAATTGATAAAAAAGATACCGTTTCAAAAGAGCTACTCATCAATTTAATGATGCATTTTAGGTCATAACTTAACAACAGTCCCTTGAATTTTGTGATGCATTAATTCTATGATACAGTATAAGGATTATGTCTTAGAAGAAAAAGAGTAGATGATTTCACTCTTGTAATGCCTCCGAGAAGGCAATTCCTAACTGCTACTCCGGTGAAGTGATACATCTGTCAAAACAGACGGACATCTGGATCCTTTACACCAGATGTAAAAACAACAGTAATTGTTTTTGTTTATTTGAGCATTTTATTCTTGGGTTTTGTTTTATTTTCGCCTAAAATGATGTACATCTCATCACAGACTGAACTGCAAGTTACCTCTGATGCAATGAAGATGGAACAATTTCATGGTAAAATTGATCCAGATTTTAAATATTCACAGACTTAAAATACATTCCACCTTCATGCACCAAACTTCGCTGTGACAAAACATACTTTATAAGACTCATTCACAACAGACAGAAATATACAAAATTAAACCAGCTCTTCCAGCTGTCCTCTAAAAGATGACCAAATTATAGGAATGAAGTTAAATCATCATCTCCATTCACAGCCATGTGATACTTGAGAAGGATTCTTCAGGAACTGGTTAAGGAACCACCAATAGTGGACAGTGGTCATGAGAAAAGCCATGGCTTCCTTGTCCTAGATATTCATTCCTTGTTAGCTTCACATATTGCTAGGTGGTATTATGGAAAGAGTGATTCTCGAAGAAAATGATAAGGAACAATAGCACTTCTAGCATACAAAATGTTTGCTATGAACATCCTGTTCACTTCTCAATTACATCTCCTCTTTGCCATTGCATGAAATCATTATATCACTAGTTTTTTGCTGCATTTTGTGAAAGATAAAATAAAAAGTCAGTAACAACGTGATAGGTGCCCCCATGTGGGCACTGGTGAGAGTGGTCGGTCCGTGAGAGTGTGACGAGGGTCCCTGCCATGGTCACAAACTCCCAGTCTGACGGCACGCGACCTCGAGGTTGGATCAGCAACAGACGAGCAGATGGCACAACGATATGACCGCTGGAGGATCATGCAAGATGATGATGACGACCAGGTGGGGAAAGGCGTCATCAGTTGTGGATCTTGATCGCCTTTTCCAGGTAGTTGTAGCGTGATCTCTTTGGCGTCTTGTTCACATGATCCAGTCCAAGCCATGGTCGGGCTTGCACACCACCTCCTGCAAAACAAACAGGACAGCTACATCTTGGGCTCTACAGGAAAACATTTATTATGCCTAACTGGCTAGTCCTACAACTAAGTCTAAACTAAGAATAAGAAGTGCTCATTGTCCCACAGCTCAATGTTACTTTTTGTTTCAGCGACTGACACACAAAAAAGAATATTTCAGCATCTGTGTTCATATGCTGTCCAATTTTGTAGAATTTTCCTATTCGGAATATTCTATAAGTAATACGTTACCACTGTTATACCGAGGCTGTTGTCTCCCACAACTGCTGCTATAGCGAAATCTACCACAGAGATCTCAATTACCTTATGCAGCACGTGCGTAGCCACCTAGCTGCCATGTGACACCCTTCACTCTAGTCTCCTGCGAGAGCAAGTGCTCGGGGGACGGACGGGCGGGCAGCAGCCCAGTGGTAACGTATTACTTATAGAATATTCCGAATAGGAAAATTCTACAAATTACATTAAGTAATACGTTACCACTGTTATACCGAGGCTGACTACCACAGTAGGCGGTGGGGAGCACCTACAACCCGAATCCTGACTGCTAGCGTTCCTTCCGACCAGCGGAAGTAAACACCAAGGCGTTACCCTATAGGAATACCAAAGCACTGTCAAGCGCATACCGTAAGGCTCAATCGTCATTGCCAAAACGATTGGTGACTCCAAACGGCCCCACTGGATAGGTATTTCATCGCCGCAGCGGATGAGAACACTGTATCCGCGTGAGCTTAATCTTAGATCAGGTTAAACAGTCGAAAAGAGGGAAATTAATTTCCTTCAGACCGTATATCCCAGAGCAAGCCTACTTAAAGTATGCATTAGGCGCGTGACCTAATTCCAGTATTTGTAAGCATGCATCACAAGGTTGGGATACACGACAGACAATTAAAGACATAATTGTCAAAATACAAATAAGGACAAAGCACACAAAAAGCCGCCCTCACCTGTGGTGTGAGTGCGCTGGTTTGCGGGACCCCAACTCCTGTACCCATGGCAGTGGGAACATTGGAGTCGACCCAGATTGACCACCGTGCAAGGTCAGACGCCTGAGGAGTTCGGAATTGCGCTGGGCACACCCCTTAGGTGCCCGCTTGCGCCGCGATTCGCGGGTCAAGACGGTGCACACTCTCCACGACGGCATCAGCGACCTGTTTGAGGTAATGATTGGCAAAAACCGAGTCAGAACGCCAGTAACAACCTCGTAATATTCTGCGAACAGAGATATTCGAGTGTAGGACAAATGTTGCCGCTAGCGCCCTGACCTCGTGCGGGTTTGACCCCGCTACCGGTAACCCCCGAAACCGGTACGCCAGATTGATGACAGAACGAAGCCACAACGCAATCGAGTTGCGAGTTATGTCAACCGTGTGATTAGGGTTACACGATATGAACAGACGGTCACGCCCTTGTCTACGTTCATTCGAAGCCTTAAGATAATACTTAAGGGCCCTAACCGGACACAGCGCTCTGTCCTCAGTATCAGCAGGATGTAAGATTTCTTTGAGTTATCTTACAGTGAATTCTCTCTCCGTATGCCCGACTCTCTGATTCTTGGCGACGAAGCCCATGAGCAGGCCCAGGCGGACCGCTCCTTCGTCACCCCTATCGAATCGTACCTTGGCGACATCGAGTGCATGAATTTCACTGGAGTGCATGAATTTCGGATACACGTGCCGCCGTGGCAAAGGAGAGGAGAAATGCTGTTTTCCATGTCACATGCCGGAACGAAGCACTATGCAAGGGTTCATACGGAGCTTCCGTAAGTGATTGCAACACTAGGGAAAGATCCCAGGCCGGTGCCCGAAGGCGGCCCTTCTTAAGATCATGCTGTTTGAAACCCTTGATAATACCCCGTATCACCGGCTCTTTGGAGAGACTGGTACCCATAGCAACGCCCCGTACCGTAGCAACGGACGAGACATAGTTGGCAATGGAACCCCCGGAGAGTTTCCGGGTCTCTCGCAAGTGAGACATGAAACGAGCAATATCCTGCACAGATACCTTATCTGGCGAATGAATGTGATGTTTACAACACCACTTCGTGAAAATAACCCAACGTGCATTATACACCTGGGTAGAATCACGATGCATACTAACGTATGCCCGAGACGCCCGGCGAGAAAAAACTTTACTCCTCAGACGCTCGGTGACAACATCCACGCGTGCAGATTGAACTGCCCTGCGTTTGGATGAAGCTGACGGGTGTGAGGGTGGATCAAGAGATCCGGTCTCACAGGCAGTGGAAGTGGCGACTGCGTGACCTGGGTCAGCAAGTCGGGGTACCACGATCTGTTCGGCCACATGGGCGCGATCAGTAACATTCGACAGCGAACTCCTCGGAGCCGGCTTAGAATGTGTGGTATCAACGCTGTCGGCGGGTAAGCATAAGCGACCAAGCCCGTCCAGTCTAACGCGAGAGCATCGTGATCGATGGCCCTCGGGTCCGGGACTGGTGATACAAACAACGGGAGTTGATTGTTGAACCGCGTTGCGAACAGGTCGACCATCGGACGACCCAAACGTTCGCACAGCCACTGAAACACTACTGGGTTCAGCATCCACTCTGTGGGGCTCGGATCCTGAGGCCTCGATAGAGCATCGGCCAGTACGTTCCGCACACCTGGGATGTGACGGGCGCGTATCTGGCACGGGACACTGTCCACCAGAGCGTAAAACTCGAACGTGAGATCGAGTAGCGAGTGACTGTGGGTTCCCCCCAGTTTGTACACATAGGACACTACCGTTGTGTTGTCGGTCGCCAGCATGAGCCGGGCGTCGACGAGACGATGCTTCCAGTGATTGACTGCGTTGATCACTGCCTTGAACTCGAGACAAGTGATGTGAAGACCTAGTTCGTCTACGCACCACAGCCCCGAGCTCACCTCCCCCTTTAGATGGGCGCCCCAGCCCACTAGAGAGGCGTCTGTATACAGGGTCAACGTGGCCCGGTAGGGCCGCATAGAGACTCCTGATAAGACAATGTAAGGGACCGTCCACCACTCCAGATGCGGTCGGAGCCGATCCGGGAGGGCGACGGTCGCACTGTTCACCTCCGTTGCTAACAACTGGATTAAAAACCGTTGCAGCGGGCGGAGTTGGAGACGACCCCGTGCGGTGCAGTCCTGGGCTGATACAAGTAGCCCTAACAGCTGTTCCCAAAAGTGAACAGTCTGTTGCACCGCTAAGACTTTGGCAATCATCGCCTGAATTTTGTGCCACCGGTCTGGGGGGACAAAGAGGCGATGGGACACCGTGTTGAACCGACCTCCGATGAACAGCAAGTTCTGAGAAGGGGTTAACTCGCTCTTGGGGAGATTGATAATCCACCCAAATTGCTCCAAGAGCCGACGTGCGAAATCGAGATGGCGTGACAGGGTGTCCGTCATTCGATTTGCTACTAGCGAGTCGTCCAGGTACGCGAAGTACTGGACACCCCTCCTGTGGAGGAACCCCACTATGGGGGTGGTTAACCGGGTGAACAGCCAGGGAGCGGACGTTTGAATCATTCTGAGTTCGGCACTGTCCTACTTGGGAACGAGAAATATCCTGGAGTAAAACCCCGGTGTTATTTCTGGTAGAGCTAACCCCCGTACTGCCCCTTCTCCACCAACCTGCCGATGGCATCGGCGAGGATGGGAAGATCGGTTTCCGAATCGAAACCTGCCAACGGGGCAACGGTGAGCGGCGGATTCGCTTTGAGATCTAGCCGATAGCCGTACCGAATCGTGTTGACCACCCACGGGTCGTCGAACACTTGTTCCCAATTCTCCCAGTAAGTCTGGAGTCTGGCTCCCACTGGGGAAGGAGAGGGGGCCCTGACAGGTTGCGGCAGGCGCAACTGTCCAGGGCCAAGTGACTCGGGTTCGCCTAAGGGCCAACCGAAGTTGGCGCTGTCGGCATACGAACCCCTCCAATGAGAGTCACCTGGAGGGGCCCTTGCCGTCCGTCGACGACTTGGGCTTCCCCCAGTTCCCCGTCTTCCCGCGAAAGGGCAGCTGATTGCCCATACCGGAGCCCTCAGGGCGGGGCTACTTCCCAGAGGAAGAAGAACCCGACCCCTTAGACCTACAGGCCGCAGCAGCCTGGGGCGCGCTCCGGTTAGGAGCGGCACCCAGGCGCCTATGCAGGGACCCAACAAGAGCAAGTGTGTGCCGAAAGTCCTCGGCAACGTACTCCAGGGAAGCATTTAAACTGAGCAGGCAGTTGTAAATGCGCTGGTCACGGTCCGTGGGAGAACCTTCGACCAGACGGGCCGCTGCAGCCAAGTAAGTGTCTCCGTGAGACATGGAGTGCCGAGCGAGGGCGTCCAGCTGGTGCAAGGTAGCTTGCGTTACCGTAGCAGCCGGTGGGGCACGGACACCCAACCGCTCAACATGGGCCTCCGCGGTAGGACCAGCCTCGGGAAAGGCAAGGGCATGTACCGGGAATAAACCCTTTCTCCACGACGTCGGAGGCAACGGGAGACCCCGACCGGAGGCCGCCGCGAAGGCGTTCTCCAAGGAAGGCTTGAAACCGCGCAGCAAGGTTGATGCGGGGAAAGCCGTGTCGGAAGACTCATCGTATACCTCGGAGGAACCCACAGTCGTGGGCATGTCCTCAAAGAGGTCATAAACCATGGCCACGCGGTCCTAAACCGATAGCGGGAGCAACGGTTCGGGGGAAGGACCGGTGACCACGGGAGCCGCCGCCGTACCGGTGGACCTCGCGTCCGACCCCGCGGCCACCGAAGTGGCCGGGGACGGAACAGCCAGCGGCCTATCCTGAGATAAGGCCGCCAGCTTGGAGTCCACAAGTTATGCAAGTAATGCAGCGACGGAATCCCCGGACAGCACACGGGCCGCCAAGAGATCCGCCGCTTTACCGGTGGACCCCGCGTCCGACCCCGCGGCCACCGAAGAGGCCGGGGACGGAACAGCCAGCGGCCTATCTTGCGATAAGGCCGCCAGCTTGGAGTCCACAAGTTTCGACAACAATGCGGCGACGGAATCCCCAGACAGCCCGAGGGCCGCAAGGGGATCCGCCGCAGCCGAGGAGGTGGTACCCGCACGGGGACCCTGTCCGGACGAACCGGCCACCACAGGGGTGGAGACGGACTGTACGTACAGCCGGTACCGCTCAAACTCCGCAGGCCCCAGACCTTCGCACAGGATGCACCGGGTGTCCCCGCAAGGAACCCTGCACCGCGGGCAACGATCGTGGGGATCCCGGGACGACAAAAACTTTCTGCACACCCCACAACTCCGAGGAGCAGGGGTAGAGGGGATGGAGACTGGGGACATATCCATGTCAGACATTGATTGTTTGCTATAAACAAAGAACAAAACATGGTTACAACGCACGCACCACAATGATTCACAAACGAACATTTTCACAAGAAAATAAACGAGCAATGTGAACATATAACATACACATATAACTTTTATTAAAGAAATAAGTGATGTTAACCCCCAAAACATACAAGAACAGGGGAAACGTAAAACACAACGTGCATACGCGAACCCCGCAAGTATATAGAAAAAAGGGCGGGAAAATTATAACCAAGTGTAGCTACCGCAACGCCCCATAAAAGCACAGTTTATTAGAGAATAAACTACAATAAATATCACCAAATCTTCAAGGAACGCTTCAGCAGGAGAAAACACGTCTTGCTAAGCAGACGAAGGAGACAAGAGTGAAGGGTGTCACATGGCAGCTAGGTGGCTACGCACGTGCTGCATAAGGTAATTGAGATCTCTGTGGTAGATTTCGCTATAGCAGCAGTTGTGGGAGACAACAGCCTCGGTATAACAGTGGTAACGTATTACTTAATGTAATTGGCTTCAAAAGAGACAACAAATAACCCTTATGCTCTACCTCGGCTAAAATTGGGACATAACAGGAAAATCACTTTTGGTGTCAAGTTGTTTATAACAATTGTGAAACAGTACTTACAACAGAATGAAGCTTATCATTGCTTATTTGGCCATTAAGTTTGGCATAGCTGTGCATCATTCAATTGTTTCAGCCTTATTGTCGATGACCCAGCCCTATTTCTATTCACGCTGTTGTACACAGACTTCTCCTTACCTGGGAGAGAGTGCGGTATGAACTGTGACAAGTTCACTTTCTCCTCGTCTTCTGAGATGTACTCCTGTCGGCCCATCACAACTACTGCAAACTTGTACTGCAAGGACATCACATACCAGTGTCATTTACATACATCCATTCATTCAGAATATAGAATAAGATAGATTAAAATGAATCAAGAAAACACTGCTTTTTTTTTGTTCATTCATACAGTAGTGAATATAGTGATATGCAAGTTAATGTTACCTAGAAAAAATAACAGTCCAATAAAGACTTAAGAAGAGAAAGGCACTAGGGTTGCTTTAGGTGTGAAAATAACACACACAAAGGGCCCCTTCTCTGGAAAAATTATTAATGGCGCCAAATCTTGAGGAGTATCATTTAGATTAGCCTGCAAAGTTTCATTCATGTAACTTTAGCAGTTTCTGAGAAAACTTGTCCCCATGGCAGACACTATGCACTAAGCAAAATAACATTGATCAAGTGCTGTAACTGTAAAAAGAATAATTTACGGCACCAATTTTCGAACTCAGTCTTGACAAGTATCTCTTAGGTAAGCAAGCAAACTTTTATCCATGTAACTTTAGTAGTTTCTTGTCCATATTTCATGCAGTAAGTGGAAAAGCATGGAGAAAGGACCACAACTCCATACAAAATCATATTAAGAGTGAGTGAATGAGTGAGTGAGTTGGGTTTAACGAGCACGGGTATGGTGCTGACAAACCTAGAAACATAATCGGGGTCAATCAGGATTCGAACCCACAATCATAGGTTTCTGGTGTGCCCAAGGGGCGCAACACTGCACAGCGAATCGGGGCTCCTTAGGTGACTAGGCCACCCGTGCCCCCATCATATTAAGAACATATTTCATTTCTCTAACTAAAATAGTTTCGTAGAAATTGTGTCCAACATTGAAAGGCGGACGGAAGGACAGACAAAGTCCGTTTCTATATCCCCATAACATATAACATATTGTTTGTTGACAAGGCACAAAGCCATATTCATATATTCAGTCTTAAAATGTATGAACTTGAAGTAGACTCAGTAAATCTTTGCATGTGTGTGCATGATGCAATAAAGTATAAATCTTAAGTCTTTTAAAGGCATTTAGAAGTGATACACATGAGGAAGAGAATTTATGGATGTCAACTTCTTTATTATGAGAAACATAAACTTTCGGAGTATATGCTTACTCCTACCTGATGAAGGAGTAAGCATATACTCCGAAACCTTGTGTTCCTCATAATAAAGAAGTTGACATCCATAAATTCTCTTCCTTAAGTATACATTTTGTCCACATAATAGTATTTACCTTCTCAAATTCTTTCTCCGAGATGTCAAGTTTCTTCCGTATCCTTTCTTTCACTGAGGAGAAAGCTTCATTCTGGATAGAAGAATTAATTATCATGAATAACTGTACTTTCTGAAAGTTATCAGCACAAAGTGCCTTGCTGTTAATACTAATTAGATGCAATAGTCACATAAATATACTGCAATCAGCAATATTCAAGTCCTATAACGGCAGCCTGTTAGCAATCAAGTTTTAGCCAGACAAACCAGAGGTCGATATTATGAGCAACATTTCATGTCGTTATTGAGGACATACGAAGAACCAGGTGCCTGATCACCGAATCCAATTTGGTCTTCTCTTACTGTTCAACAAGCAATGATGAGTGATGGGGACTTATTGTAGCCCGGGTCTTAACAGGGTTTCATACATGTATGTATCACAACAAAATTTCTTAAATGTCAAGTTCTTGTTGTCCATGATTGGCTCTTCATGCAAAAAACAGCAACCACATTATTGCAATTCATCAAATGTTAACAGTGAAATCCTCGTATCGACTCTGTCAAAGCAAAGGTTTATTTATTTCAAACATTTGTCCTATCTAAACAAATCCATTCAGTTAAAAGTTCAGTTATACTGATGGGGAAATTCCTACTGCTATTATTTCATTATTAGATTTGCATCAAACCATTTACAAAAGTGCTGCAGGAGGTATCATATCATCTAGATGTCCTTGCAGAAGGAAAGTAACTTGCATGGTACACAAAGAGATGCATGATGAATGGCAAGCATAAAGCAAGGCAGGCAAGCTGGCAAGCTGAAAACCCCATACATATTGCCTAGTATACTTTCAGAGCAGACAATTAGTGGTACAGGCCACAAAGTTAAAAAAAATTCAAAGGAGCCACTTGGCTCCTAAATTATTTTTTCAAGGAGCCAAATAGAATTTCAAGGAGCCAAGACAAAATGTAAGGAGCCAAAAGTAATGACTTGTAATTTAACTGCATAACAAAAAAAAAAAAATCCATTAGTTTGAATAATCAGTTTTAAATCATGAACAACAACTGTTGACGTGTTGTTGAAGCTTTTGAGTTTTTCAGACAAACAAGCTTTAGAACATTGTGTCAGTAACATCATCTGACAGTTTACCGGTGCCAGTTGCAGGTTTTGGTTCATCGAACGTGTCGATAGACGACGAAACTTCCGTGTCAGCTTCGCCATTCAAAGCATTCCGTATTATCTTGAGTATACTGCGCATTTATTTCCAAAAAAACACAGCTGTGTAGAAGGGGGTGCGCATTATACACGAAATAATGAGTTTTGATGTTTTTCCCCCATGGAAAGACATTACCGTGAGAACGTAACACCGGAAATACCATGTCAACAAATCCATACTGAAGTACGCAAACAAATCATGTAATTACACTGTCTGACTATAAAAAGTGTTCTTTGTATATCTGGACTTATGTTAGTAACTTATTTCATTAATTTTATTCAAAATTACTTTTAATATTGTTTTAATTTATTTCGGCGAAATCGTGTGTGAAGCGATCGGAAGATCTAACAAACGGTTATTAAGAGAAACCACGGTCAGATTACCGCTATTGATGCCTTGAAACGAACTTTCGTTGACAGAGAATGGATACATTTGTCATAAATGCCATACTTTGACTCGTTAAAGGTCATATTTGTTTTTGTTGGACGATTCTATGTCAACACGTAATTCACGCGATCACGTGCACGGGAGCCTTGACGGTGACTGGTCAGACTGTGTGTTCCATGTAAAACCATGTAATACCCGGTAATATATAGCAATCAGCTGCTTCGCTTACGCTTAGGGTTATTATTATTTCAAATATGTTTGGTAAAAGCTGCATCTAAATTAACAAGATATTGGAATATATTATTCCTGATAAAAAGAAGAAGTTTCAGATACATTTTTTGCCGATCCTTGCATTAAAACCCTGTAAAGTTATATCATTGGGTGTGACTTGACTGAATCACCGGTAAATTCCAAGAAATTGTGTGTACAGCTGATTGCTGTGTCCGGCTTAGTTTACGAGAAGATACACATGGTAATCTTAATCCCTGGATATAAAACAATGCCTAGCAGAACAAAAAAATACAATTTAAACGGTAAATCAACATGTCTGGTGATTTTTTATCTATGTGTTTATCCCTTTCAACACCGTAGGCCGGTTTTCCGGCCAAGCCGTAGTCACGTCAAAATAGTATATATTTGTATGGACCTACCTATAATATCATTCATTTATTAAATCTATCACATTTCACAATGTCTGAAATACGTATTCCATATCAATTTATCATTTTTTTATCAATAAATAAAAAAATTATTCACTATTTCCCGCGATGTTATTGAAAATATAATTCTCGGACACACATTTCAACAACGGGTCCACATCGAACATGTCAAAGAGCAAAATAAAGACGTTTTAAGCAAATCTTTGATATATTATACAAAGTAATAAATAAATTCAACAAAAATATATCTAAAAGTAATCAAACTTACATCTAAGTTATTATTTCCATCTTTTCGTGCGATCGCATGTAATGTAAGTCAAATGACATCTCAGCTTTCGTCGCCTTAAATTCTCGGCTCGGACACGATGTTTAATGCAAAAATATATGCATGAAAAATCTGTCACAGCTCGTAACCTAGCACGATAGATTCACGAAGTTCTTAGTAAAATCTAAATATTTTTTACATTTGTATACTTATCCTGCATTACTCCTTAATGCATTCACTGCTTACTTACGACAACTAGAAGGACAGCGCTGCGAAGGTCCTGGGTGAAGAAATAAAGTTGTTGTTCTCAAGTCCCAATCAGTGGCCTTCCGTCGCTGTCCTGTGACCTTGATGACACCTAAGGTCATCTTCACATCACTGCCTGTCGCCCAAGCTCTTAGAAAAACATACTTTTGAGGTTTCTGAAGCCAAAGTGGGGAGGCAAGTCTAACGACGGGTGGGCCTTAAGCGTAGTAATGCAGGATAAGTATACAAATGTAAAAAATATTTAGATTTTACTAAATTTTTTACTTATCCTGCATTACTCCTTAATGCATCTGTATCGGACGGTTTGGAGGTGGGTCAACCTTCAGAATACAGAAACCTCAATAATTCACACCCTGCAATACGACCCCATTTGGTCGATAAACCGTGAAGCGGAAAAGTTCAGACAAAAACGCCATTACGGTAGGGTTGTTCAAAAATCAAAAACATTGAACATAGGAATTAAAGAGAAATTCCCTATACACGCTTAGTAATAAAGAAAATAATAGCTATTCAGCTAATTCTTTACTTACTGCGTCATAGAGCCGTCGCTGACAAACAAGATTGTCTAATATTCTTCCACTGGTGGCGACTGAGTGACTGCACATGGAAGTTGACTGGCTCTGTATAGGGCGAGTTCATTATTTGCGTCAGTGGTTGGCAATCTGCAGGATAACAACCAGAGGGCCAAACTTCGAACGTCTTTGACATCCTCGAGAGTCACAACGCGAAGGTTATGACTAACGAAAATATGTGTCGAATCTCCAGAAATATCCTTCCGTGATTGTTCCAAAACCACAATTGCCGTGTTGAGCCCTGGTAAGGCTGACACCTTGAGATCTTGAGGGTAATTCGCTCTCGGCGAGTTCCGTTTGATGATCTCGTAGGCCTGAAGGATTACTGCGCGTAACCATATAGATATGGTGTTTGCGATTATGCGACTAACTTCTGTCGTGGACGAACCACGCCTTGTCTTGGAGCGTCGAATGAAAACTCGAACTGCTCGCACCGAGCCCAGGAGAACTTCACCATGTACGATTCCCACAATAGTCGATATCGGTGGGATGGTGAAGAACGGTCGGGTTGGCCTGGTAGTAGATTTTAGCAATAAAATCCCAGCATAACCCTAGATGTCCTGTTCCGTGCGTCCCATGCTCAAAACGGATCCGGGTTGAGTCGACCACATGTAGTTCGCTCACCCGTACCGCCATTGCTAATGCCAAGAGAAAACCATTGTTTCCTTGGTGAGGTCCAAGCTCCTCACAGCGATAGCCCGTTCGCGGAGCTCTCTATACTATACCGAGAGTGTAACGAAGGTGTCACGCGCTGGGAAGGAGCTTGAAAATGAGGATGCAATGAGGGGCTCGAAGGGGGCCCTCGCAAACCTCGAAGTACCACGTTCAAGTCCCAATCAGGTGGCTGGAACTTGGCCTTCTGATCCTCAAACCTGAATGAGCATAATATGGCCTGTAGTTCCGTGACCTTAATCACACTGTGATTTTCCGGAAACGGCCAACACTAAGATAATTGCAGCCAATTACGTAGTAATGGTGCTACCTTCCAAGTGTTTTTGGGTACGCAATGTAGGAGGTATTCCTCTAGGAATTGTGACGCAATCGTAGGGTCTTGATTCTTTTCTTCCCTGTAAAAAGTCTCAAGTGATCCCCACTTGTCATCGTCGTCTCTGGGAGAGTAACGATGAACTAAAGCTATAGCTTTGCTGCCCGTGTCGAAATAACCCTTCGCACTTAAACGCCTTTTAAAGACGAACCATGCGTGCAGACGTTGGGTTCAGGCAATTTTCTGTTGAGGGTGGATGAGTAGGTTGGACCACTGTGAGAGGGGAAGTGAATCGTTTTAGATTTTTCCGAGCTTGACGAACTACCCTCTCGCCGGTTACCATGGTGCGACCAAAGGAGAGATCGAGATACCTTGTCTCCTTGATCCCCTGTAGCACCTTGGAAGTAAAAGTGGTGGCAGAAGAGTTTTAGTTCTTTGCCCTTCCCAAGTGATACTGAACTCGTCCACCGCCCAAGTCTGCGGATCCGGCAACGGGGAGATATACGTCATGAGTTGGTGGCCTAGGCAAGTAATAAACAAGTCAATGTTTGGTTGCCTGAATTCCTGAAGCAGTAACTGGAATGCTTCTGTGAGAAATTTCCACTCAGTGGGAGCCACCCTGTCTGGACGTGATAAAGTATCGGCCAGTATGTTTCTACATCCGGGGATGTGCTGAACTATGAACCTTAGTCACAGCCGATCCACTAGATGGAAGAAATCTGAATGTCCTTAGAAGTGGAGAGTGGGAGTGTGTTGTTCCCCGATTGCACAGGCACCACACCGCAGTGCTGTTGTCTGTGGATATAGCGAGTCGGGCTAACTGTAGTTGATTCTGCCAATGTGATATAGCCAGAATTAAAGCTTCCAACTCCAAGTTGTTTATGTGCCACTTCCATTGTGCGCCGGGCCATAGCCCTGAGCTTATCTGGTCTTGTAAGTGAAGACTCCACCCCTGAAAAGGGACGTCCACAAACAGGTGTGTATTCGGGGAAAATCCGAATAAACAGACTCCGCAGACATTCAGCGCCACAAATTGAGGCTCTAGCTTAGTTGGTAGAGTGATGGCCTTGAGTGGATCCTGACTCCTGATGTAAGGGTTCAGGAAAAAAATTGAATTGGTCGCTGTTGTAAGCGGCCCATGCTAGTTAACTCCTGTGCCGAGGTGATTAACCCTAGCAACACTTGCCACTGGCGAAGTGTGTGTGGTTGGTGTAGAGTAGATGACAAAAGAAGTAGAAACTTGTGCCATCTGTCCCTCGGTACAGATAGGATATCCTGGTCTGTCTTAAACAGGTCTCCTATGAACTGAAGTCAATAGGAAGGAGAATACTCCCGACTTCGCCTCGTTGATTGTCTATCCCAGTTATTGACATGTGTTGATGATACAGTAGATCGCCCTCCATCTACGACTCGAACCAAGTGTTCGTCACGTGTAGATAGTTATTGGCTTCATTACTCCTGTAAATAGCCATAAGTGTCACTGACATGTCAAATGGGAAATACTACCATTGGTAGTGAACCCCAATGAACTGGACCTGAAAAGTCTACGGTTGGGATGGATAGTCGAGACTGATGAAGAATCAAACGTTCGTTGAACACAGAGATTGTGGATCATTCTCATCTTGTCTGGGTCCTTCATGAGTACCAGGTAGGTGTGAGGATAAAACCCCGGAGTAAAGACTGGGTTGTGAACCCACTCTACAGCTCTTCTTACCAACAGTATGTCTATGTTGGATTTTCCCAATCAAACTGTGGTCAACGGTGGGGTTAACTCTACCCTTATACGGACACCATGATATAGTGCGATAAGTACGAAATCGTCCTTGAGACTTGTCTCTGCCACTCCCTTTCTCAGTAAGGGAATGCTGGTCTTCCCTGAGAAACGCGCGTCTAGGCTTATAATTCCCTGACTTGGACTTTCCAAGCTTTTTGGGAACTTGACGTGCGTGTCTGCGATCTGTTCGTTGAACAGGGGAGTAGATGATCAAGGTTGACGTAATAGACTGCCCTTGAAACCAGCATCTCAGTTGGAAACGCTATAAAGTCTTGGGTGTAACGGTAATCACCGTCAGAACGGTCTCAAGATGAATTTTCCTGTGGTCAAACTGACGCTGTAGGAAAAACACCATAGTTTGGAAGTGATCTAATCAGATAGGGTTATCCTCTAATAGATTCTGATCCACTGCAAACATTGACGATATTGGTCGCTTAAATCACGGAGCAAATGTGAGTTTTGGAGAAGGCTTCCTCCAATGACCTCGTGGTGTCCCTCTTATTTACCCTGTTATCAGGGGAAGGCGTTACTGACACGAGATGGTCTGCTTCCCAATCGGGTACATGTGCTAAGCTGATCATGTGCCGGTTACGTAACCGGTACACTGTAAGCCTTGGGCTAACGTCATTGTAGAGACCTTGATTGATACGCAGACGCTGCGCTCAGCGCAGGTCTGGAATGTTGGAACAGCGCTAAGCTGATCGTGCGTCACTGGCGTGATAGGAGCGCTTGGGTATCAGTCAGACGCTGCGCTCGGCGCAGGTCTATGCTGGATATGTTGGAACAGCGCTAAGCTGATCGTGCGTCACTGGCGTGATAGGGGCGCTTGGGTATCAGTCAGACGCTGCGCTCGGCGCAGGTCTATGCTGGATATGTTGGAACAGCGCTAAGCTGATCGTGCGCCGATTGCGTAATAGAAGTGCTTTGGTTGTAGTCAAGTGCTGCGCTCGGCGCAGATAAATCAGACACAAAGCTCAAAAGTATTGACTGGATCAAGGCTTGTGTCTAATCTACCCCCATCATAGCATCTCGATACGCTGGTGCTGTCGCCGACGTCACAGATTATCATACATGTATCTGGAAGTGTCCGGCGGCTGAAAAAATAGGAGCAGTTACGATACTCACAAAATCCTCCGGTATTGCAAAATATGATTGTGAGTAATCTGCTTTTATATAGTAAACTCGTTGGATTAGAGATTTACATAAAAATTACATTTTGAATTTTGGCGAGCACATCTACGTGCATGCCTATGACCGTGGATAAAGAGCTTTGGGCGATTATTCCACGACAATATGTACACCGAGCAAACATAATTATGTTACGCAATTAAACCATTGAAGAAATGGTACTGGAAGAATGCCGTAGAATTGAACAGTAATCTATCGGCAAAAATACGAATTGCAAGGGTATACAATATTTTTATATACGCAATTCAATGTAAACCAAGGCTATTTACATTTAGAGATTGGAGAGCACATCCGCGCGCAAACCAACCAATCGTGGATGATAATCTTGTAAGGTTTTTTCCACGACAATTAGTAAAATGCTCAAAGGTATGTTACGCAATGAAACCCTTATTGATGAGATAATACTGGAAGAGTGCCGAAGAATTTGAACACTAATCTATCGGCAAATTTATGAGTTGCAAGGATATACAATATTTTTGTATGCGCAACCCAATGTAAACCAAGGGTATTTATATTTTCATTTAGGGTTTGGAGAGCACATCTGCGCGCAAACCAAACAACGTGGATGATAATCTTTGTAAGATTTTTCCCACGACAATTAATACCACGCTCAATCATAAGTTACACAATTACATATATATATGTATATTCAATGTCTGTACATATAGAGTAGGGAAAGGGCCACCTAAGTTGGATAACTTTTGCCCAATCCCGTTGACCATATATGTCAATAAAATATGTTTAAATTAAACACAATTACGCCATTGTTGATGAGGCGGTACTGGAAGAATGCCATAGAATTGAACAATAATCTATCGGCAAAAACTACGAGTTGCAAGAGTATACAATAGTTCATATACGCAACTCAATGTAAAACCAAAAATACCAACAAAAAACTATTTAATCGCATAAACATAGGTACGCAATAAAAGAATTGTTGATGAAGCGGGACTGGAAGAAAGCCGTAGATTTGATATTAATCTATCGGCAACCATATTTTTAACGAGTTGAAAAAGTATACAATAATTTTAGTATACGCAACTCACTGTTACGCCAAAGCTAGTAATATTTAAGAACATAAGAATATGTTATACATACGTAGCTGAGAATTGTAAACAATATGACTACCTTGGCAGGCAAACGATTGTAACACAATTCAAAATGGCGGCGAACAACAATATTTTGGCGGGAAAAAAGACAAGCGTCTTTTCACGCCTAATTAATTCACATAAAACTACACAACATGGTGAAAGTAATATGAAAAGAATACATCACCCATCGCAGATCAATTTTTAAGATTGTAGACAAACTGAAGGTCTAAAATTAATCCAAAAGGAGAGCTCCGCTTGGACACGTCCTAGCTGTGCTGCGACAAGCAGTGATGTGAAGATGACCTTAGGTGTCATCAAGGTCACAGGACAGCGACGGAAGGCCACTGATTGGGACTTGAGAACAACAACTTTATTTCTTCACCCAGGACCTTCGCAGCGCTGTCCTTCTAGTTGTCGTAAGTAAGCAGTGAATGCATTAAGGAGTAATGCAGGATAAGTAAAAAATCATATTTTTAATATATATATATCGTGATTTCCTGCCTTTTAGTTCAGAATAACATGATTTAACAAAAATCTTTCGCCAACTTCTGAAATTTATCAAACACGAGCTTGGTATAACCGTTGAAATTTGATTGGCTGCCTGCCTTACAAGTAGTTAGAAATGTAGACAGTGATAGTAATTTCCAATATTACTTGCCTCCGGACAAGTTAAAGTAAGTGATTTTGTTGCCCAACCTCGTATTTCTACTTTCCCCGAGAGTCGGGAAATGGCAAATTTCCACCCCTGTTTCCCCCCCCCCCAAAAAAAAAAAATGAATACTGAATCTGCTAGAGAGGGGTGCGCACTATACTAAAGAAAATACGGTATTCATCATTTGCCGATTGACAACGATTTGTTGTTGTTTTGACTTGCGCAAATATAGAAAAATACTTCGTGTTTTTGAACGGCGAAACGACCGCCTTAGCTGTCACCTGGGCGGATGTCGTACAGCGCATGCGTGGGTACTAAACTCTTAACATCGTTAGTGCATTACTTAATAACGGAAAGTGCTTTCTTCATTCCAGGTATGGAGCTTCATATCGAAAGCGAAAACAAAACACATGGCCAACAGTGATCTTGTCGATGTTATTATGTTCTGATATCGATTTTTTTCACCGAAGTTACGCACTTATATTAAAAACGATCTTTTTTAATATCTTATGACAAGAGATATTTAGTCGCCAAACTTAATTAAAGACAAGGAGCCAGTTGGCGACTGACATGAAAATACCAGTCGCAAAATACAAAACTAGATCGCCATGGCGACCAATTTAGTCGCAACTTTGTGGCCTGTGGTACCATTTCTATGCATACTCACATGCTTTATCTTCAATAAAAATGGTACACCAAATGTGGAGAATACTTCCTGTAAACAGATAAAAGCACAGGATTAGAATTCAGGTAATTTCATCATGGCTCAATATATTTTAGTGATATGAGATGGGTGTAGTGCTGCTTTTCAGCATTTTAGTTATGTCACAGTATTCCAGTTAACTGGGGGAGGAAAGCCTGATGCAGGTCTTGGTTTACCGCTTCGGGGAAACCCCGATCACAAGGATGGTGCCGACAAACCAAGAAATATAACCCATGATCATAGGTATGGGATTGTGTGAACTGGGACAAGTCAACTGTGTTAACTCTGCCTTGATCAGCATCTCAGACACATCACAGTATTTTAACCTTATATGGAAGGTTCAGACCTTTTCCACTTTCACTTTAGTGCTGACAGACCAAGGATCATTCTTTCAGCACATTTTGGAAACAGTGTATCCTGTAATTAACCAAGAGGAAACAACTCTGCACAGCAATCTGCAGCGTGGCTGACTCTGGCCCCCAAAGTGATCTTTAACACAATAAGGCGTTGAGCTTCACCTTGTGGAAGTGAGCAACAGGAAGGAGCAGCTCGTCCTCCGAGATGACAGCCTCCTCCTTGGGAACCTCCTCCACCCGGTACGTCTTGGTCCCTGTAGCATTGAGGCAGTCCAGGGAAATGTCCTCCTTCTGTACAGCGAAGATCTTGTAGCTGATGATCTCAAGGAGGCTGAAGATTGAAATACAGAAATTGTGGTATTCTTGATGGACGGGCGACAGTCTGCTTTGAAAATGAACATCAGATCCTGTGAATATCGAACAATAGTTTCTTTTCATTATATTACTAATATTGGTGTCTTATTGTGATTCAAATGTAAGAGAAAGCAAAGAACATTTTATGATGCAGTAGCATATTCAATTGTCAATAAATAATTACAGTTTGTAAAAGCCAATAAAAATGTCATTTACGTGACCTGGTTAAACATCTAAGCTTTCCAACTCATTTCAAGCAAATTCAAGCATTGTTTCAGAGTGCATAGAGTGATGTCCACTTTTTAGTGTACTGAAGTCAGCTTATAGGACGTACTCACCGCAGTCTACCCGATGACTGGTCAGATATTTCCACCTGTTTCCGAGCCTCCTCCAGCAGGTTACTGACCTTGCCACTCTTGTTGGGATACAGAACTAGCTCCCTCTGTAGTAAACAGACATACATGAAACCATACCCAGCTGCTCACCACTTTCACACGAGTAGGAACGAACTAACTTAAACCCAAGCCCATTTCAGTCTGGATCAAATCTCTCGGAAATTTTAACAAAACAAGAAACTTGCTACACATATATAAAATACTTTGATCCATCTCTTGATCTGCCTGTTTGTCTGTGTACTCACCTCCTCCTTGAGATCACTGCTGACCCAGATACATTTGAAGGGGCGTTTGTTCTCCAGTTCATTGATCTTGATACTCAGCTGTAGCAGAACATAACAGAACACATTTAGCCACATGACGTCATAATATAGCTTCATATTGTGAAGATGATGATGATGATGATGACAACAACAACAAAATCAATGTGTATACTTATATTGTGCTAAACCCCTTACATAAGGTGCATGCCCAAAGCGCTAGCATTACTACCCCAGTCAGTGGATCAGTGTGCACTTGATTTATTCAATATAGGCACCCTGGGAAGTATCCAACAACACAAGCCGAGGGTTAACAGCCACATTGCCATCTCATCCTACCGGGTACCCATTCACTGCTGGGTAATTTCAAAGTCACTTGCCTAAGGGACACCACATGTGTTTACATGTGCTTCAGTGTGGGGCAGGACAGAAACCCTAGATACTCTCAGGAGTCAAGCTGCCAAAGCTATCTCCCATCCAACTATTCTCTGCAACCGACGTTGCTTAACTTGCGACATGTGTGCTGTGCACTGGGTCACGTGCCCCCACATCTAATAGTTAATAAGGCAATTGTTTGTCGTTTATATTGTGAGGTTGGCCATTTCCTAAGGCATGTCATTTAGGTAGGGATTTCAAGGGCCGAGTTAGGGGGTTGGCCCACATCCAGTGTCAGACAATACCTGGAAATATATGGCAGTTGAAAAGATATAGGGAATTCAATACCTGCTGATAGTAGAGTTTCTTGGGCTGCCTGGGTTTGGCATAAATAAGCAGGTCCTTCAAGGATCCCTCATATGTACAGCGCACTGGGTTTCCTGGACCATCTCGATACCTGCAAAATACACAGGACATGGCAACTTATTAATTTCTAAGAAACACAATATCGATTGTATATCACACTCCAAGTCTGAAGTTTACATCATCAAGGAATGATAAAATGTGCTGAACCTACCCTTGGCTCTTGAAGAACTGCAACAAGTAAGGATCTGTCCCGAGGTGCTGTGAAACTGTGTGGGCCATCTGCTCATAGTTCATCCTCAGAGACAATTCCAGGGAGAAGCCAGGGTCATTGGGGATTGATTTATCACAGAAAACGACTTCCACCCGGTAATACAGATCTCTGCAAATACATCAATATCAGTCGTTTCATTCTAATTTAACAGCAATACATGTATCTAGTTCCCTGTGAAGATCAATTGGTCTTCAGCAACCCATTCTTGTTGTAAGAGGTGACAGACTCTTTATCATTTACAAATTATCTTTCCCATATTAATTCCCCTTTGTTTCTGTTGTCTACAATTATATTCAAGACAGGACTTGAACCCTTACCTGAAGTACTCCTTAACAGTGGGCAGTTCATAGTGGTCGAGGTCAGGCTCATCACGTTGAAAGACAAGAATGTCACCATCCATCAACTCTTCAAGGAGTTTATCAATTGGCTGGTTCAAGTTTTCAAGCCGCTCAAGGAGGTTTGGCTTAACTTCCTGCAAGGATGAAGCACATGGTCAGGGGAGATAACTAGGACTGGCATCTAGCATATAGTGTAATGTGTACTACTCAACATTTGCCGAGGACCAAAACTGTCATCTTCAGTCAAGATGTGGTCCTTAGCAAGTCTTGAGTACACCCTTATAGATCTATGAAGAATAGTTCAATTTCTTTAACAAATTAGTGTTAAAGATGAATGGGGTTATCTGAACCGTCTTGTATGTATGTATTCATCTCAGTGGAAGGACGTAGAGACTGTTGTCACACACTGCAGTCAGCTGTATTCCAGCTATATCACTGAAGCTTGTGAACAACCGATGGTTGATAGCATGACCACTAATGCATGTGAATGGGACGCATTAATGGCATCATAGAAGCTATGGTATCGATGAGTTGACTTGCAGATTTCAACGTCCTTATTTTTTCAATGTGACACTTAGGTACAGATGCTTGTACCTTTTATCAAGCAAGTCACTTTCAGCACAGATGCTAGTGCCTTTATCAAGCAAGTCACTTTCAGCACAGATGCTAGTGCCTTTATCAAGCAAGTCACTTTCAGCACAGATGCTAGTGCCTTTATCAAGCAAGTCACTTTCAGCACAGATGCTAGTGCCTTTATCAAGCAAGTCACTCGCTTGGATGGATGGTAATCATACTGTTTATGAGTAAGGTAATGCTGTTAGTGACATTGTGCGGAAATTCTCTGGGGTAGATGTTGCCTAAACAACAACCCTAACAACTAAGGCATTTGTAACAAGTACTCACCTCAAAGATGATCAGTGCTGTTGTTGGTAGAAACCCTGCCTTTCGGTTTAATTCTGGCACTAACTCAACTGTAGATGAATAATAAAGCAGGCATTAGAATTCTCTTCTCATTGAAATCCCCCAAACTCTTCATGTATTATTGCATTATTATCATTATCTGTGTTTTACCCCCAACCTTATACACGACATACCTCCTTTGGCTGATATTGGCACGTAGATATGACCACAGTAAGATATGGATTTGGTTCTGGGGTCATACAGCTTCAGAAACAGCAACACATCACCTGAAACAAGAATGTCAATTCAGCATTTTTTTAGATGACCTAAATCTTATCAATTTGAACTTATTGAACATGTCAAATAAATTTCTTATGTGTACTCTGAGGGGATTCCAGTTCAGGACAAATTCTCAGTGAACCATTCTTGTCTTTAGAGTCAGGCTTACAGGATCTGTTGGTTACAAAGTGTGATCTGGCTGACTGTTTCTCCTCAATCACTGGTTTACCTGGCCGGGATTCATAACACAACGCTCTGATGTAATTGTAACAGTGATGACTACCGTACAAGACAACATTCACTCTCAAGCAAGGAGACCCGCGAAGATCCAGGTTAGTATAGGTCTTCAGCAACCCATGCTTGCCGTAAACAGTGACTATGCTTGTCGTAAGAGGTGACTAACGGGATTGGGTGGTCAGGCTCTCTGACTTGGTTGATGCATGTCATCGTAATCATCCCAATTGCGTGGATCGATGCTCATGATGTCAATCACTGGATTGTCTGGTCCAGAATCGATTATTTACAGACCGCCATCATATAACTGGACTATTGCTGAGTGCAATCAAACTCAAGCAAGAATAAGAATGTTAGCTCACTGGAATATAAAAGCACAATCAAATCTGCAGTCATCACAGCCACTACATTCCCATGATATTGAGTTATGACAATCATAGGGTACTGTTGAATCCCCATGAGACAGTCATATCTGGTATTTGTAGGGTCAGCTTTCATATTGATGATAATTTGACTTGAGTACTTACTGTCCTTATCAAAGGGAGGCAACTCCTTGAGGCCACTCTCTGGGCTAAGTGTCTCAACAAACACATACCACGGATTCTCATTATCCGCAATATCATGAATCTGAAACACAAGCAGACAGTATGCCAAAATCAGTATTTTACAAATAGTTAATAGTTTAAGTTAACTAAAAGGTGCTCTTCTTTCACAGTGATATATAAGAGATAAGATTCCACACACAGATTGTTAAGAGGTAAGGTAATGGAGTCTAAAATCTGAGAATTGGAACATGCGATTTTTCAAATATTTCATACATACTGATTTGTGGATTTCTGTGTCAATGTCTAGAATGGTTGGTCTGAATGTCTGATTCTGGCGTGAATGGAATGGCCAAGGCCGTAGCTGTTTCACAGGATATTTCTGAAAACAAAATAATACAAACAAGTTTTAGTAAAATCTTAATATGTTTTACATTTGGATACTTAGCCTTCATTACTTCCTTAATGCTTCTACAGCTGCATTACTACCTTAATGCATCTTTATCAGACGGAACAGAGGAGGGGGGGGGGGCATACCTTTTCAGATGGAATTTAGAATAAACTCTCCACCAGCCTGGGTAACTAGATAGCATCCTGAGCAGAAAAAGCGGAAACCACAGAGGCACACGATGATAAAGAGTAGGGGTTGTGACATCCAGTCATGGAAAAACAGGAAAATTAGAAGGGGCGTCGGCCAAGTTCTCAATTCAGATTCCTACAGCTGGAATAAGCGGGAAACTGAAACCCCCAAGTCTGGGGTAATTACTACCAAAGAGGTTGTGGGGTCTGTTCCGAGGTGTAAGAATCAAGATCGACTGGGGTTGGTGATTTGTTGCGCTACCACCAGTGGACCAGAACTTGAACACCTTGTACATCTTCAAGAGCCACATCTCAGAGATTCAAATACGGTGCAGGGAACGAGCCGAAACCGGGAGGCATGAAAGGCGGAAGTACTGGGCGTGCCAGCAGACCCAGCACCAATGACAAAGACTTTAAGAGGTGATCATAGCTGCAAACACGCAGGCGTGCATGCAATAGATGATGGTGGTTGTGCGAGGCACTCTATAAGTGATAATTGCAGCAAAGTTGGAAAAAAAAAGCACCTCAGCGTCGACATGATCGGCTATCTCCGAAGACGGAGAAGTGTGCCTGTGGTCGGCCATCTTGGAATGCCCGCGGGCACATTGGGTGTGTCGTTTTACAAAACCCTGATATATACAGTGAAGTCACTGGGGAAGAGATCGTGGCAAAACTCACACCGCGACGCCAAGGTACAGGGGAGCATACAATCGGTGCAACAGGGGTGATGACCTTTAGCTGATTAATTGCCCTGTCACTGTGAGCAACGTGACATATAAATTCAAAGATTTAGACAAGCAAAAGGGAGGAAGGAAGCCACACTACTACTGGGGACAACAACTTCTGTAGCCAGACCCCTCACAGCTCCCATCTCCTAGGTAAAAAAAACAGCAGTAGAAGCATTAAGGAAGTAATGCAGGATAAGATTAAAAAAAACCACTTCTATTTCAAGAAGTCTTCTGCACAAGCTGCAGTCCCAGTGTTACCGAAACATCAGCACAGAAAACGGTATAATTACTTACACCGATCAAGCAGCCACAGTGAGTGACCTTGTGTCACGAACAGTATGGTAGAAATGATGTGACCCAACTTACCAGGTTGTCTCCTAATATTTCCAGGAACTCTTCTAAGGTTGCATTTTTCTTCACCTTGAAGTTCCTACGGAAAAATATGTTCAATGATTACATCACTATATGACATCAAAATGGAAAAAAATGCTGTTGATTTCATGACTTTAAGCAAAGCCGGAGAGTGAAGTTACCACCATAATTAACTGATTTCTCTACATAGTAACATCTCACTCACCGAACATTGACTTTCTCAATGTCAAAGAGATCATTTCCTTGATGTCCACAGAAGCTGTCTTCCAACAACACTTGGACGTTCATGTACAGGTGGGCCTCGGTCCGCTCCTTTCTCTTCTGAGCATCTAACCTCCTGCAACATGCCGCCTCTAACCATATACACACACTCAAGACTATATAACAAACACATACACAAGACTATCAACAAATATATATTCACATATACTGAGACACATTGAAAATTCAAATCTGATTTTGCACTGGAATAACAAAGAAGAAGAAAAAGTTAAATGTGAAAAGAATGACTGATCATCAGACAAGAACATTTCACGAATGACAGTCACAATGAGATTGGATGACAATTTGAGACCACAAAAATGACCCACCCCAAAAGAAACAGTGTCTTGCAACCACCACTGGCCTGTGTAGATGCACATAGAAAAAGAAAATATATCCACAGACGTCTCACAACCACTGTGGAAATGTTCCTCACTCTGCTGGCAAAGTTCATAATATCAATCCCTGCTAGCTGGAAAAAGTCATTCTGGAACAACAGCTGTTGACGACAAAGATTTCTTGATGGATCGTTGGGCCGTCATAGCTCCATGAACAATGAGGAGATCGATCCTGAAGTTGGCATTGATTATTGCCCAAACCATGATTCCTCTCCATCGCGCATGCAAGAGTATACTGTTCATTACGGGTTCTCCTGTATACTCGAGCTCTTCCATCAGAGAATGACACAAAAACGGGACTCGTCAGAGAAAACAATCCTCCACAAACCAGCTGGTTGAAATTATTGCTGTTTTATAAGACGCATGGCAGCTAGCTGACACTGTGTCATGATGTTCTCATTGTATTGTGTCAACACCTCAGTCGTGCTGCTCGTAGCCTTTGGTGCGCACAGCAAACTTGACGGTCCTATTGAGCTGCTGCTGGCCAGGTGTCCTGGCTTTCTATGCATCCAGATACTGGATGTACATGCACATTGTTCAGTTGTTTTCACCATGCATGCTCCGAGTTGCACACAAAAAGATGTCTTTGCGCCATTGGTATAGTCCCATGAACAGTAATGGAATTTGAAACCTAACTTTTGGTAAAGATAAAGTGTCTACCTCAACATGACATTTTCATCCAAATTTCAAACTATGAATCCTCCCCTAAAAAATCTAAAGACTTCTGTTTTGCAGTTTTAAAGTGTCTCAGCATACATGATATAACAACACATACACATGGGGACTAACCTTTCACTAGTAAGTTCAGAAACATAGCACTTGTAGTGTTGAGCAATCTCATTAAAATCAGATCTTAGTTCTCGCTACCGCTAAACAAAGATCTGAGGACATCCTATTAGGGGTCACATCAGAACGACCTTTCATCCCACCAATCATAGCGCCACTTACCAGATCATGTAAGTGACAGTCGGAATGTGATTTCTAATCATGCAACCTCTAAAACTTTAACATGGGGTTGATTTACGATAGTTATGGGCTTAACGACTGAATCCATACAATCTAGACCATCTATTAGCCATTCCAGAATGTTCTTTTGTTCAGGTTTGAATTTTTTTATCAAGAATTTGTCAAAATATGTTTCGAAACGTAGTCGCCAATTTGAAATTAGTGCCGTAAGCACGAGTAAGACGACTTCTGATTGGCTAATGTCGGCTTCTTGTCAGTCATTTCATTGGTTGGTCAAAGTTTGCACAAGGTCAGTCTGAAGTGAATAATAATGGGATGTCCTCAGATCTTTGTTTAGCAGCAGCGAGAACTAAGATCTGATTTTAATGAGATTGAGTGTTGAGTGAACACTTTTGAACCTTCAGCAGCATTTTCTGCATGAATAAATATATAAAGTAGGGATGTCGCGAAACGACTATCTCCCAATATGATACGTATCGCAATACTTTGTTGACAATACTTAATTCACAGCAAATAATATCTTTCAGCATGTCGGTCAATGTGAAGTGCCTGAGTCAACAATGGCCATTATGGGTGGTTGTGTCAATAAAAACGTCCAATACTTTATTAACTTGTGGAAATTACTTTTTGAGGTACACAAATTTCTTGAAGTTGTGATATTTAAGAAGCTGAGCATATCACACATAATTTTAATGATAAGCAAGCCCTACTTGGTAAACACTTATTGCTAGTTTCAGTTGGGGGGTGTTCGACTGTCACACACACTATTCAGCCAGTGACACAATCTATCAAATGGTTAAACAATAGCAAGGAGATCTTTAAGAACTATCGCAGGTGAATATTTGACCTCCATACCTTTCCTCTGCTAATCTGTTCTTGAGGGTTTCTGGGATGTCTACTTCAATAACTGGCTGTAATATCTCACCTGCAGAGAACAAAATATCATCAAATACTATCCCATGGGAAAACGTTGAAACTGTTTTCAGACAATGAGAAGATGAATACTTATTTTACAACCATAACGTATTCACGAAGAAAAAGAACAAATAATTTGTTTGCATCCTCTATGAAAAACCATGAAGCAGTAAAAGAATAATGCCAAGAAGTGTTACAGTGTGAGTTGAGATACAAACAAGCAGCACTTACTCATACAACTTTCTCGTATATACACCAACATATATGCATTTGTACAGTGTTTGACAGTCATGTCATCGTCCAGACCACCGAAGTTGTGATCTATGGCTTCTTGCTTTGTACACCGAGATACTACGTCATCATCAAACTTGCACCACTGAAACAAGCAGGATAAAGAAGTGCCAGAAATTTACATCAAACTTTACAAAATATCCAGATGATATACTGTGACCAATACTTTCATGAAAATATTTAACTATTTGTGTAAACATTATTTTATTGTGATCATTAGTCTGTTGATATTTGTTAATATGCCTTGATGGAATTCATTAATGATCTTGTGCATGCAGAATTCAGCCCAAACACAGCACTGAAACCCAGAACAGCCATTTCAAATGTAAATACACCATGTTTCTTTTAAAACGACATCATTATCTCCATTCGTTCTTTAAAAATCCCACAATATTGCATCCCTGTTTATCGTAATCCTGGAAATCTTTACACTGCATTCAGGCTCAACCCTGCGAAGGAGAAAGTCAAAAGTATGCTTACGATACTCACTTTGCCGTCTCCCTTTGAATTGATATATACAACATAATGCCCCCCATGGTTATCCCCGCTATGTACAAGTACTGCATGTAAGATGTAGTTGGCCGGAGTCTTCTCCTTCTTCTGTAGGTACTCATCCAGGTTCAACCGTTCCGGGAACTCAAACCTGAAACATCAACACATTCCCAAATACAACCCAGTTGACATGTCGAATAACTCCGTATGGAACCTTTCTTGAATCTATGACTTGAATTACATACAGCTCAAGAGGTCAAGTCTTGGTCATGGTGAGCTGCAAGCTAGTGGTTGTCAACTTGGTGTGGCCATTTGGGGCATTTCAGTAACCATTTAATGCCTCAGTCGGCAATATTTCAGTGATGTCACTGCAGTTTGTAATGAGTGAGTGAGTATGGTTTAACGTCGCTTTTAGCAATATTTCAGCAATATCACAGCGGGTGACACCAGAAATGGGCATCACACATTGTACCCATGTCGGGAATCGAACCCGGGTCTTCGGCGTGACGAGAGAACGCTTTTACCACTAGGCTATCCCCCCCTCCTCCCAGTTTGTAAATAATTTAGTGATCAAAAGCATTGGCAACTATCCACTTGACCAGGGTACCATCAGAAGCAATCAGTCAGGTCACTGAGCCCCACAACCTGATACCCATCCTAGTCAACCCCGACATGCATCTAGTAAAGTATCCTGCTCCACAGGCTTGGGGTGCTTTAACTACTGAAATAGCTGCAATAGTTTTAATTTTATTTTATGAAATTGATAGAAACTACTTATAATCCACATGATCAATGTCAACTGTTGATATTTGAACTCATTGGTGTATTACCATCAGGTCATGTACAGTTGTGATGCATGGAAAGAAATGCATACATAGTACAGACAGGGGAAAACTCACCTGTCATTGATTTTGATGTTGGCATCTGTGATGGGGTCATACATGAATCTCATTAGGTGTAGGTGTAGCACAGGAGGATACTGTAAGAACACAACTCCCTTCTCTGATTCCTGAAACAGTCACATCCGATTGATGTACATCCTGCATGCCGATTAGTACTTTAACACACTGGTCTTTGCGACACATGACCAAATAAATAACATGCACTAATATAAATAAATATTAAACTCAGGAATGTGAGCCAGTGAAAACTTCAACTAGCAATGTATCTAAACTGGATTGCCTCTTTTGTAGACTAGACCCACAATTCCTCTACATCAAAGTTACCCGTCAATAATCAAAACTGAAAAACAGAAAAATAAAGCAGAACCAACAATCAATGCCAAAGTCTGAAAGCTTGACCAGTCAATTCTTTTTATTTGTCTATAAGGACAACTATTCCTCCCCAGAATCACCACAGTTAGACAAGCTGCAGAGACTGGGGACCTATTTTCCCCAGAATCACCACAAGCACCAGACACTGGGGACCTATTCTACACAGGAGTCACCACAGGGAGACAAGCTGTAGACACTGGGGACCTATTCTCCACAGGAGTCACCACAGGGAGACAAGCTGTAGACACTGGGGACCTATTCTCCACAGGAGTCACCATAGGGAGACAAGCTGTAGACACTGGGGACCTTTTCTCCACAGTAGTCACCACAGGGAGACAAGCTGTAGACACTGGGGACCTATTCTCCACAGGAGTCACCACAGGGAGACAAGCTGTAGACACTGGGGACCTATTCTCCGCAGGAGTCACCACAGGAAGACAAGCTGTAGACACTGGGGACCTATTCTCCGCAGGAGTCACCACAGGAAGACAAGCTGTAGACACTGGGGACCTATTCTCCGCAGGAGTCACCACAGGAAGACAAGCTGTAGACATTGGGGACCTATTCTCCACAGGAGTCACCACAGGGAGACAAGCTGTAGACACTGGGGACCTATTCTCTGCAGGAGTCACCACAGGGAGACAAGCTGTAGACACTGGGGACCTATTCTCCGCAGGAGTCACCACAGGGAGACAAGCTGTAGACATTGGGGACCTATTCTCCACAGGAGTCACCACAGGGAGACAAGCTGTAGACACTGGGGACCTATTCTCCACAGGAGTCACCACAGGGAGACAAGCTGTAGACACTGGGGACCTATTCTCCGCAGGAGTCACCACAGGAAGACAAGCTGTAGACACTGGGGACCTATTCTACACAGGAGTCACCACAGGGAGACAAGCTGTAGACACTGGGGACCTATTCTCCGCAGGAGTCACCACAGGGAGACAAGCTGTAGACACTGGGGACCTATTCTCCACAGGAGTCACCACAGGGAGACAAGCTGTAGACACTGGGGACCTATTCTCCACAGGAGTCACCATAGGGAGACAAGCTGTAGACACTGGGGACCTATTCTCCACAGTAGTCACCACAGGGAGACAAGCTGTAGACACTGGGGACCTATTCTCCACAGGAGTCACCACAGGGAGACAAGCTGTAGACACTGGGGACCTATTCTCTGCAGGAGTCACCACAGGGAGACAAGCTGTAGACACTGGGGACCTATTCTCTGCAGGAGTCACCACAGGGAGACAAGCTGTAGACACTGGGGACCTATTCTCTGCAGGAGTCACCACAGGGAGACAAGCTGTAGACACTGGGGACCTATTCTCCACAGGAGTCACCATAGGGAGACAAGCTGTAGACACTGGGGACCTATTCTCCACAGGAGTCACCACAGGGAGACAAGCTGTAGACACTGGGGACCTATTCTCCACAGGAGTCACCACAGGGAGACAAGCTGTAGACACTGGGGACCTATTCTCTGCAGGAGTCACCACAGGGAGACAAGCTGTAGACACTGGGGACCTATTCTCTGCAGGAGTCACCACAGGGAGACAAGCTGTAGACACTGGGGACCTATTCTCCACAGGAGTCACCATAGGGAGACAAGCTGTAGACACTGGGGACCTATTCTCCACAGGAGTCACCACAGGGAGACAAGCTGTAGACACTGGGGACCTATTCTCTGCAGGAGTCACCACAGGGAGACAAGCTGTAGACACTGGGGACCTATTCTCTGCAGGAGTCACCACAGGGAGACAAGCTGTAGACATTGGGGACCTATTCTCCACAGGAGTCACCATAGGGAGACAAGCTGTAGACACTGGGGACCTATTCTCCGCAGGAGTCACCACAGGGGGACGGCTGTAGACACTGGGGACCTATTCTCCACAGGAGTCACCACACGGAGACAAGCTGTAGACACTGGGGACCTATTCTCCACAGGAGTCACCACAGGGAGACAAGCTGTAGACACTGGGGACCTATTCTCCGCAGGAGTCACCACAGGGAGACAAGCTGTAGACACTGGGGACCTATTCTCCACAGGAGTCACCACAGGGAGACAAGCTGTAGACACTGGGGACCTATTCTCCACAGGAGTCACCATAGGGAGACAAGCTGTAGACACTGGGGACCTATTCTCCACAGGAGTCACCACAGGGAGACAAGCTGTAGACACTGGGGACCTATTCTCCACAGGAGTCACCACAGGGAGACAAGCTGTAGACACTGGGGACCTATTCTCTGCAGGAGTCACCACAGGGAGACAAGCTGTAGACACTGGGGACCTATTCTCTGCAGGAGTCACCACAGGGAGACAAGCTGTAGACACTGGGGACCTATTCTCTGCAGGAGTCACCACAGGGAGACAAGCTGTAGACACTGGGGACCTATTCTCCACAGGAGTCACCATAGGGAGACAAGCTGTAGACACTGGGGACCTATTCTCCACAGGAGTCACCACAGGGAGACAAGCTGTAGACACTGGGGACCTATTCTCTGCAGGAGTCACCACAGGGAGACAAGCTGTAGACACTGGGGACCTATTCTCCACAGGAGTCACCATAGGGAGACAAGCTGTAGACACTGGGGACCTATTCTCCACAGGAGTCACCACAGGGAGACAAGCTGTAGACACTGGGGACCTATTCTCCACAGGAGTCACCACAGGGAGACAAGCTGTAGACACTGGGGACCTATTCTCCACAGGAGTCACCATAGGGAGACAAGCTGTAGACACTGGGGACCTATTCTCTGCAGGAGTCACCACAGGGAGACAAGCTGTAGACACTGGGGACCTATTCTCCACAGGAGTCACCACAGGGAGACAAGCTGTAGACACTGGGGACCTATTCTCTGCAGGAGTCACCACAGGGAGACAAGCTGTAGACATTGGGGACCTATTCTCCACAGGAGTCACCATAGGGAGACAAGCTGTAGACACTGGGGACCTATTCTCCGCAGGAGTCACCACAGGGGGACAAGCTGTAGACACTGGGGACCTATTCTCTGCAGGAGTCACCACAGGGAGACAAGCACCGGACACTGGGGACCTATTCTCCACAGGAGTCACCACAGGGAGACAAGCTGTAGACACTGGGGACCTATTCTACATAGGAGTCACCACAGGGAGACAAGCTGTAGACACTGGGGACCTATTCTCCACAGGAGTCACCACAGGGAGACAAGCACCGGACATTGGGGACCTATTCTCCACAGGAGTCACCACAGGGAGACAAGCACCGGACATTGGGGACCTGTTTTCCCCTTAATCTCCACAGGGAGACAAGCTGTAGACATTGGGGACCTATTTTTACCAGAATCTCAACAGGGTGGAAGGTAACAAAGTGAGGCGAGGTGAAATTAGGTTTAACGTCGCGTCCAAGATTAATGCACTTATATAGCGACGTGCATGCACACGTGTGTGTGTGTGTGTGTGTGTGTGTGTGTGTGTGTGCTTGTGCGTGCTTGTGCTAGTCTGGACTGATGCCGATTTATAGTGCTAGCCCACTGAGATACCATGCTGCAGTTTAACATGAATACCCCACTCAGACACAGTATACGGACTCCGAGCCGTCCTTGTTTTAGCCCCTTAATGCCGAGCGCCAGACAGGGTAACAACAAGTACCATCTTTTAACGTCTTTTGGTATGACACGGCCGGGGATCGAACCCCGGACCTTCCGCTCTCCGGGCGGACGCTCTACCACTAGACCATGGAGGCGGTGGTAACAAAGTGAAGGATGTGTACTTACCTGCAGACCATACTCCCCAGCATCATACTTGTTGTCTCCATCCAAAGTCTCCACTGTGATGTACTCCTTGAACGACTCGTGAACTGAAATATGATGTGCAATTATCAGTTTACACCAACCCAACGTAGGGAGCCAACAATATCTGCAAGTTCTCTTGGGACTTGACACATAACAATTTAAACAATCAAACTCTTTAATAAAATACTTTGTCTCACTTACCATTCTTCTTGCCCTTGACATTGAGTTGAATATCAAAGAAAGTCTCCGTCTTCTGAGAACCATACTCCACATGTTTACACTTGATGTAAGACTGAAAGACAGTGTGGGATATCACATGAAATCAAATGTCTCAGGCACTATGATAAATAAGTAGGTTGACATACAAAGTCGATTTCAATACTTCAAAAGGAAAATATCAAGAGAAGGATCATTGTCGTAAATGTGCATAGGTCATACTAATTTTCCAGGGGATAATGGCCATCCAATACATTAAGGCTATAGTGCCAATATCAGACCATTGTAAAATTATTATACCACATTGCCGATATCAGACCATAACTTCGATATCGACTCTAGTGATGATATTCAACCCTAGTGATGATATTCAACCCTAGTGATGATATTAGACCCTATTGATGATATTCAACCCTAGTGATGATATTAGACCCTATTGATGTTATTCAACCTTAGTGATGATATTAGACCCTAGTGATGATATCAGACCACAGGGCTGATATAGCAAAGTTCCAATATCAGACAATAGTGATAATGCTAGACCGAAGTGCCATTATCAGGATATTGTGACCAATATCAGATTCTGATGGCATCAAGTTACTTTGTCCTGAGTTTGAATTAAGGAGTGAGTGAGAGTGGTTTAACACTGCACTGGACAGTATTCCAGTCTTATCACCATGTAGGAATTAAGGAGTGAGTGAGAGGGGTTTAACGCTGACAGTATTCCAGTCTTTTCACCATGTAGGAATTAAGAAGTGAGTGAGAGTGGTTTAACGCTGCACTGGACAGTATTCCAGTCTTTTCACTATGTAGGAATTAAGGAGTGAGTGAGAGGGGTTTAACGCTGCACTGGACAGTATTCCAGTCTTATCACCATGTAGGAATTAAGGAGTGAGTGAGTGAGATTTAACGCTGCACTGGACAGTATTCCAGTCTTATCACTATGTAGGAATTAAGGAGTGAGTGAGAGGGGTTTAACGCTGCACTGGACAGTATTCCAGTCTTATCACTATGTAGGAATTAAGGAGTGAGTGAGTGAGATAGGGTTTAATGCTGCACTGGACCGTATTTCAGTCTTATCACCATGTAGGAATTAAGGAGTGAGTGAGTGAGAGGGGTTTAATGCTGCACTGGACTGTATTCCAGTCTTATCACCATGTAGGAATTAAGGAGTGAGTGAGTGAGATTTAACACTGCACTGGACAGTATTCCAGTCTTATCACTATGTAGGAATTAAGGAGTGAGTGAGTGAGAGTGGTTTAACGCTGCACTGGACAGTATTCCAGTCTTATCACTATGTAGGAACAAGTATTTGTCACAGAGTGACGAAATATCCCCCGCCATATACACCATAGTACCAAATATGAAGACAATCCAGCGATTAGTTCTTGAGATATTGTGGCAACACCGTTTTCCAACTCCAAAAACAGATTTGCCTGCTGTGACCTTGAAAATGGGGTCAAGGTCACCAAAACCGACTGGTGTCTGCGGTGTCTGTATATACACCATAGATCCAAATATGAAGACAATCGAGAGGTTTAGTTCTTGAGATATTGTGGCAACACCGTTTTCCAACTCTAAAAGCAGATTTGCCTGCTGTGACCTTGAAAATGGGATCAAGGTCACCAAAACCGACTGGTGTCTGCGGAGTCTGTATATACACTATAGTTCCAAATATGAAGACAATCCAGTGTTTAGTTCTTGAGATATCGCGGCAACACCGTTTTCCAACTCCAAAAGCAGATTTGCCTGCTGTGACCTTGAAAATGGGGTCAAGGTCACCAAAACCGACTGGTGTCTGCGGTGTCTGTATATACACCATAGTTCCAAATATGAAGACAATCCAGAGTTTAGTTCTTGAGATATCGCGGCAACACCGTTTTCCAACTCTAAAAGCAGATTTGTCTGCTGTGACCTTGAAAATGGGATCAAGGTCACCAAAACCGACTGGTGTCTGCGGAGTCTGTATATACACCATAGTTCCAAATATGAAGACAATCCAGTGTTTAGTTCTTGAGATATCGTGGCAACAAACAGGTGGGACGTACGGACGTACGGACAGACGGACGGACGGACGTACGGACGGTCGTGAATACTATATCCCCCGCTTCGCGCTTTCGCGCGGCGGGGGATAATTAAGGAGTGAGTGAGAGTGGTTTAACGCTGCACTGGACAGTATTCCAGTCTTATCACCATGTAGGAATTAAGGAGTGAGTGAGTGAGAGTGGTTTAACGCTGCACTGGACAGTATTCCAGTCTTCTCACTATGTAGGAATTAAGGAGTGAGTGAGTGGGAGTGGTTTAACACTGCACTGGACAGTATTCCAGTCTTATCACCATGTAGGACTTAAGGAGTGAGTGAGTGAGTGAGAGGGGATTAACGCTGCACTGGACAGTATTCCAGTCTTATCACTATGTAGGAATTAAGGAGTGAGTGAGTGAGAGGGGTTTAACGCTGCACTGGAGCGTATTCCAGTCTTATCACTATGTAGGAAATTAAGGAGTGAGTGAGTGAGGGTGGTTTAACGCTGCACTGGACAGTATTCCAGTCTTATCACTATGTAGGAATTAAGGACATTTCGCAGTATTTACTATTTTCTTGGGCTGAACCAGCAGATGAACTCACCAACATTTTCCCCTCAAACAGTTTTGGGATTGTTGCTTCTACACATGTACCCTTCATCTTGCTCTCCATATTGTCCAGCAGCTGAAACACGATGCACCATTCAATACCAGTCGGTGTCAAACACTAGCAATCAATTATCAATTTCTACAGACAACTGTTTACATAAAAAAACAACCAGTACACCAAAGTTAAATGTATCAGGTTACAGGACTCAACAATATACCATTTCAATGGACATAGTTTTATTACTGATCTGTTTAAACTGAACTGATTACAACAGGCTCTTCAGCAACCCATGCTTGCCGTAAAAGGCGACTAACAGGATTGGGTGGTCAGGCTCGCTGACTTGGTTGATGCATGTCATCGACTGTGTGGATCAATGCTCATGATGTCGATCACTGGATAGTCTGGTCCAGATTCGATTATTTACAGACCGCCGTCTTATACCTGGAATATTGCTGAGTGCGGCGAAAAACAACAAACAAACAAACAGAAACAAAGATTACAACAGAGAAGCAAATGCCCATGCCATCAGTCATGCATGGCTCATATTCTCCACATTTGCCTACATTTTGTTAACATATTATGTCACAGTAAATACAAACACAAAATAACAATTAGAGATACCACCAAAGATTCAAGGATTCAAATGGTTAAAAAAATGTAGATATGTAGATATTCAAATCCAAAAGTTTATTTTTGCATACAAGGACACAGACCAAATACATGAAATGGATACTACATAGTATAGGATCATTTTACAAATAAATGCATGTTTCATTTAAACACATTTCTGCTTTGAAAGGCATACTTGAAATATACCAGGACATATTTTTAATCTTAATAACATGTGGTTGCCATGAGGTGGTTAAATTGTTGGACTGAAATTAGCAGAGAGACCTTGGATGGGTGACTGTGTTTTGGCAGTTAGTCTCATGAGAGTTTCTAGGGCTTCGGTACTGCCCCAGTGTGAAGCACATGTAACAGAAGTGGTGTCTCCTTGAGCATGAGTACCGGGTAGGATGAGATTGTAATGTGTTTGTGAACCTTCTAGCGCCTAACAGGCAGCTTCAGTTGTATACTCCCCAGGGAGCTGAGAATGATTGTTGAGTGCACACTGATCCAGTAATGGGGAAAAGACAGCACTTTGAGCATGCCCGTGTGGTGTGGAAATATGGGCAATACAAAATGGCCTATTGTTATGAGTACAAACATCATACAATTCTAAGCCTCACAAAAGAAATTCTATTTGGAGCAGTGAAAGACGTCATTGTTTCCTCCCTGAGCTGATTATGTAAATGGCCATGACACTTCTAGTGAAATGAATAGATAATGTGCTTATTCAATGTTTGTTTTCAAGACTCACCACTCGACACAGCTCCTGAACATCATGTTGCATAAAGGAGTCTAATGTTTCCCATCTGAAAACCATGATTAATAATTAATGATTCAAACACAAACAGGATATGAATATGTTAAACTCAAACTTACTGGAGATATTGTCTAATTCAGATTCTTATTTGCTGTCGTTAATAATCAACTTAATATATTATAATGGCATTTACATTATACTTCTCTTCTTTCCAATTTAAAGTGGTGCTAATACAAAACTGCTAGATTTCAACTTGAATTTTCAAAAAGTTTAAATTACCAGACAAAAGAAGTCCATAGAAGTTGGGTATGTTAATTATTAAGAGAGACATTATGCTAAGAAGACAAATGAAACTGCAACACTCACCCAAATGATTTTGTAAGTTTCTTTGTTCCTACTGGTTTATCACTGAACTGCAGCTCATAAAAGACCCTCTGGAGAGCGAGGGGGACACTTTTCGAACCATCATCACTCTCAGTAGGCATCATGTACACAGCCTGGGGTAAAAGTAAGTATTGCAAGTCTCAAGTTATCAAGTTATCAAGTTAGTAAGCAGGGGTTTGAATCAATGGTAGCAGGTATCTGAACCGTATCTTTGAAGACTGCCAAGTGTGATCTCAATTCTTAAGTATTTTTTAGGAAAATATTTCATAGTCATAAAACACAATAGTTTTGCTTCAAAGACCAAGAGTTGAGATGTAGCAAGGCAGGTGCAGTTGTAGTTATGCATAATGTAATCTGCATTCTTTCCTAAATTTCTATGTGAGTATTTTTTGTTGCACAAATGACTTGTATAAATCAGAGCTACAGATAATCAGCGTATATGTGTAAAATATCCCCCAAATATTCAAAACCTAATTTCTTTCAATTAACATGCGTAAAGAAATGCATGAATAAAATGAAAAACTCAAATGTGTAAAAAAGCATCCAATACCCAATGAAGCTTTTTCAGCATGCGTACAAAGGAGCTTATTTCCGAAACACAGTTACGAGCTAATTTACTTTCCAAGTCAAGCCTATATATTTGGAACAGTTACATACATCTAGAGTGATGAACAGATGAGTGAAAAAAAATTACTTTCGGGACATTCAGGAATATGAAAACAAAGCATTGAGACTGACTGTGGATGTTCCACTTTGAAACATGAATTGGAATCTAACAAAGTCTCTCAATGGTTACGTTGATAACTTCCTTTTCTTCACTGATTTTAATGGTGGATATTTATGTATCAGAGATACATTCAAGAGACTGCATTCAATGACCCTTCATCACACATAACTGAAAATGTGAGATTCCTGGTACTTGCAGTCTATGCCATCAAGCTTTCAGTCTACAAGCCCAAACCTGGCTATAAGCATCACTTCCTGTAGATTATGATTTTATTATTGACTATTACTAGTGGAGTCTACTAGACCAAACAGAAGCTTACTAAATCAGGCTTTGGATTAGTGGCTGAAGTCGCAGACTGTTCTGGGCAAATAATTCCCCTACAACTATAATTCTGCAGGAATGTGCAATGATACTGCTTGAATCCAGCATCTTAGGTTTATCTCTGAGTATGATATACCGGAGACTTGTTACGCCCTTGAATTTCCAGAGATGATAAACATAAAAGCATCATTACATAAGCACACATAACTATGGTTCAGGGAGAAAACAAGGACACTTACTTTCCTGAGTTTGTTGGTAAAGAAGAGAGTTTGAAGCAGAGAGTTCATGTAGCATGTGGCCCCCTGGTTCTTTAAACCCACAAAGCCAGTGTGCTTCTTCGAGTCCCAGCTACAAGACAGAAAGCATAGAAACATACAGTCACTGAAAGAATGGGGAAATAAACGGAACATCTTAAACAGAGGAATGGGTGAAATCATTTTGACATGTGCCTCACTAACACTGAACCAGGACTTTATGAAAAAGCATAAATGTGCATCTGGTTTGGATGCATTCATTTTACAAGATGTTTATTAATTAAATTATTTTAGACCCTTGGGTCCTTTGGAAACAGAGTTTAACAGACACAGGTAAACCCTGTATTGATCAACACTGTTATAACAGCTAGTGTTATAACATGGCAAAGACTGACCTGACTCCGTGTGGGGCATCAGCTATGACATGAACTTCCAGATTGATCTTATCATCCTTCACAAAACCTTTGTCAGGGTCCAGCAGCTCCTGCAGGCACAATAAGATAATCTGTAATTCCTCGGAGCTCATTGGTTAGTTTCTAATTAGCATGCAGGAACAATATCACGCCCTTGCCAGAAGCACTCTGCCCATGTGACAGGTATCAAGGTGAAATGTCTTATATTTTTTACCGTTTGTTTTCATGTTATTATTTAGAGAAGTGCTGAAAATAGACCAAGTTATATGCCCTGAATATATAAACATTTTGACTTACCGCCCATGATATAAAATGGCTAAAGCCCCAGTCATTCTCTTTGCAATAGAATAAATGTTGAATTTCTGAAAGGCAAATTGCATTGATTATTAACTCAAATATTTCTACAGCATAAAAAGACAATAATAGAGCCTCAGGGAAGTTTCTAGGTCAAAGCTAAAGGATGAAACATATTACTGGAGCAAATGGTACTGATCAATAATATTTTACCATTAAGTATCTTAAAATGTCTAACATCAAAGTCATTATGAAGACATCAACTAAGTTAAAATCAGCCTTATTGTGTCTGATGTTTCAATTCTATCATGAAAAATGCCTGGGACCCAGTTCAGTGACATGACACTAAAAATAGGCATTCAGACAAATCATATCTCAAACAGCATTACTGTAATCTAATCTAATTCTTTATTCAGTACTTGTTTAAGCCTACGGCTTATTGTACAATTGAGGGTCGACAGAAGACAGTATGGCTAACCGGCGATTCACTGTGTGATGTACAAAGTACAAACATGGCTGTATTTCTAATTAAAGATTTTTCTCGGTTTGACATTAGAATGTTACACTAATGGGACCAGGATATCCTGAACACTTATAAACATTTAAAAAATATGTCCATCACAGCCAGCCGATTTATCCAATTTTAGACCATTAATGGAACTGATTATCTCTTGTTGAAGGATAGGAACATCAAGAATAGGGGATAGGAGCATCAATAATACTTGTCAATTATGCTATCTGAATACTCAGGAACAGATCTATTGCTGCTAAAAGTTCATTCATAAATCTTCTGATTCAATAAAATATACATAGGGAACATTCATAATCATATTGGGCAACAATTTCGAATGTATATATATACTGAACTATGAGAAGAGTCATTTTGATTTGGCTGTTGAGCTTAAACTCATGAGTGAGAGAAATTCTATGTAAGTTAGTGAGAATGAGCCGTAATTTTACATCACATCTGCATTATTTCAGCGATATAGACAGTGATGAGAGATGGAGATGGAGATGGAGACGTCACTTCCGAAATGAAGCTTAGATAACTAATGGGTCCAAGATATTTATCTAAACAGATTGGAAATGAAAAACACTTTGGATAATCAAGGATGCTAACTATATAACTTACTTCTGGTGAAAGGCTCCCCATCAGGCTTCTGTGAGAGGATCCTCAGCTCAGCCATAGCATGACATGACCAGGATCTAAGGGAAAGGAACATCATGGCTACAAGGGCTACACAAATCACTTACTTCCAGCAAATGCTTAACGCCTACCGTTAAGAGGGAAGAGGTTTGCATAACATGCAATAATGGAGGCAGTGACATGGCCCAGACCATGTAAGTGCCAACAATTGGTGATATCAAGCCCCCACTATACATGTACCATGAGCCAACTCAACTTCAGCAAATTAGGTGGCAGCCAAATTCACAAGTGCTAGACAAGTCTGTTTAAAAGTTAAAGCTTTACTGGTACACCTGAAATCCAGCTTTTCATGCAGATAGCATGTCAATTCTGGTTTTGGAAATGCATTCAAGGAAGTCCAATGCATCTGGCTAAAAACCAATAAGAGATATTTGCACTGCCAACTTTTAGAAAACATGTGCCTTTTGCAGTAGGACTTGTCAAACCAGAATGTCAAATGTCCCTTTTGCTGAAATAATGTTTTTGCTAGTGTCATCAATAGGTTTGAACTAAATACAGGACAAAGACTGAATTTCAAAGCAGTTAATCTTAACAGGAAGGCTATGATTGCCATACAAATATGTTGGATACAATTTGTTGAAGGGCAAACCAAACATGTTTCCTGAAGTAACCTAATCATGTGCTATTACTTTTCACAAATGTGAAACCCATTTCCATCCCCACCACTAAGTCTGTTCAGAATGTTCAATAAGGAAGAAAATAGAATAGTAATACTTTAGTATCTATATCAATCTCATTAAAATCAGATCTTAGTTCTCTCTACCGCTAAACAAAGATCTGAGGACATCCCATTAAGGGTCATGTCAGAATGACCTTTCATCCCACCAATCAGTGTACCGCTTACCAGATCATGAAAGGGAGTTGGAATGTGATTTCTAATCATGCAACCTCTAAAACTTTAACATGGGGTATTACCAACAATAGTTAAAGACCGAATCCATACAATCTAGGCCATATATTAGCCATTCCAGAATGTTCTTTTGTTCAGGTTTCAAATTTTTAATCGAGAATGTCAAAATGTTTCGAAAATAGTCGCCAATTTGAAATTAGTGCCGTTAGTGCATGAGAAAACTGCCTTCTGATTGGCTAATGTCGACTCCTTGTCAGTCAGTCCATTGGTCGGTCAAAGTTCGTGCAAGGTCGGTCTGACGTGACCCATAATGGGGTGTTCTCAGATCATTGTTTAGTGGTAGTGAGAACTTAGATTTGATATTAATGGGATTGGTATCTAAATGTGTGAAATTGTTGAGATTGTTCACTTCTTACAAAAACATATATTGGCAAACATGTAATTCCAATCTGAGAAATCACTTACATTTAATGCAGACTTGGTACTGAACAACATCCTTTGAGCATGTCTACATAAATCCCTGCTTATGAAAGTTATGTTTGCAGTAAATAAATGAATCTCAAATTCAGCCGATTCCGTGCTAATTGGCTTAAGTTGAAAGCAGAGATGCTAGCTTGTAAAAACATGTCATGTGAACACTGCTTGTACTGTACACAAAGAAGCAGAACAACCACATAAATGACCTATTCAAGTGACCTTGAACTTTGACAAAGGTACCTCTACACCTTACAATATGAGCCAAATTTCATCAAACAACAGCAAAACACTTCTTGGGCTAACGTGAACATAATACATAAGTTTGACCTAAGAGTGATCTTAAACTTTAATATTAGTTGCAAGTATTCAGGAATGTTCCCAAGGGCTATCTAAGCATATGAACCAAGTATGGTGTCCCCAGATGGAATACACCGTAACAACGAGAAAATAGCATATGATTGTCATCACTTGTCATACAAATGTTTCAAATCACGTAACCACTACATGCATATGACCTAAAAAACATCTGCAGGATAAGGCAGTTCACTGAAATGGCAATTGTTTTTACAAAACTTCACTGTGACCTTGACCTTCTATGTAAGTCACTCACAGCAATTTTAGATTGTAGACTGATGTACCAAGTTTCACTAACCTACAGTAAACGCTATTAATGTAAGTTATTGCTACAACATACTTTTTACCAGGCTATGAACTTGAGGATGACCTTGACCCTTGACATAACTGCTCAATATGTTAAAAAGATTTCTGAGTGCTATAAAGTAGATACATATGATAGTATAACCCTGAGATATCAAAGCACTACATGATTTCAAAAATATGTTATAAACTGAACTATACTTACGAAGATTCTGTGTCCCCATTGCACTGTAGAAAGAAACCAAGGCTTTTCTGGCGCTCTGCATTTGTGTTATTGCGAGGCATTGCCATGATCTTCCTGTTAAAAGCCAAGACAAAAATGTCATCAGATGTATTTCTTCTTGTTGTTATTAGCTTAGAAATGTTTACATATGGTATACATCACACGTTTCAGAAAAGGTATAATATATAACAACACTTAAACAGAAAACATCCATACTTTGTCCATAACCTATATCATTGATGTCTATTGAACAGATCCTTACAATCAATTAATTGATCATGGTTTCTTCCCGTTAACTATACAAGTTAGGACAAAGGTTCTCTACACTGCTGTGTTCTTTATCACAATATTTTCTGTCATCCTAGATAATAACAAGACAACAAGACTCTGATAGAATATTAGTTAATCATTGGTCAATTTGCCTCACAGTGATGAACGATCATGACTTCTCCACTGATTCCCAACACTTTAATATTAGAGACAAAACCCTCATGCACACGCACCAGCGCATACGCTGTGTACTTTCAAAGAAACGTAACCTCAAGTAAACTCCACATGGTCCAAATGTTAACACCAAAATCTGCTGAAAGATATGCCAAATGATAAGTTTGGGCAAGTAGTACTAGACTCAGAAGTGCTTTGCACAGATTGTACTTACCATGGTAAGTTTCTAACCATGCATGAAGGACTGAGGGCAGTGTCTTTCAGCTTACTGATGCTTTCAACTGTGTATCTGAATGTAGTCTCTGCTCGACTTTCATCTGAAACAAACAATGATAAATAAATTTTCATTTTGTTCATTCTAATTCCTGCATTCTGATTAGCTGAATTGGTCAAGTGTTATTGCATTAATTTCCCAATGAATGTAAAAAAAATAAGCCACGCCCATCGGAACGGACTACTTTCGCCAATACGGATTGTCAGGGAATCCAAATTACAGTTGAGGGAATTCCTTTTCTGCTCACCTGTATTGTCATGCATAGGACTTTTTAGTGAAATTAATGCATATTAATCGTCCAAACAAGCTAGCCTGTTGTATTATTTCGCTCGCCTTGTTTTCACAAATTTCATGTCTCATTTCTAACTCGCAATTTCCAACTGTGTCTTCCCGTTCCCAGAGAACTAATGTTTGAATCTGGCGGTTACTGACCATGCCATGAGAAACAGCCGCCTTTTCCCAGACATATTTGTTCCAGTTCGCTACAGTCTGAATGTTCTTCTCCCCACATGCCTTAATTGTCAGTTCCAGTGAACTTTGTTTCATGCTAGCCTCTGTTGATTAGCTGTTGACTTTGTGTGTCAAGTCATGTGCATAAACTTAACAATCACCTGATTCATGTCATGCTACAGTAGGTATTCCTATGTCTCAAATCTTTATCAATCTCGTCATTTTTGTCTGCTATGAATTATACAACTGTTTTTTTTTATTAATCTGTTGTAGATAAAACATGTTTTCGTTGTCGAGTTTAATTATAATTTAAGGATTGACCAAAAAATTGGTTCATGGAGGAATATACCGAAAAACTATTGTGCAAACTTTTGTAAGAATCCACGACGTGGATAAATACTGTATTACACTTTGCACATCGGTTTTGTGACTCATATCTCAATGAACTGCAAAAAATACCGCCAATCCTTAAATGATTGTGTATGTTTTAGCAGTGTTCATTCAAGCTGACAAATACATAGGGCCCTGTGGGCTCACTTATAACAAAAAGGTGGTGTCACTTTCAAAATGGAAAACAGAACATCAAAACACTGATGCCACCACACTCGAAATACTGATACCAGTGTTTAAAATTAGCAGGGTCCTGGGGACCTTGACATTAGCTACTTCAGTATTTGAATCTGGTGACCTAAAAAAACAACAACACAGCTTTCAACTGCATTTATTTTAAGGTTTTATGAATATTGGCATGACTTTCTGCTTTGTTAAACTAAACACAGATAATTTGATTGTTGACCTGACAGACTTATGTCACTCTAGTACAACATGAATGTTATTCTATCAAATCCTCTAAGAAATGTAACATTTCAACCTCAAATGTGTCTCAAGAGTTCAAGAAAATCTTCCGGCCGCTGCTGGCCCCTATTCCAAGTACATGGGTTGTTTACAGTATAATTTGTGTTATTATTGACAAGGCATTGCTGACTGCATTAATTTCATCAACATGTGCTTCTTTACAATGTAATAGGAACTAATTGTTTCTAAAAGTTCATAACTATTTATGCTATTGGCTATCCATACTCAACTTTATGTTGAATGCGAAACTCGTCCACAGACAGTCAAGTCCCGTTAATCTGACATGGTTCATTGCATATGATTATGTTGGATTAGCGACTATGTCGGATAAACAAAATTAAGTAGTATCAACGATTGTCATAACCATACAAACACGTAATGAAAATAAGAAATATTGTTATTGTTATTGTTATTGTTATGTAAAGCTTAACACAAAACTGCAGTCACAGGCTGTATGACTGAATAAAAATACATGTTTAAAAGCATAGTCTGGAATGGAAGTGGCCAGTTTCAAACTAGCGCAGTGGAGCTCAAGAAGGCTGCTTTCTTAGTGGCTTCTTTTGACTTTTTGTTTGTCATTTCATTGCTCGGTCAAAGTTCTCGAAAGGTCGTTCTGAAGTGACCTGTAATGGGATGTCCACAGCAGTAGCAAGATCATTTATCTGATTATAAAGAGATTGAGGTAATCTAAGCATGTGATTACAGATAAATCTGTATTGTTTACTAAAAGCATGATTTGTTTACCGGTATTGTTAAGCAAGTTTTGTAATATTCAGCTACCAGTTTACTCGTCTCGCATCAAAACATGGGTCTGTGTACTATGGGCTGATGACAATGGAGTATACTGATCACTGTATCGCATTTACAAGATTGACTAATGAGTGATTTTGGTCTTTGGGGGCTCTCGGTTGTTTACAACCTCGTTTGGGCGTCACAAGCCACTCCATACTCAGAGCATGGAAGGCTTGTGGCCCCGAAGAGCTTTACGCTAGCTACCGGCCGGTCAGCACGACCCGGGACCAGCTTATCCCTGGGGATTGTCCGGGTCACCACGACCATAGGGTGTCAAACCAGGTCACCTCGACCCCAGGGTTAAGCATAGGCAACCAAGCAGCCCCCACACAAATGCCAAATATTTGTATGTAATAAAAGTTCTTTTCATGTACTACATTTTATGTTGTTTGTGGCACAAAAGCATTATTTGTTTATTGTTAAGCAAGTTTTGTAACATGCACCTACCAGTTGACTCGTCTCGCATCAAAACAAGGGTTTGTGTACTCATGGGCAGATAACCATGGAGTACACAGATCACTGCATCGGATTTACAAGATTGCCTAATGAGTGATTTTAGTCATTCGTTGCAAATACGGTGTGTCGGAGTCGGAGTAAAAGACTGTCAGATAAGCAGGTCTGATAAATAGAACCGTTTCCCATCTTAAGTGTTGGATAAAGCTGATTGTCAGATTGACGAGACTGGACTGTATTTCAAATCTGACTTCCTGTCAAAAGAGTTTTGTATTCTAGTGCCTTAGAAGATCATAACTGACTCCTGAAAAAGAAAGCTGACTTTCACTGAAAGGCCTGAAGACTAAGAGCAAGACCAAAAATGGCATCTGAAGCATGCATACATGTAGAACACTGAGAAATTTTATTGATTTTGGTGATCTGGAGAACACTGAAGCTATGGCATCTGTAGAACACATTCTCTAATATCAAGTAAACAGAAATACAGTACAAATATATTAATGGTGAAGTTTTGTGAAGAATATCCATTAATATTCATGACTTTACAGGTGCTGAAGACATGTTTTTCAAATACCTATCAATGACTTGATTACAGGTGGCTTATCAAAATATCCTGCACAGAAACCTGGCTGCATTTTTGCACATCATCGTATATTTAGACTCATCAAGAAATGATGATCAAACTTATTCTTTACACTTGCATCCATTTCTTGTCTGCACGTTCCATAGCAGATACTGGTCGGATACAAATAACCTTAGGGCATGGTCGTCCTTGTTACCAGTACATTAATTATCGGACACTCAAGAAAAAATGTCACTCATAAACAATGGACAACGTCTGACAAAATGTCAGGTGGTCGGAAATGTTATTGGGAGCACATTATTGCCACTATTATATGAGACATGCATAACAGTAAAAGACAGCATACCAGTCCCCTATATGCCGTCGTATTCATGTTGGCAGAATAATCAATACACTCACCACAGGCTTTAATGTGCCATACAGCAATTTGTCCCTTATCATGCAAGCAAACAGCAAGGATGCAAACTCCATAGATTTTGGTTCAAAATACTCTGGAATCCATCATATTTTACAGTATTTGTCTAGCTTACATGGATCAATTTCAGACATTTTCTCTGTACTAAATGTCCAGGCAATTTATCTGAAGATACGACACCTATGTTAATTGGGCCTGGCAAGATGGTCAACAATGCCTTCTTCCTTTGTACTTTAAGCCACTATACCAATCAACATTAGACCTTATGCATCCCTCTTCAATACTAATTATTTTAACTTAAACATTGTGTGAAATGCACTTCATCATACCATGTATAGAACAATGGTTAATTAAATAAATTACAAGTACTGCTGAAATGTAACCATTCAGTCTTACTGTAGGATATGCCCCATATTTAACACTGTTTACATATGAGAATTCCTAGCCTACAACTTTATGTTACTGAAAATTTAGCATTATAAACACTAAACACATTTTATTATTTAATACCTGAGAGCAATCAATGACCACTTTGCACTGAATGTTAATATCATCTGCCAAATCCATCCACAAAGGCTGCAGACATGAGCAATTAACATTGCCATGGCCACATCATATCCTAGCAGTGCTCCAATAATGTAAGGCATTGTTACAACATTAAGATTAAGGTTATTGTCACAAAACTCTATAGGTATGTGATAAAACTGAATCGACGTTATTTGTGGCTCGAGTAGGGACATTGTATGGCATGTATCGCCATTGCCGTGACAACAGTTGCTGTCTCAAACAGATACACTGATAAAAGCTAGTATTGATTTTTGTATGGCTCATCGGTTGGTTAAATCAGCTCTGTCAAATGATGACTGTCACAACAAATTTCTGACTAAGTCTAATTATAGATCTAGTCATGTCCTTTCATATCTTCAAATTAATCTGATATTCCATGTTTGAAGAATGGTGTCAAAACAAGCTACAAATATTCTTGCCTGGTATGACTCGTGTGTGCCAGCAGCAAAAATCAAAATGGCTGAAAGGATTGTCTTGCATTAATTTACAGATACTAAGAATGAATTCAATCACAGGTCCGTTTCCATTTCACCTTAGCATATTTGAGCTAAACATTGTAGATGCCTGAATGCAGTCTGCAGCTTTAGCCAAAGTGTAAAAGACCCATTTGGGTAATATTGCTTTAGTCTAGCAAGCTCAGCTAACAATATTAACACTAAAGTAAAATTCAAAAAAACTGACCAAACAATTGGCACAGAGTGAGGGGGTTAAGATTTTACTATTACTATACACATTGGCATTCAAGGTTCATACAGGTGAAGTCAGGTGAAATTGGGTTTAATGTCGTGTTCAAGATTATTGCACTTATACAGTGATGTGCATGCATGTGTGTGTGTCTGTCTGTGTGTGTCTGCTTGTACTAGTCCGGACTGATGCCGATATTATAGTGCTAGCACATTGAGGTACCATGCCGCAGTTTAACATGAAT